ACTTCCCGAGCCTTACGTGATTGGGGAAGCTTACCTGCTCCGAACACTGAGTGAGGCCTGAAGATTATAATGAAGCTGATGGAAGAGCCCGAAACTCCTACACTATCCGCATAGGGGATGAAGGTACGTGGAGTTCTATGGAGTCCCCAAAGTGTCCCAGCATGTTCAGAAGCCTGAAGCTGGTGTTGAGCCGCTTGTTCAAGACCAGACCATGCCTTGGCGGTGGTAGTCTTGCCCATCGGTTGTTAAGATGTTTGCTTCAGTAGGGGTGGGCTCTGACTGTCAGTACTTTTGCCGTATAGCAGACGATATGGTGCCTGTTGTTGTGCAACCGTACTTCCTGCTCCTATGTAATTCGCATTTTGCAATCTCTGTGATTACTCTCTGGCTCTTTTTACTACACATAAATGGCCCCCAAACACAATTCATCCTGCTGTCTCCTTAGCTGAACGGAAGGGTCTTGTGCTATCAGGTCCTAAGTGCTTGGACAGATGTACAGCCAGGTAACACTACTCCCGAGTCCGTGAGCGGATGGTCTGAGTTCTTGTGCAGTATGGCCACAGCCTGGCAGGGACTGCTCTGGATCCAGGGTTTTGCGTCGCAACCAGCTTTTCAATGCTTCCAAGCCGTGTTCAGGCAACAGCCTCAACCTGAAGGAGAACAAGGACAAACAAACTTGTTGTGCGTGCTGCGTTCCAACATCTTGAGTATGGACTAAGCCGAAGGATCAAGTGTTACCTCTGGAAGCAACCAGGTGCCACGAGTTTAGGATGGAAGGCCGGACAATATCCCAACTGTCACTGGTTTGAGCTGATCCAGGTTGTGAATTCCTCTCAAGCCCGAGTGGATCTTGGCTCCAAAAGGTTTGCTCCTGCCTGATCAAACACAGGCTCCGACATGCAAGCAATAGGATGCGTGAGCAGAAAGTCCTCGGCTGCAGCCACTGTCAGCCTACCCGTAAGTGTGGGACAACCTGTCCATTTTAGATGCCACCTACCATGCAGCAAGCTAAGTGTTGAGGGCCGAAAGTCGCCAGGGAGTATCTGGTACTGGCCCATGGGGTCGAAGGTTTTCAGGACGTGTCGAATGCCTGACAAGTGGACGCATCTTGCCGTAATGTTGCTTGCGATCCCTTCACGCACAGTGAGAGGCTCCAAGCCTCAGTCTATTCCAGCACCCTCCCTGACCTCCCTTCACCTCTTTGGTCCACATGTCGCAAAAGTCCTCTGCCATGCCTGCAGGTCCTGTTTCGACGCATACATCATCCGGCACCTGCTGGCTCTCGATCTCAGCCATCACCTTCCACCCCAAACCCGGCCCACCCGCACCACTGGATGTGTCCGCGGATTTGAACTTGCCGGCGCAATACAAGTAGCTGGACTTGGATGAAGAGATGCTCAATAGTCGCTCCCGCCTGGATCGACTCGTTGAAGCGTTGGTAGAGATCCTGTGCCTCCTTGAGGTACCTCTGGAAAGACGGCTGCTTAAGGACTCATGGTTCAGGAAGATTAAGAGTTGTGGCGGTGGACCAGGTTCTTTGGCTTCAAAGGGTTGCTGATAGCGACTCGGCCATGGCCTCTTGTCAAGCGAAGCTCTAGCGGAAGGACCCAGTACACAGCACACCGAGACCAAACATGCCCAAGGAGTAAATTAAGTCAGAACGACCGGCGCGCCTGGAGAAATCCTGTCAAGCCTCTCCTGGCACTTCCCTCTGGCTTCTGAACACGCACGAGTCTCTGTTGAGGTTTCGCCTTCCTGTCTAGTTGCTCAAGTAACAAGTGAAAGCAAAGCATTAGGTTAATGAAGCCAACAACATCCTTGACCGCTGGTTTTTGCCTGCGACTATGCCGCCAGGGTGCGGGATGCCCATGTAGAGCGCCCTAGCACGGTGCTGTCCTGGAGCTGTCTCAAGATTTGTCATGGGGATGCGGGGGCACCAGTGGGTTGAAGGTTAACATGTTGGGGTAGAATCTCCCTGGGCTGAATCACATTTTTGCAGAATCTTGCAGCCGCGGCACGGCAAGCTCGGCGGGCCTCGCCTTTCCCAGGCCGCGGGTGTGCGAACTGCGTGGACCGGCCCGAGGCCTGGCCGCATGTCTGTGATGCTGCTGCAAATCATCTGACTTCTGGGACTTTTTTCTTTAGAGCTTGCTCTTCGTTTCTGGGCCTTGCCTGCCTGATCTCAACTCACCACACACACGTGTCAAAGCAATCAGAACACGCCGGAGCGCTGCAAGCTCTCTTTTCGGAGGGCTGTTTCCGTTGCAACGGGGATGGCAGTGCTACTCTGCGTGCTCCCACGTACAATCAATGTATATACATATATATATATACACATGTGTGTGTGTGCATTTATGCATGCATGCATGCATGCATGCATGCATGCATGCATGCATGCATGCACGTATGCTGCTGTTGTATTCTTCGTTTCGGGAAGTGAAGCCTTCTTCAGAACCCAACGGTGGCGCAATTTGAGGCAGTCTCATGTCTTCCAAGCCTCCCAAACCATCTCCTCCGCAAAGGGGGAGCTGGGGTAGAGCATCCGAACCTCCTGGACCAAAGCCACTGCTTCCGATGACCCCCCCCCCCCCTACCCCAAGGTGGACCCTTCCTTGCATCCAGGACTTGGAGATGCTCAGCAGCATGAGGACGCATGAAGTCTAAAGCCCAGAGTAACGCTCGATTTCAGGCACTCAATCTCAAAGCCAAGCTGAGCCCAATAACCCTCCACTGTAATGAAGCCTCAATACGTCACTTGAAGCACAAGTTGGGTGCAAGGTCCCGGTTCTGCGAGATGTTGTACATCCTTGGGGGCCAGCCCACAAGACTCAGCAAGGAGCTGGGCTGCTTGTCCTGGCATGAGACTCATGGATTATGGGCGCCAACATGACAAGCATCACCGTAGGGAGGCGTATGGAGGCTTGCATCCTCGACGTTAATTAGCATTTAAGCTGCACGAGTGCTACTGGTGGTACAGGCATGTACATATGAAAGGAATCAGCAGCCCCCCTGTAGCCCTCTAACATGCCCCTCACGGCACCGCGCCGACGTGCTTGGTGGTAAGCAATGCTTGGGGAGCCAAGAGAGAGCTTAAGATATCTAAATGCAGATGTCCCAGCACTGAATGGAGGAAGCAAAGCCCCGTCCGCTTGGCGACAGATCCGCAGCAGCGACCGGAAGGCTGCGCGCTCCGCAGCCATGGCTGGCCGCGGGCAGCTGCGGGGTTCGCGGGGTTCGCGGGGTCCGCGGAAGCGGCCAGGGGACTCTGATCTGAAATCTCATCTATGCGAACTGTAATTTCTTTCTCCAAATGCGAGGCAGTGATATCGTCTTCCTTGCTGCTTCGGGAAAATCTGAAGGCTCAGGGGTCAGGCATCAATGGCCCTGTCTGTATCTGAAGCTTAATAACCCCTGGGACACCCAAAAAACTCTGCAAGCTCAGAACTCTGAACGTGCATCTTTGACGTGTCACAACGAAGCTGCCTCAACAGCATAAGGATCAGCGGCTAAGGCCCAAATACTGTCTGAACCCCAAGGTTGAAACCCTCCCGCCGCTGCGTGGGCTTGAGGCTCCTGAAAGGGGAAGCAAGGTTGCAAACCACAAGCCCGCAGGCATCAGCAGGCATCAAGCTCCGCAGAAAGGCTTACCCAAGGAAGTCTCCAAGTTGCGAACTTCTGCCGCACAAGCGCAATTGCAAGCTTTTTGTACGAAACCGAGATCAGCTCCTTCGGAAAGTCATTCCGCCCTCAAGCTTCTCAACACCTCTTAGTCAACATTGCAGCACATGCGACGAGATGGCCCAGCCTTGCTGATGAAACAAATGTGTGCTGACTACCGCTTGCTGCAGTCGGCATATCTATACGTATATACACAAGTGCAGGTAACAGGTAGTAAGGCAATACCTGCTGGGTCAGTTTCTACGCTCCTCGCATGGACCTCATGCAGACACCCAAGTTTCCTTGAAGCTATGAATCACAGCACAACACATCTTTCTGAAATATTTAAGATGCGTAGACGTTGATTGTGGAACCGTGCTCCTTTGGAGCCCGGCAGGTTCACACGGCGCTGCATTACAAGCTGAGAAAATACTCAGCTTCAGACATCGTGGTGGATCCGCGTAGCGGTATAGCTTAATCACCCATTAACTGATGTGATGAGCATGCAACGATAGCCATTATGCTTTTCGAGTGGTCCGTGGATGGTAGTTAGCGGGAGCAGTTTAACTCCAGGAGGAGATCGACGCGATGCCAATTAGCATTGCCCTCTGCATTCGAAAGAGCAGCACCTAGCTGCGCAGCTGGTCCAATCTGGAAATCTTCGCTGCAGGGGCTGCTGGCCGAAATGGATTGAGCTCTTTGATACATAATTTAGGCAGCTGGGGGCTCTGGCAAAAAGCAATGGCGGCCAAGCGGATTCCCGCAGCAGTAAGAAAGTGTTACACAGACCTCGCAAGCCGATCAAGGGTATTGCGTCGGCATGCTGCCAGCATCTTGTCAAAGAGTCGACGCTGACCCCAAAGATGCTGGGCAGCCTTTCCAGCCATGCTGCGCGCATAGCATCTGCAAAGCTCGGCTCTCTTTGAACACACTGCCAGCGATCCCTCTCTCGTCTAGGAAGGCGCCGCGAGCCTGCAAAGGATAGCTTTCTGTTGCTGGAATGCCTTCACCCTGCTAGCACATCCTTTGCTTCGCGAAATTCGCAGCCGCTTCATAACCCAATCCCGAAAAAACTTTAGCTGTGGAATTTGAATCTTCCGAGCATGATCCCTGTTAAAGGCTGAAACAAACTGTCTGGAAAGTAGACGTACCAGGGTTGTTGCCTTTAGACTGGAAGATTGGGGAACAATCATGCTAATTAATCCCTGCCCCATCCTCAAAAGGAGCAACCCGTGATGTACGTTCATATTGCGAGGTTTACGGGCGAATTATAATGAATTCGCTAGGGTCCAGCAACTTATTGCCTCTTACAGAGCTCGGAAATTCTGCGGGCGTAAGAGGCCTTAAACAGCCGGAACCGGGGCCGCAGTTTCCGCCGCCAGCCGAGCAAGTTCCTGCAAATTCCATGACGTGTACAACAGAGGCGACTTTCACAAATACTACGGCCGTATGCGCAAATATAGATCCGACACATCCATCCACCCATCCACTCATCCACCCATCCATCCATCCATCCCTCCATCCCTGCATCATTCCATCATTCCATTTACCCAGCCAGCCACCCACCCGGCTGCATCCACACGCGCCCATGCAGCTGTTGGACAGGCTTAAGAACTGAAACAGCTTCTCGCCATAATTAATCGAACCCACGATGCGTAGCCAGCACAAAAGCTCAAGACCATATTTCATGGTTTGCGTGTGTAGGGCTACCTTCTCTAGAGGAGCACTTCTAGTCGTGCGAAGGTTCAAGGGTTGGTCTTGGTTTCGTAGCCAGTGGCGTATGGTGCAGGCGATTGCCATCGAGCAGCCAAGGCTCTGTCATCCCTGGCTCTACATTTGGTTGTTCAAGACCGGGGCTTGTAACATCAAGATGCCTGCAATACTGAGGCTTCATCTTCACCTGACGACATTCGTCGAGTTCAGCGGACTTGAGTGGCCACAGCGTGAGGTGACAAGGCTGAGGATTCCACTGTAGCTAGGCCTCCCAAGGATGCGATTTGACTAACCCCCGTTCTGCCAAATGGCATAAGCTACTACTACTTCTGATCGTTCTAGCCGTTGAATCCCCAAATGACTATAACTCCTTGGCGACGAATACTCGCAAATCTGCGACATCCTGGCGTAAAGCGGTTCAGAGAAATCTGCTTCTTGCCCGCGATAGGTCTAAGGCACGTAGTCTACTTCGGAAGGATGATTGTCAGAGAGTGGCAAAGTGATGCGAAGTGGCTTGGATTTCTGACTTGGCTTCGCTGGGTTGATTTTGCTTGGACATGGCAAACCCCACGCAGATAGAAGATTCATGCTCGTGATCAGGCATATAAAAAATTGGTTCCCCCCCTCCCTCCCAGTTATCTAGCTTTTCCGGGGTGGATAATGGCCTTTGGAGTTTGACAATTGAGAATATGTTTGGGGGGGCATCAAGGCTTTTAGGGCTTGAGAACTGCAAGTATGGCCACAGCCATGGTTCCTACCAGTAGTACTATTACTTTTAACCCTTCACAACGACACTGGAATCTTTGTAAATGTGTATGGAACAGGCCCAAAAGAGGGGAGGGGGGCCTAGCAAAAAGTCTGATACCCGCAACCTGGTTGTACTTAATACTGACAACTGTTTCCATCAACCAGCCCCTGGCTTTTCTTTGGAATCTACATGTACGAAAGCATTCAACATTTGTGACCTTGGCGACTTACCCTTACAGTTTGTGTTGGAGGGAAGGATAACTTACACCTTCAACTGGATGCACTTTTCTTTCCCATGTGTTGCGCATTACCCCAAGGCTTTAACATCTGGATCATGGTAGCTGCACATTTTGCGCTCTGTCCATGTGATTGCAACTTTCGGAAAATGAGTTAGCCCTTCAGGCGCCCTTCATACCTGACTGATGCAGCTAGAGCTGTTTCAAAACGGTAGAACTGCGTCGGAGTGCTCTACAAAGCGGCTGGGCAAACCTGTTTGGTGATGTTGAGTGCTTCCTGCTTGAAATCAAGTGCAGCTACTGCCCGCGGACGAGCCTTGACCGTTGCCTGGTTGCAGCCACGAAACCTTTTTTCAAGGTGGAAGAGCTGAAGCTTTCGTCCTATTCCCTTCTACTACCTAGAGCTCGCAGGTTACATGCCTACATACTCTTGCCATGTCCTGCGGGTCGAGGGTTCGAGCGTTGAGGGATGAGGAATCTATTTTCCTTGGCAGGTCCTGCAACCCACGTGTACGTGGGCATTCCTAAATGAAGTCCCCTGCTGCTCCCAAAAAAGCCCTGAGAGATGCCCTTTGAGCCCTCACCTCCAAGGACTCTTCCCTGGTCCTCCCCTAGGTCCGCCCCTGCAACTCCCCATTGCTAATCAGGCCTTCTACGTTTTTGTGGGGTTCCCTTGGTTCGTCTCCGAGCAGCTGCAGCACGGTCTCGACGAAGTCTTCCAAGCTCAGCGTGGTTGCATCCCTGAAGACGAAGTCTGCCTTGGGGGTGCTTTGCCAGTTGAGGGCGGGCTTATGCTCGAGGAGGATGCCTGCTTCAGTGTTTACTACTGGACGAAACGGAAACCTTTGACAATGCCGGGATTCTGGAATGTGCGCCGGGATGTAAGCAAAGCTTTGAAAGTCAAGATTTGCACGCCAAAAGCATGAGAAGCAACGCAACGGACAAGTGAGTCTTCCTGACGGTGAACAGGACTGAATGTTTTCAGTAGTCTTGTAACAGGTCGGCCAAAGGCTTCCGATGCGCAATTTGAGACTGCTCTCAGCCTACGGACTTGAGATTCAGGGGATGAGTCTGAAATTTCAGGGCCTCAATGCCAATAAGTCATGAAAAGCTACAGCAATTAGCTGCTATGTTATACAGCATTGTCTGTCGTAAAGTAGAGCATAAAATTGCAACCACTGTGTAAGACCTTTTCGCGCAGCTTGGTCAACCTGCTAGGTTCTTCAATTTAGGTTTGCGCTGTTGGATCTACCGGCAAACACACAAACATTGCAGACAGAGAAGAATGTAAAGCATATCCGTGCCCAGAACGTCTTGCCTGAACAGAACGCTTATGTAACTATAATTCGCTGGCCAAAGTGCATAGTCGACCAGCGCCAGCACGTTGACACCACCTTCATACCTCTGCTTCCACCAAACGGCTTCTAAGCCCTTGCCTTACCTACGCTGGGCCATGTCCTACAGCCTCTCTCTCTCTCTCTCTCTCTCTCTCTCTCTCTTGCAGACTCGAAAACATGTCCTACAGCCTGCATGCAAGAAACAAGACCTACCTGCTGAGGTACAGGTGGCAGAATGTCCCCCACAAGGCAAATAGCTGAGGAGGGCACAGCTTCTTCACAGCTTCAGGATTTTGAATCCTGACATTTGCAAGAAACACGCGTCGCCACAGCAACAACTTTTAAGTCATTTAAGTCCATGCAACTTCACAAAACTCCCACGCACCCGCCCCAACTTGAATTTAAGCGGGTCTCATGTGGTTGAATTCCACGGCCGTCACGGTTCGATCCTCGTTCTCGTCAGTAAGGCGAACCTGCAGTTTCCTACATTGCTCGGTGACAGTCTCTAGACTCTTAGCCTGCGCATGCCACAGTCAAAGGCAGCGAACACACGATTATGGCAACAATGGCCACCCGGAACCTGGCAGTGCAGCGGACCACGCCTGCACACCTTGAGCCTACTAACCATGGAAACCAGAAGCCCAGTCCATTTTAACACCTGGACAGGAAAAAGCCCACCAAAAGCCCAGCGGCGACATCGGCGATATCTCGTTTCAGTGTCTTGAGGCTTTGCTCCTGTCCGCGTTCAGGGACGGATTACAACTCCATGAATGAGGAGTCCTATTGCATGGCTTGGGTAACCTAAGTCTCGAGCACCATGTCGAGGCGCCGAACCATTCATAGCAATGCAGCAAGGTTTTCTCGGGAGGGTATACAAAACAGATGAGGGATCAGGAAGGCCCCCGGCCAAAGCCGCACCTCCTGTTCCAGCTGCGCAGTAGTCCCTACCACGTCTACCATGACGCCAATGAGCATGTTCCTCAGGCATCCGCAGCACCTACAAGAACATGTGCCTTGCATGGAGACGTCAACATACTTAGACTGAAAGTCGCTTTCACGAAGGGTTGGTGGGAGATTCGCATCCTACCAAGGCCAGTCCTGGCCCTGAGCCGTGAGCACTATAGCCTGGTCCTTTTGGAGTCGAAACAAGACAAACCCTGCATCTTGCGGCCAGGGGACATCAGCGTCAGGGAGCCTGCTTGACAGTTCACAAAGGTGGTCATGGCTCTTTGCCCTTTAAGCCTGCTAGCATCTTCTAGCCTTTCTTGTGAACCCTGCTCCCTATTCTTGCAACATGACAGGCTTCTTACACTCACATTGTCGAATCCCCGCAAGCCCTGAGGGCTGGAATGCGTGACCCCGAGCTTGCCACACCACTTTATCTTTGATGGTTTGAGTGGGCGCTATTCATGTTCGCGAAGTTTTGAGTGCAACGCGGAACCATGTCTAAAGGAAGCAGCACCTATCTGGCTCCTCCCGCAGGGCAGAATTTGCGGGCAGGCTTGGGTTGCCCTGTCTCTCGAGCATAAGAAAGAGTCCCTCGCCCTAAAGCTGTCATTCATCTGCAGCCCACTTTTGTCTTTGAACCCATAGCATAGCATCCAAAACTGTGTGCCCGCCTATCAGTTGGTAAGCCAGCATGAAGGCAAAGGATAATCCGTCTGCTTTCATCATCTGCATCATGAAGTTCTGATCGAATCCTCGGAGAATCTCGTTGGCACATTTCAGCTGCTTTTTTAGTCCACTTGAATGTACAAGACCTGTCACCTGCATTCACCTGCATGAAACCTTGAATGCACGTTGTGTGCAATCCAGGGCTCAGAAGAAGCAGGTACCTCCCTCAAGAACACTGTGGTGATGCTTGACAGCACGGAAGTGCCTACGTTTCGCCCCTGCGCGCACCCTGCATCTGAAGTGCCGTGCCAAGGCTCCGCAAAGAGTCTGCAGCAACAAGAAGACGGTTGCCTCAGGGACGCTGTCAAATCGTCCATTTCCAACGCCTGAGTTTGTTCCAGCGCTGGCAAAGCACACCCAATGGTTTTCCCCCGCCACTCAGTGGGAAAATGCGAGTAGTGTCGGCATGCGTTTTGATTACATGCGGGTTCTAATGCAACTGAAGCAAACCAAGCGCTCTTGTTTTGGAGCAGCTGTGTCATGGCAACTGCAAAGGTGTAGGTGACCAGGACGAGGAGGAGCAACGTTGTCAGGACGGAGCGTATGGCCTAGCGCAGTTTCTCCCTTGAAAGCAGCTTATCAAATTCTGTCATGTGGTTTGGATGCGAACTGATTCCTACTATACTGGTACTATTTAAGGTTGCCTCGACTTGAGCATTGCAGATCTGGGAGCCTTGGGGGTTAAAGGTTAAGTCCTAATGCATAGGCCGCTGCCTCTCTGGGCATGGAGCGAGAAACTAAATTTCCCATCACCTTTTACTAACAGCTTGCGTTGGATGTAAGGTCTTCAGCTTCTGATTCGATGCAAGAGTCTCTACACAAGCGCCATAGTAGGCGCAATCTTAAAGATTCACATATCAAAGCCAACAATGCATAAGTGAGAAGCTTTATGACGACTAAAACATGTGGTAGCAGGCAAATGCGCAATGTAGGGAATGCCTTGAACTCTCATATAGTCGGGATTCGCTGCACAGCTGGAGGTCTACATTGTGGAGAGATAATGACTTTTCTTCTAGAGTTCCTGTGACCTTGAGTGCCGTTTATGCTTTGAGTGATTTGTGCCTATCGCCGAGCTTCGCTGCGAAGTTCGCAAAGATGTAACGGTGTAGCACGCATACATACAGATCAAATGTATGCTCATCATAGGTGCTTCACAGTGCTGTTTTTCACACTCCCAGGCAGCAGTGCGCCCCTGCACGCCGCACGCCCTCCGTTAGTTGCTCGAATTAAATCTTGAGACAGAGTTTGGCTAGAAACCGTACACAAACCACCATGGGCTTGTCAGATGCCATGTGCGGCCGGCGTGTCCTGATGGCAAAGCCGAACAACTAGCCCCAGTCACCTGAAACATGCCGTGGAGGAGGATCATAAGCTCTGGCACGAAGCGGAAGATGCGACTCATGCGGAACGCCCGCGTTATCCGTATCCTTGCTGGGGCTGCACGTGCAAGGCATGAGACCGCATGAACCAATCCCCTGAGTGAACATCTATGGCGAATGCTTCGCTAGGCTTGGTATCCCAGAACTAAGCCGCCCTGCGATCCGCGCCGCTGTTTCGTGTACTGCTACCGTTTCTGCTCTCTCTCTCCTCTCACGCTAGCTTCAGGCTTAGGCATGTCTCATCTGAACAACAGGTCTGATGTTGATGACTGCGGGGCAAATTTGAGGCCTGCAATTGTTAAGGATAAGACACAGGTACCGGTGGTTCTCTGGCAGACTGCAGAATATCTGCAGCAGCGATAGCTGCAAGTCAATTCCAAAAAATGAAACGAATGATTTTTCAAATTGCCGCACATGTTAGACCCGGCCATGAAGAGTGCAGCTTGGCATCAGTCGCAAGGCTCGCAGTGAAGGGGTGATACCTGACAAATTCAATGGGACTGCACTGCGACAAGGCGTACTGTACTGAGTTCAGCTTGGCCATCCTCTGCCATATGCACGTGGATATCTCAAGAACGACGTTGGGTTGCCTTCTTCGGAACGCCTGCCTACAAGGAACCACACACTGTTGCCGGACTGGCGCCCTGGCAATTTTTTTGCCTTGATAGACTTAGCTCAAGCAACTGCCTCTCTAAGCCTCATCCCAGCACTAGAAAGCATTCCTCTTAATACTTCGGGCATGGAAAGTTGAGATGCAACAACACAACAAGCTGAACAACAACGTTCAATCCAAGGCCTGGAGAACCGTGCGTTGTCTCCCAGCCAACGAGCTCGGAGAGAAGCATAAAACCCCAGGTTTCAAATGCCATGGAGACCTTAGGCAACTCAGCCATGGAAGGAGAGTTTCTATAGATTCCTCTCAATCGGAAAAAAGCACCCTTCTGTGGTGTTCTAGAATTGGTGATCGTACAATTTTGTGTTGCGCTCTAGAACTTGTCGGCCGGTCAGATGCCAGGTGCATAAGCGCCTCTGCTGACCTATTCTTAGGAAGCCCTGAGCCCTCCCAACCCAGTACTTGTACTGTCTGAGACAGATGGCAGGATCAGGATCGAATATTGTATAATTAGATGGGACGGGCTTGGGATGCTGCAGAGGTGTCAATGAAGACCATTCGGGCATCGGACTTTGGAGGGCTTCGGAGAAATTAGGCGATTGGAGTTTTGACTTCACGCTCAGCTCCCTGCCGCAAGAAAGAGGTCAAAGAGGAAGGAATTGTCGGTCAGAGCGTCGCACGGCTCTTGGAAGGCAAGCCAGCGAATTGAAATCTCGAAGCAGAAGTATGCCTGCAAAGAACATCTCAGGACTGTTGGTTCACCAGTGCAGAACTGCCAAATCTCATCTTCTTCCCGAAGCTCTCTCTTGAGGCTTGCACGAGTAGCTTCCGTATCTTCCGTTTCGCTAGCTTGGCAAGCCATCCCTGGTTCAACGCGTCAAGTGCTGTGACATCAGGCCCATAGACATGACGGGTCCCACTGGCTGTCTTGGGATTCTCATCTTCATGAGAAAGGGTGCCAGTTTTGTTGGCCTACAGCTTCGTAAACGGTAAACACGGAATGATAAGAATCTCATGGGCCAAGAAGGCGTCACGATGCTGGATCATCCTCAGCAGCCGAGCTGCACAAATCACGTTGTCGACGATTTGGAAACAAGTTATACCTGGCCCGCCCTGGTTATAGTCGGTGTCAATGGCAATCCAAAAAGTGCTCAGCACGACCTCAGTTTCGCAAGAAATGGAAGCTCCTGGCCTAGTGACTCTACTTCGCTGCAATAAAGGCACGACAAGGGCAAGCAGGTCTGCAGTCAGACGTGCCAATAGCTAAAACAATGCCTCTTACCTTTCTCACCCTAACATAAGATGCGCTTCCGTAATGGCCAGCGGCACAAACGCTTCAACGCATCTTTGAGATAACAGCTGTTGGGGCCTTCGAAACCTGAGACCCCTGGCCTCATAGCAAGACACACCAGCAACACGCTCCTAAAAAGCGGCTGCTCAGGGTGTTTCACAGTGAGGCATACAGAGCACCGACAAGTTGCAAGTCTCCGAACCCTAAGCCAATAATCGAAGCCCAGGCCCACCCAAGCCTCGGAAGCCCTTGCCTAGACTCCTGCCTGCTCTGAAACCTCCCAAACACCCAGTCCTACTTCACTTCAGCGCACTGCTGTTCCCTGTCTCCTCTCATCTGACGCCACCCTTTTGAGAGGAAGTAACATCCCCAAAAACTCTGGCCGTAGAAGCCGCCAGAGAAACCTCTGAACTCCAAGTCAGCTTGCCTGAAGGCAATTTCTCGAAACTCTCCATGCAGCTCCCTAGCGTCTTCATGGCGAGAATGAAAACACCTGAAATCCGATGAAGTATGGTCCGGCTGCCATGGCCATGGTCATGGACTTGAAGTAAGGGCTCCGAGCGACAGCCTGACTTCGGGAGCTTTTGAAAATGACCCGTAGTCATCCCTAATGACTGCCCCATAATCTCTTCGTATCCTCCAATTTCCCTGGCCCCCTTGTCTTAACAAACCACAAAATTCAGGGAGTCCTCAAAGTCATGGGTCTTGAGTTTCGAGGACTTTTGTTGGGGTTTTTAGGGAAATCCTGACGCTCAGAAATATCAGGACAGGTACTGTCCCTCCTCCTTTCACCCTTGACTCAAACATTTGCATACGGCTTGCTTCTTGATTTGAAGCTTTTTCTGGGGATATGCAATCTCAAGGGAGGGGTGCTCTTAAACGCGCTTGGCTTTGTCAGGAGGGCAGACTACATGTCATGGGGCCAGAGCTCCCTTCTCAACACTTCTATGTGAGATGGTTGTGCTGTTCAAGGTTTCAAGGGATTCGGAAAATACCTGGAGGGGGCCAAGGTCACAAAACTCGGCATGAAATTATCAAAGCTAAAGCAACCGCAAAGCAAGCAGCAGCAACAGCAGCAACATGTCCCGCAACTACAGATCGCTACGCGAGCAACAAGTAAAAACTTAGAACTTAGAACATGACGGCTGGTGCTGACGCATGCACTCTTGAAAAGCTCCACAAATCAAGCCTGCTGTGAGATATTTGACTAAAGTTCAGGATATGCTATCCAAAGCTCCAGGGACGCAAATAGATTCAAAATGCAGGTTGGGGCAAAAATTATGATCCTCTTATTGAAATGATTTCACCTGAAACATACTAGCCCTTTTGTCACGCCAGAAGCTTTCGCACACATGTTGCAACTTCCGCTGCCTGGCACCATCCAGTCTTGGAGTAGAGCTTCTCGGGGTCCAGCACCTTGATGTCTGAAAGATCAACTGTGCTTTGAGGGCTCTATGTTCAACTCCACGAAGGTTTTTCAGGAAAGGTAATGCAAACAGTGTTCATCTTCAGGCTATCGCGCAGTTCACGGGAATTTTAAGCTGACGATCCCGTCCTCCGCCCTAAAACAACAAGCGCGTTTTGCTACTCTGGATGGAAAACTGTTGCCTATGAGTTGTAGGCTGGAATCTTTGAGAATGCAGTCAGTAGGAGTCAATGCGTGTTGGGTTTGCAATAAAGGCCAAAGCAAAGATGATTCCTCGCACACTCAACATGGAAGCGGCTGGGCATCATCCTTGACTTTACAGCTCGGGAGGACCTGGACCATGATTGCCTCGAACTTGCTCAATTCCTCATTCAGTTAAGTGTCGTCCTTGTTGTTGATGCTGTCCATGACGCTTTTCCTGAGAGCAGTCACTGCCATGTTGCTTCGAGGGGGGACTCCTTGCGTTAACCTTGTGCAGTCATGCAAATACCCTCTTGTGGTATGAGTCCGGATTTACCTAATGAGTATACACCAGCCCAAGTGACCAAGAGGGCTACATTAGAATAGGCTCTACGTTGGCTTCGCCGAGCCCTGTGGAAGATTACCTTCCTTCTTGGCAGTTGCGAGACCCCGGGCTGTAGCCGCCTCACGCAACAAACCCATATGAAAGGCCCAGCTGCGCCAGGGACTTGATCTCCTTTGGCTTTGTCAGCACAGGCTTCCTTAGCCCCCAAGCCTGTTGAGTCACCATACAGCCTGCACAAGCTTGTGCAGGCACAGCCAACCAGCCAAGATGGATTGCTGACAAGCTACGAGAGCGGCCGCGACAAGGAGATGCTCTTCATCGGAGACTGGCATGTGTTTCTGCTTTGTTACTGCTCAGCTCAGCGATTTAAAGCCATCTTGCCCACTGGCCTTCCCAATCTCTTGCTGCGATGCTTTGTGTCGTACAAGCCACAAGCCAATGCCCCCACACAACTGTTACACAACTGGTTAGGAAAACCATACGGGTCATACGGGTGCAGCCAGAATGTGGGGCCTTGCTGATCAACGTTATTATGAGGCGGTTAGTCACAGCTAGTCCCCTTTTCGCATCTGTACAGTCTGTACATGTAAAGCTCCCGAGTTGACGCCGCCTCCACGGACAATCTGGACGCCGCTCTCCTGCGTTGCTGGCCGCGTGCTTTACAATTCTCCAGAATCATGTGAAGGAAGTTTTATTCACCGACCCTGTAGCTGGCTTGCCGAACAGGACAAACACACAATGCTGCCTCTAGTTGATACCACAAGGTTCCCGGCCCCGATCACTCCCCCTGAACCCCAAAAAGCTACAAGGAAATCTCACATCATCAGCATGCCAGCGAAAACCACTGAAAGAAGTGAAGCAAAACTGTCGAATGGCTGCAGGCGATGCAGGCGTCTGTATTCAATGGCCAATTAGTGTTGGCCAAGGGGCCGGCAGCGAGAGCCAAACTGCATGGCCTTCAGATTTTCAGAGGTCGACAGTGTCCCAAGCAAAAAAAATGACATCGAGGGTAGTTTTGAGTACTGAGTAAGACTAGTGGCGGAACCAAAAATAAGTCTACCCGAATATCAACAAGTACAAGACACCTTCGGAAGGCACATCCCATGTTCGGAAACTCCTGGATTGTGTTGAAAAAAGCTGGCAATTGTTGGGTGCGCTGAAAGCCTGAGATGGCCGTAGCTAAGCAATAGGTAAGCCGCTACTCCCACAACGCATTCCCTTCGGCCCCACTATCCTCTCTAATCCTCTAAATCTGAACCCGCGACGAGCACAACATTAAGCTTCCTCCATGCCATTCCATGACCCTTCAGCCCCCAGGTGCTCCTTCTATACCCTCATAACCTCTAACATCAGAAGAAGGCAAGCTAAGGACAAGAAAACGCCGAAGTTGCCCAGGCGAGCCTGGCTGCGGAGCGAGTCCCGAGACACGGAAGTCGTCAGCATCGGCCTAGCTGCTCAAATCCCTGGGTCCATGGGCATTTGGACGTAAGTGCTCCTAGTGTTGCTACGAGTTGTCAACAGCACTTAAACCATTCCACTCTCATCTTCTGATCATGACATTTTCGTAGAGCCATGCTTGTTCTTTGGGTTGGGGCTGGCTGCCACGCATCATTGAGATCAAAACCCTTGCAACCTCTCACAGGCAACGATAGCTATCATGATAAAGTTTGAGGTTGGGAACCCTGATTTCTTTTGGAACTGACCGCTTTGGAAATCAAGTCCTGCACATCGCAACATGCGGAAGTTTGGGACACTCGTTTCTCCTACACGAACATGGGGAGCCTCTGTCAAGTGATCACCCTGCCTTCAAAGGGCGGAGACTCGAGAAACAAAAATACGTCAACAAAAACACAGAGCTGAAAACTCCACGAATGTGAAAGGGAAAAAGAAAGTCCCTCTCCTGGTAGAAAGCGCACCTGGAATCCGCTGAAAAGTGACTTAACAAATCACACTCCTGGCCTAAGGCACATCTGGGATCCGCCGAAACTCTTGGATGAAACAAATAGCCCTCTCTAAGAAAAAGGCTCCTATAGGACAGTCATACGACTCATCTCGTGCATAAGAAGATGTCATTTTTGGTGAATTTTGATACTATTTGCCAGGCACTGCAATTTTCTTACAACAGCGGGGGGTGATGGAGGGGTTGGGGGGTGCGGCCCTCAACTTGCAAAACGTGCACATGAATGAGAGGACAGAGGTGCTTGCTGAATCTTGGCAGTGTTTTGCCAAGCAATGCTGTGTAAACCTGGGGGTTTGCAAGTGCAGCACAGCTCCTCCGCAAACCATGGACGGATTTCAGGGCACAACAGCCCGACCCCATTTGCAAAACATGGACGAAGAAGACCACCACATGTCATTTCTGGCTTGGTTGCTGGGCATTTTGGTTGTCGGCAGAATAGTAGCAGGGGTGCTGATGCGCATGGTTCCCCCCTTTGCGAAATATGAACGAAAATATGACAGTGAGAACAGATGGGCTTCGTCCAGATAGGATTTGCCAGGCACTGCGTTTGTCGACGAATATGAGCACTTATAGGTTCTTGTCAGTCTTGATAGGAATGGCCAGGCATTATGTTTGCTTTTTCACTTAGCTTGGGGGGGTAGCTGTTGCTACGACTTCTGGAAGATCAAAAAAGGACGTCGTTAGCAACAATCACAGGGCTGCACAGCAACACGAATAAATTACAAGGGTACACTAGCTGATCCTCATCATGCGAATTACTCTACACGCGTCTTAAGTAATCGTTTGTTGTCAGCTTCTCTGCTTGATTGTTGCTTTCTGTTTTATTTACCTTTTGTGCATTTAGATTTAGATGGTTCAGTATGCATTTTGTTCTTGCGGCTCATCTTTGGAAGTCTGATTTCAACCTGACTGCGCGGATGTGTTTCTCTTTGTTCGGTTGGCTGTTTGTCTTTCAGTTCTTTCTTGATTGCGTTCTTTCCTGCTCTTAGTTCGTTCCTGTATTTCTTTCTTTTGACAGCTCGATTTTGACCGAAGACGTATGAAAGTTCCACATCTGGACTCCTAGTAATCCTAATATCCCCCTCAGTATCCTGTATAGTAGTCCCCTATATTATCCCCTCTAAGGAGTTTAGATTATGGCTCAAATGGGAGCTCGTATCGGGTTCTATCACTAACTTATCTTCCTTTTGTTAATGCATGTTCGTATTTGTCTCTCGTTCTTTTATTTACCTTTTTCAGTGTCCTACATTATTTTGTGATTTCTGCGACCTGTTGCCCCCGGCCCCCAGGGATCACCCCTTGCCTTGTTTGGAATTACCGAGAAGGCGAGGATATTCCAAGCAAGAGCTCGAAAGTCCGGATTTGGCTCTTTGAGTCCTATTTGCTTATGTTACAGGCCATGATTTTTGACTTCATTTTAACTTGAAAGGCCTTTCCCCCTTCAGATCTGGATGAATCCTTGCGACTGCATACAACCGTGCCTGTTAGTGGAATTTCCACCAGGGCTCCGCTCGAGGTCTATCAAGGCCTCAGGGCTCCCTACCATCAGGCAACTTGTAAAATACTTTGAAGGGCTAGGCAAAGCATACTGTTCACTGCGCTCAGATACTAAATAAGAGCGTTAAAGCTTCCTGATGACAGTTTGGGTGGGGATGACTGGCTCTGAAGTAGGCTAAAAAAGTCCAAATCATTCCCATGCCATGGGCCTTCGACACGTTGCTGGGGCTTGTCCCAGGGCTGAGGGGCAGAAGCGGCTCTCTCAGCGGTGATGAGGATGCACGGGAGGCCTCCGTCCTGGCTTTTGCTCAGACCTTTGTGGGGTTTCGGCTTCCTTTGTAGAGGTGCTGGTATGTGTCGCAATGGCTTACTTTTGACACTTGCTGGTGCAGTATGGCAGCATAAGAATCCTGGCGGTGCCTCTTGCCTCTTGAGCAGAAACCCCTTTATATAATCGCTGTGCAATGATTGTGGCTCTCCACTGAGGCCAGGCAAAAGAATTCCATGGATGACCGCCGGCCGCATTGGCACATACTAGCGTGCCTCTTCCAGCCACGTGCAACTTCCTTAACGTCCCTCCTATAGCCCTGAGGAAGCAAGCCGGTATCTTGGTTGTCCCTCAAGGCTGAGGCACACGACCTACTTCCCTGGCATCAAGGCCCGACCTGGCATAGCCCGTGTCGTGGTTGCTCAGCACCTGCCTGAGCACATTGGATGAGTGCATGAGTCTCCTTCAAAGACGTGGAAGGCCATCACGCCATTCATTGCATATGTTGCTCACCTTTCAATGGTCAAACGCCTCTCTGATTCGGGAAGCGATACAAACATGCATAGGGTAAGGTTGTCCAATAGTCTTTCATGCCAAAAGTACCGCTTGCTTTCACTAACACCGTCAAGGACTTCCGAAGTAATGATCTGAACCCCAAAACCACACCTTGAACTTCAAGACCTACTGGATGCTGACCTTTGAAGATGCAAAGGCTGAGTGCCCCGGAGTGCGTTGAACGAATACTATTAAGCCAGCTTGCGCGCGAGAATGGGGTGAGGGTTACTCAGCCTAGAGCGTCCTTTTAACTTTGACTTTTGGCGCTCCGCGTAAGATTACTGAACTGCTTCACACCGAGTGTCTCGATTTGGACGTTTCCTAGGAGTGCTGCCCCAGAAAGACTCTACCAGCATATCAAGTATAACATAAAAGCGCGTGTAGAGGCTGCATTGCTGATTTTGCAAAGTCCAAAATTCCTTTGCAAACGGCAATCCTCTAGATATTTCCTATCTCTCTCTCTGCCTTGCCATCCAGAGGGTCTTGTGCAGCAAGGGCACGCTGTACAAGTGAAACCAGCTGAGTCCCGTCAAGCACCGCGTAAGATATTTCCTATATAAGACCTATATCTCCCCTGTATAACCCTATACAAACCCTTTATAATCCTTATTACGTACTATCCCAGGCCACCAACTTCGAGCCCGATTTGGGAAAACCCTTCCGCTGGTCGCAAAGCGACAAAAAATTAGGAATGGTGTAGGGTTCAGGGTTATGGTAACAACAGTAATAATAGTAATAGTAATGGTAGTGCTTATATCATCCAACCGTAATGGAGAATCTAATGGAAAAATGGAAACTGGAGTAATATCGGGATTTAAGGGTTTAGGATCAGGCCACACGGCCTGGTCTATGGCAGCGTGGTAAGCTTTGCATTCCATTTGTGAGGCAGCATGGTCAAACAATCACTGCGCACGCAAGGATAACCCTCGACGCTACCGCAAAGCCTGATAGCAAGCACAGCACAACCCATTGCAAGCCTGGTCAATGCTTGGTTCAGTGACATCACCTCCGAGGCATCAAAAAAGGCGGACTGCTGTTTCCATGGACTCATATGGCCAGATTTGCGGCATCTCTTCAGACATGCCTTTTACGGAGCCATGTCTTGGATGTTGCTTCCGCGTGGATCAGAAGAAGAAGTGCAACAGACTCTGAAGACATGCGTGCGTACAAAGGTGTATATACAGCAATATATGCAGACAGACGTAAATCTGATCCTCACGCCGCTTGACTTGAAATTCCCGCCGAACCCAAGCACCCGCACCCCAGCACTGAGAGCCTGCTGGATTGCCACCAATTGGGACTGGAGCAGCCCTTGGAAGCCTCCACAGCCCAAAGGCTACCGATCACATTGACTTCAGGCATGCGCGGCCACTACCAGTGCAACATTCAACCAGCATGACCACGCATTTCATTGTGGCGATAGCACAGGAACTCTGAGCCTATTAGTAAACCTTGACGGGTACAAGGTACAACTGCAAACGCACCCAGTCGTAGTGTCGATGGCAGCCCTCAAGACAGATTGCCGGAAGTCACTGAAGAAGTTTAATGACAAAATATGCCAGCTTGCACGAAGAATGGCTCGTGAAACAAACACTGAAACACAAAAAGGACAGGCATCAAGCAGCGCAAACATGCGTCACTGCGGGCTGTTCAATTCTTGTTTCTGCCCTCCTGCTCTCTCACGCGGCCTGCTTCTTGGTCGCGATCCATCGCGTCGTGCTCAACCAGTCAGTGTCTGACTGGAGAGACTCACTTAGAGCCCGGACGTCAGCCGAGTACTGAGTCTTGCAGTCTCCAAGAGCGAGGCTGAATGTCTTAAGTTTGGGCATAGTTTTGGATGTTTGAGGGCTGGGCAGGGCAAAGCTCACTTTCTGAGACTCTCCTCTGCGCGAAGTTTGCTGCTGTGTCTGGTTGGGCGCACTTGCTATTTGTGCCCAAGCTGTGCAATCGGTGTCCACATCTGTCCTAGAGTCACCTTGGTTCTGTCTCCAGCCGAATGCTGCGGTTCCTTGAGGCGATGTTGGTGGGCAGGCAGTGAGGTGGGGTGTCTCAATTACTGATCCAAACACCACACGACGTGTAGACTACAAACATGACCGTAGCGTCAGCCGCCACATGCAAGAGTTTTTGTGGACAAACAGGGAGGGGCCGGCTGCCAACACAAGGCTTTCAAGCCACTATGCGCTGCTTAGATATGATGGTACCGCCTCAAAAATATGGAAACACAGGCTGCTATGAAGTCCTGTTTTGGGCCATCAAAGATGCCCATCCTAGTCTGCTGTGGCAGTTTCTTCTCACCTGCTGATGACTGCTTGTTGGATGTAGTATCGAATCAGGCTGACAGCTCACACGCTAGCACCGTTTTTCCGTGCTGCACGCTTCCTCTGAAACTCCCACACCCGGATGGACATTGCACCCTTTGGTCTGCACAACTTTGTGTGGGAGCTGTCTATATTTGTATGATTTTGTATGTATATATAAATATGCTAAGCCCCTGGAATGTCTAGACGCTGCGAAGACATCTCTGCCGTCAAGCTTGCTGTTCTTGAGAGAATACGGCAGCCGCAGTACAAAAACACTGCAGCCACGTGCACGAAATCGCTTGCCTGTGATGTTGCAAAGTGTGGGCGCGTATAGGTACTAAGGCATGCCCGCAGCGCTTGACAATAGAAGCCCTGACGTAGAATGATTTTATCAAGCTTCCAACTGTCGGGACCAACAGATCTAGCACTGCAATAATACGAGTTTTTAAATTGCTTGCACTTTGGGCACTTGTTCAAGCAAAACAGTGGTCCACAAATTGTATGGAAGGTTCAAGGGTTGCGGTGCTAGCTTTCAAGAAAACCAGAACCGGCATCCTCTTAGCGAATGCACTTCTTGAAATACACTTTCTCCTGGCCCTACCATCTTAATTGTACTTCTCGTGATTCATGCAGTAAGCTTTTGAAGCTGCTATTCACTGCCTTGCTGGGGAGATATGCTTCCAAGCAACTCAGACTTGAAATCGTCGCGAGCTTCGCTCCCACGGCCTCGACATGTCCAAGGCTTAGCAACTGAAGGCTCCTTGTAAGGGACTGCCTAATTCTTACAGGAGCAGCGGCTGCCATGAGAACTACTAAGCTATCTCAGGCCTTGAGGGGGCCGCATCTCAAGGGGCAGGATACAATGTGGGTTCAATTAACTTTTGCAGGATGTAGGGAGCTCAAGCCGTTTTGAGCCATATCTGACACTCCACTTTGTGACACATAAAATTCTGGCTGTATACTGTGCCTTCCTTGCATGTACCACTGTCCAGCAGGTTGTTTCCTGCATACAGCAAGTTCGCCGTTGGGGGCTGAAGTCTGAAATGGCTTTGCGTGCAGCCTTTGCAAACCCCTTCCAGCGCGGCTTGTGGTCAATTTTTACACGCCGACCCTTTCACCTTAGCTTGCTCCAAGTTTTCCTCACACATAAACCTGTGCACATTGGAATTCTCTTTGGCCATGGCAACCAGCCTGCTTCTGTGAAAAAGCAGGCACCCCGCGCACCCAAGTAACAAATATCCGAGTATGCCACAGACAGACTTGCAAGCGAGGCAGGCAGGCTGGTCCCAAACGCCGCCGAGGTTAAAATCTACGGCTTCGCAGCGTTCTGGGCGGAGGTCTCCGCCTGCAGTGAACGAGTGCAAGACTCTCCGCAGCCCGCTGCGCAGCCAGCTTGCAGGGTTCAGGTGGCTTTGTGTTTGTAGTCCGTACTTCTGCGTTGCGAGCCTTTGGAACCAGCATGAGGGTAAGAAGCAAGGTTTTCTTATCCGTCTTAACCTAGGCAATCATTGAGCATAGAAGCTGTTGTGCTTCCAGTACTCTTCACATCCCAGATTGCAGAGCCGGCCACTCTGCAAGCATGCTAAGTTACTAGCATAAGCCAAGCAATTTCAGATGTCAAGCGCACACCTCCGTGAAGCCAAGGCTGCCAGTGCCCCTGCCTCTTTGGCAATCATGACTCTGCTGCTCTTCACATGAGCACACTACCCAACTGCCATTTAACTGTTGAAAGTCAAAATGTGACCAAAACCGACCAGAGTGAACCGAGGTTGGTGTCTACAAGGTCCTGACATCCAACAGCCATGGCAGCCATGTTCGTCGCCAACTGAAATTCTTGAATGCAAGTGTCTTCCCGCCTGGCTTTCGCTCGGCAATCCAGCGACGGGCTGCTGCAAGGAGGCGGTAGAAGCTGCGCAGACCTTTCCAGAAAAAGTAGTTTGTTTTAAGATGTTTCAGCTTCAGTACTGACCTTAGAGAGCTGTACAATTTCCACGGCAATGGTGGTGGAGTAAGCTTTTTGAAATCTGTCTACCTAGCCTAAGCACAGGCCTGGAATAAAACAAGCATCCTTCTGTAGACGACTGGTGGGCCTTGAGGCGTAGTACACTTTAGGCAGATGCGTTGCTTGACTAGCCTTCCTGTGCAAGTTGAAGCTGATGTGGCTGCAACGCCCTGCTCATTTATCTCCACTCTATCAAAAGACGGATCCCCTTCCCGCATTTGAAAAGAAGAATCGGCACCGGACCACCACTCACGATGTCATAACGCACAGAAAGGTAAGTGCAGCAGTGGCAGCCACAAAGATGACTGCTATTTAAAAGCATGACAGTAGATACAACCACCCAAAGCAAGCAAAGCGCTAATCGCGTGCTATCCAAGAGCAGAGACACGAGCCAGAATGGAAGCAAACAAGACACGGCACGTGGTTTCTAACCGTCCGCCTTTGAAGGGATCGCCCCCTTCTGGGTTGGGGCCTACAACCGCCGCAACGTCGGACCACAATGCCGGAAGCACCTGCAAGAAGAGGGTCCACACGGCTCAGTCAGGTCTGCTGCTCCGCATGGTGTAGACATCCTGCTTGTTGGCTGTAGTTTAACCCCGAATCTGCGGCATCCCTCAACATGTCAAGCAGGCAAAGCAAACAGTTCAACACTAGAAGACACCAAGAAGACAGACTAGGCCTCACCTTACGTTGCCAGACATGCAAGACCCAGCCAACACTTGCCCAAACAATGGCATCTACGCATCTTCGCGCATTCTGTAAGCCTTGAGGTTGCATCAAAAGCCCAAGCGATGAGTGGAAATCAGACCTCTAGAAGGTGTCAGGCGCCCTCTTATGTTCTCTGAGATGGAAGTCCAGACACTGCGCTTTTTGCCGTGCTTTAGTTGTAGCTGCGCGCGCAGCAAATCGAACAGTCTATGGTCCGGAGAGTGGCAGCTTGCCAGAAAAATCCACTACTATCGGGATGCTGTACTGAGGGACGTCTCACCTGACGAAGTACCCCAGCGCATCAGCTTCACAGCCCTCATGCGAACAACGGCCAACAGCATGCTAGGGAATCAACATGCCACCATAAAAGACCTCGAGCTGAAAACGAATGCCAGCTTTTGGGAGATGCTGACCACGGAGCTCTTACCATCTGATTCAAACTCTGTTTGGCAGTTCTTTTAAATTAGACTCAGAAATTTTGGACACTGTGTGCTGCAGGTCCTACTTGCATGTCAGCTGTGAGGATGTGGCTCATCTGACCAGGCCGGGGAGCATTGCACGTCTGAGGAGGAGCTACACATCATTTTTGCCAAGTATGTAGGCCACGTGCGCTGCTACCCTGGTCCAAGTCTGTGGAATCATGAACGTTAGTCAGACTTACATGATGGACTATGGGAGCGTCGCTTTCTTCGTCCACTTCCCCTCAAACTGGCCCTCTGGGAAGCGTATCGCGTTGTTTTCCCAGGTGGCCTGGGCATTGAAGTGTCGCGGACGCATGAAGTTGGTACAGGTGCTTCTTTTCTTTTGTTCATGATTGCTATTCCAAGCATCATGCCAGGCGCGAGTATGCTACGTTGGACGATTTGCATGCTGAAAGCAAGCCGGTCAAATGCAATGCGAAAACTCTGGTCTGTACGTGCGACAGAGAAGAAGAGTCTTTGTTGTTGCTTTCCTTTAGAGAAGGGTCGGCAAAGCTATTGCTGACGGTTGAAGATCAAACCCATTGAAGATACCTGAGGCTGTTGGCGCTGCAAAAGCATCCGAATCAGGACTCAGAACATCTCAATAATCTAGCAAGAGCCACTGCTGCAAGCCATCATCCCCTGCCCCTGTGGTGATCCACTCTGCTGCATCTTATCCTAGATTCTTGGAAGTGTTTCAGAGACATGTCCCTTACTAGGACTGGAGGCGCTCCGATGCAAAGGCTTTGAGCACTGGATTGGCGAAGGGTTGGAGTTCCGCACAACTCTGCGCAAGCCGCCTTGCAACAACAATGACTCATCCGGGCACAATACTTGTCCCACGAAGGGCCCCTCGTTGGAACAGAAACTACTGCCGGCAGTATTCAACAAGAGTCAATGAAGATGTGCCAGCTGCTTTGGCCTGCGACCTAAAAGCAGACAAGTCGCAACAAGGCGCTCAGGACCCCCACGAGTGCGAAAGTCCAGGATCATTTCCTGGCTGTTTCAGCTGGGTGGCCAGGAGTCCCCAGACAAGTCTGTCTGAAGACTAAAGAAGTCTTGCGAGGGTTTCTTCTCCGAAGCAGAGAGGACCCTCAGTGCAGATCGTATGTGATGAGGATTTACACGGATGGTGCAGTGTGATTCCGGATTTAGATGTGTGGGCCTTGACTGTCTGGGGCCAGGCGTGGAACAAGTCCAGCCCACATTCCTTGCTGAAGATGATGTCTTTCTGGCTTGGTTCAAGACAGACCCCTGCCCTTTGACAACTAGCATGCGGTAGAGACGCCGCAGAAATATGTCCGGCGGTGTTGAAACATGAGGTGAAATACGACATCATTTACTGTCACATTTTGGCATCGCCGTTCCGAATTTGGGAGGGTTGGGGTTGCTCAAATACTCTTGTGAAAGGATGACTAGCTCACTTGCTGCCAAGGTTTTGCAGCTGCTTGTAGCAGAACTCATGGAGAACTTAGCAACGAGGGCCTGGTGACCTCCTGCTGGCTTGGCTGTTTACCTACAAGTTTTGGCGCGGTGTTCTTATGATATAATTGACTAAGATGAGGTCCGAATTTGGGGGGAGCCAGTCTGCAGTCCCAGCTGCGTTGTAAGACGAAAGGCTGAGCTTCCCTGCAACCGTCCAGGGCCGCTCCTGAACCAAAAGTGGAGGTGCTCTGGCCGATTGCCATGATGATAAGGGACGGATACAAGTAACGGAAGCAATTCAACAACTGCAAGGCAAAACGAAAGGATTGCAATTGTAATGACGCTTGAGGATCATGGGGGAAGACAATGCTTCTAGGGCAAGCAGCGGGGAGAATAGGAGCCAAGTGCGGGCCGACTGCAAGTGTAAAGTCCAACATGTCCGTTGAGCTAGCCGTCGAGAGACCTATACGTACACCTCGCCCTCACTGCAATGTTAGCACAAGGTGCTTCAACCCATCCTTCTCACCGTTGCCGCAGCCCGGTTTTCCTTCTGCAGCTGTGATGTTGACCTGCAGGGTGCAGGGTTCTAATCCGCGAAGCTTTCTCAAAGAAATCATTCAGCAGTACTGTGTGACTCTCTTGCGTGAGTACCCCCATGGCATGCACATGTTCGCATGGCAGTGCAAGGAGCAGAATAAGGCCCTCTGCAACATCTTTAACTGGATTTCTGAGATCAGGGACCCCGAGGTCCGGCTAGTCTCTGCCCTGAATGTCCTTTTCCCAGCCACCTTCATGCCATCCACTCGCACCTCGCGCTTGCAGCCAGGGTGGTCAGGATCCTCGTAAGAACCTGGGTTGCATACACTGGTGTAGTGTTTCGGCAAAGGTGGTCCTATGTTGAGGTACGCAACAGCCTTCTGTTCAAGATTTCGGATTTCAGGCATGTTTGTTGGAACTGCGGTGAAACAAAGCATGGCTTGGAGTTTCGCAGCTCATCTCATACGTCAATCTGACAACCCACAAATTCTACGTAAACTTCCCAACTAGCTGAACTATGCTGAACTCTGAATCTTGTGTCCTTTTCGGAAACCTCTCCTAGCACTTGTCTTGTGTCTGCTTCCAGCTGGTTGATGGTCTACACGGGGGCAGCATGATCCAGCACAGCCCCCAGCAAACATTTCCGACCTCCCCCCCCCTCGCAAACCTCGCATCTTGCAGATAAGCTGTGCCGCAGCTTTCGGGGTTGTGTAGTAGTTCGACACGTTGCGCTTGGTAGCAGCAAGCATCAGAATCTATTGGCGGCATTGATCTCTTCTGCGAACATTTTGCAGATGGCCCGAGCCCCGCGCCCTGCCAGTCAGGCACCTGCGCCCAGCTGACTGCTGGCCTTGCTTCTGTGCTCATGCTTTGAAATTCTTCGGGGGAGGAAGGGCTGGGCCATAGTTTACAACTCCTGCAAGTCTGCTGAACTCACAGCTAACCCTTTAATGTCTGGGCGCCGCAGAGCAGGCGCCAGGGCAGCTGCCAGGGCAGCACGGCGACCCAGCCCGGGGCTCAGGAAAGCTGGCGTCCTGCCAGCCACATGCAACCGCCAGTACGGCCCATCTTTTGCTTGCGTGTCGATACGGGCTACATGGTGCAAACCCCAGCTGCTACATGGTGCAACTGCAATGCAGAACTTTGCTGCAGTGGGTGCAGTTGAACGCGAGATCCAAATTGCAGTGAACAACAGCTGAAGCGGCCAAGAACACTTGTCCTTATGTTGCCCGAGTTGCCAGGATGCAAAGAACTGCAATAGGTTTTATTCTTACTTGTAGGAAGTGGACCTATGGACTGGCCCACTCCGATTTCCTCTGCCAATCATGATGACAGGGAATTCCCTGCCTGCATCTCTGCATCGTCACAGCCAAGAAGACCTCTGTACAATAACAATTCCTAGCTCCAACACATGCGCTTCAAAAAGTGTCAAGCTAACTAACGATTAACCCAGTTCTCGCAACAACCGCTACGGTGACACTGAGTCGCAGGCGATACATGCGAGGGCAAGTGAACGAGCCCGTGTTGGTGGTTGTTTCGTCATGGCACTGGCAAATGGCCAGGTGGCTGTGCGCCACTTTGGATCACACGCCCGTACAGGTTGCTGGGTATTTTCACAGTTTGTCCGGGCTTCCGTAGAACTTGAAGAAGGCAGAAGCTGAGACTGTCTCGTTCTGCTCTCTGATTGTCGTAGCATATGACGTCATATGTCTACCAATCTGGCCGTGAGCAAGAAGAGAGTCGCAGGCGCCAACATCTTCTGTGACGAAAACATGCGAATGCAGAATGCAATTCCCCGACATTCTCCACCTGCATGGGTGTGCTTCCTGAGCGGTAGCCTCGTCGCCTTTGCTGCTTTGACTACACCTGTTGAAAATGACTGTCGACGGTAAACACATCCAGCACAGACAGCTCACATAGGATTCATAATCAACCATGCAGAGCAGCTTCATGAAATCTTGCTCATGCACGCGTAGGTTGCTTGCGCCTGCATCACTGCCAACCGGCAGGCAAGGTGCTCCTGACTCAGCTGGAGAGGGCACTTGGCAGACGCGGGGACGATGTGTCAGGAACATGTACCAATGCGCAGAGGCCACCGGCCCGGGTTGAAGGAATCTTTCGTGGCTGTTCACCCGTAGACTTTTCTAAAAGAGTTTCCGCAGGGTGCTTGGCCAAACTAACCGCAAAGGCTGAGCCTTGACTAGAAGGAGAAAGAAGCAAAGCAACCGAGCCGTACCAAGTCCCTCCGTATTCCAATGTTGGGAAGATGTTGTCTAGCTATCTGCTCCCCGAATGCGGAGTCAAAAGCCTCTCCCGCCCCCTTACCGCGACAGACCTCCACCAGGACCTTGGAGAGCAGGCCAACTACCGAAGTCGCCTCGCCACTCCAGCCTGGCTACCATCACATGCTGTAAAGAACACAGGCGATCACAGGCAGAAACACAGACAAGGCCGCTTGTTTTGAGAAATCCTTGGCGCGCCCAGAAGATCGCACGAATCTGGGAGGGGGAGTTTCGTCACAGCTGAGCTTTTCGGATGCCTCTCTCTTTGCCTTCATCGTTGCAAGATGACTCACTCCGTCTTCCCAATCACTGCATCTTCATGTGAGGTTCTCTTTTTTTGGGCCAAGGCTAGATTTTGGCATGACCCGGCCGAAACGCTCCTCACATGAAGACGGGGCATGGCCTTTGAAAAGCATTCAATTGAAATTTTGGAGCTTGGATGGAGCAGCGGTTGCTTATCGCACCCACAGCTTCTACACAAATATTTGCATTATCATTCCTTAAAGGTCCCTTGGACGGCGGCTTGGCTAGAGGGGAAAGTCTCAGAAGCCGCGGGTCTTGGGCGGCAGCAGCAGCTGAGTCAGCGTGTTTTGGTCCGTCGTGCTCAGGGCCTATAGGTGAATTTGGCATATTCAGCAGAGCATGATGCGCTGAGAGGGCTACAGCAATCCTTGCTGCAGAATGCCCCGGGTGTGCTCGTTTCTTATCAGCGCTTGCAGATGCTTCACGCATTCTTATCTACCAGCAGGTGCGCGGGGCCTCTCTCACCTGCAACCGAACTCTGACTGATGATAGTTGCACCTCCCAGATCAGAAAGCCCCCTGAGGCTGCAGCATAGAGAATCCCGAAGAACACGATTGTTATCACCTTGCAAGGATCAAACAACTTCCTGAATCTGGGCTCGCAGCCAAAAATTATGTTCTACAGCAGGAAACCTTTCTCCAGCAAAAACCGGACCCTGAAACTGAGCTTCCCGACCTCAAGTACAATAGCTTTCTGAACGAAAACCTGAGATGTTCCTAATTCATGTTCGGCGGCCGGCCGTCAATAGCTATGCCAGCCTCACGTAAATGACGTAATTGGCGGGGCTCAAATAGAAACGGACGGCAACCTTGATTGTTGTTGCAACTGCCTTAGGCTTACTGTCTACGTCGTGCGTTGTCTGCTGAAAGTGCTACGAGTACACATTAAATATAACTTTGAATCCTTCCAGAGTTGGCTGAGTTGGCTGCTTTACTTGAAAAAACCTGGCTCTTTTGGCATGACGACATCCCAAAAAGGCAGACCCTCGACTCCATATCACACTGCCAACAGCCGAGGCAGCTGCTCCTTGGATGAGCCGAGCATTGCCCATGAACCTGGGGTCACTGATTAGGCAAATCTTGGCAGCTGTTCTGAAAACTTGGATCTCATTGTGGTCATCCTAAAAACTTGAGATGTCGGAACTTAGATCCGCGTATTTAAGAGAAACCGCTGCATGAAGAAAGCCATGAGTTTTGCCTCACTGCTTTATTGAAGTCTTTCAACGGAATGCGCAATCTTGTCATATGCCAGCAAGGCTGCATGAGGCCGCTGGCGTCGTTGATCTCGCTTCTAACTCGCCTCAGCATGCGACCCCTTGAAGAGTTGCCGGGCTGCGACGGGCTCTCATTGTGCAACGGCATATTTGTATCTCTGATCCCAGGTGTTTTAACTTTAGATTACTTGCTTGGCAGCCGTAACGAGTACGTTGCCGGTCCTCTGCTACAACACCAAAACCCTCAAAGAGGGGCGGATGCAATGTGGCAGGTCAAGGGGGAAAGCAGGAGATGAAGCCCACATTGTGCTGTCATATCAAATCAAAAGCCCATTTTCTGCAACAGTAAAATGCCCGACGGCTCTTGATAGCGCTTGGTCATCTGAACGCGGATCTCCATCACCTCGTCCGGGAAGATCTCGTCACCCATGATTGCCTTGTCTGGCACCAGGAGGAATGAACTGAAGGAGCCAACATGCTCCAATTCAGAAACCGCCAACAAACTGCAGCCACCAGGCATTGTATGCAGTCACCAATTTCTGGAAACCTCGGCTGTTGGAAGCCTATACAAAGTGACAAAGGGCAGCGATGATTAAAGGGCGCAACAGCCCTATACTGACAATACATGGCATCCATATCTGCAGTGGCCGCGTGTGCCAGTCCTGTTGTGCCCACAACCTCTGCATAGGGCCTCGACCTACTTCAAAGCCGAATTCTTTCAAATCCACAGTGAAGGTCCTCGGGGTTGTGTTACTTCTCTGCTCGTGTCGCCGAGGCTCGCTTCTCGGCCTCTGGATCCTCAGGGTTTACATCCGGATGCTCCTGGGCACGGCCAGGGATCCAACAAGAGCGAAAAATTCTGGACTTTGAGGGGTAAAAGTTTAGGAGCCCTCCCAGGCCCAAGGCTTCTTTTTGGCAGATTCCACTTGCTGAATTAGGCCTCGGGTCATGCAATCTCAACAGAGGAGCAAAGGAATTTAGTAACACCTTGGCATTGTCTTCAAGGTGAGAAGACCTGTCCTGTAAGCCATGATTCAAGCATCTTTAAGACTCCATCTGTGATGATGCCAAGAACCATTACTTGTGGCAGCAGCAGCTGCTGTTGCTGCTGCTAGAATTTCTGGTGCTGCTCCCAGCTGCCAACCACCTCCCAAGCCTGCCACGACTGTCTACATCAATCAGACCCAAGGCTCCGAGAGCGCAATCCTGCGGAAGGCCTTGCGTGCATCCTCGGCGTGCTGAGTTCTGGGATTCGGCATGATGACAAATTCAGCCAGTGCTCTTGTCTGACATGAGAGTTGGGGTTGGAACTGTTCGATGTAGCCAATTGACTAGTATGGCGACGTGAATCGCGGGTGCTGGCCGGAAATACTGGTAGGCTAAACGACTAATAGACTCTCCTCCTCATTTACCCATGCCAAACCCCGTCATTTGTTGTTTTGCACGCTGACTACTTAAGCTAGAACTTCTGGAGAGCAAGCAAGTCCAGCTATCTCGAAACTTGGCAAGCCAAGTTGCGCCCTGGCTGGTGCCTCTGGGCAAACCCAGGACCTGAGCACTTAGAGTGCTGAGAGCTGGGTGGGTGGGTCTTCAAGGTTTTGACTTCAGGCTTCACAGCTTGTAACCTCCGTCTAGCTACGTGAAGTCTATTCGCATGTATTAGTTTCCTTGTCATCCCTCCGCAAGGCAAAATCCACGGAAATCTCTAGAACCTTAGATGCAAACCAAGCCGGGAAGAATTTGGTTGACTGAAGTCAGCTTCGGGCATCCTCCTACCAAAAGTTCCCAAGACAGTCCTGAAGGGTGATCCTTTGCTTCCATTGCAAAGTGTAGGATCTTGAGGTCTTTTGAACCAGGCAGGAAACCTACTGGCCAGCGGCATCTGTTTAGACCAAAAAAGTGGATCCTACTGCTCACTTCCTATAGCCTTCCATAGTCTTTCGATGTCTTTCGGCTTCCAGCTCTGGCCAAGGTGTTTCTACATATCTTGATACATGCAAGCAAAAAAGTCCCAAGAACAACATCATCATAATAGTAATAACAATGATGCGGCAAAACCCCTTTGAATTTCACAATCGCTTCTGCTTGAGGCAGTTGAGCAATGTGATTGTTGAGTTACAATCTCCACAATTCGCCACATAATCGATCTTACGATAGATCACATTTTCGGACCCCTGCTTTCTAAATGTCGAAGTGTTGGGGCTTCGCAAGCCGAGAAGCATCGAAGGGGTTCTCCGTCTTCGGCTGAGGGGCCGTCGCCCAGCGTGCAGCTTTTAAAGCCCGATGGCCCTGGGACCTTTGCAGGCAGTGGCTGCAGGGACCAGACGGAGTACAGAAGGTGTTTCTTAGAGAAACGGATGCAAATGTCAAAAACCAGGCAGCAGAAGCAGCGTCCAGTGAATTGGCAAGCTATTAAAATGGTAATGACACACAAGACTCGCTTTTTTGGGGGGAACGAAAAATCGCCCTCCACCGCACCTGCTCTACCAGAAAATCTCATTCGCACACTAGATCGGCAGGCCTCCTTTTCCTCTGACGTCGGGCTTTACCTAATCAGAGCCTAAGCACATCTACACACTTTGGCTTGCTCACTTGGCACCAGCAAGTGCGGCCTTAGCTTGCTCAAGGGACTCCTTCTCCTGCTCGCGTGCGGTCTTGCGGGTCTCATAATTCTTCAGCAGCCAGCTGCACTCCTCCTCCAGTTCCGCGCCATAGTCCTTCACATCCTTGAGCTCCTCCTTTTCAGCCTTTTTGGCTTCCGACTTCTTCACTACCTCGCCCTCTGCCGTGGCCTTGGCCTTCTGCTTTGAGGTGATTGCCTTCACGTCGGCCTCACGCTTAGCAGCGGCATCGGCCAGCATGTCTTCGTAGAGCTTCTGAGACTCCTTTTCGTTGTACTGAGCCTCAGCCACAGTTTTCTCAGTCTCAGTGATGAGACCTTCGAGCATATTCAGCACGCCATTGCCCTGCACAGTTTTGGCAGCTCCGAACTCAGGGGGCTCTACCTTCATCTGGTGGGCCTCGACCTGAACGAAGGAAGGGGCCTCCTGAGCTCACAGGGAACATTTGCTTCTGCATAATGCTTACTGTTACAGAGACAAGAACGGACTCTTACTCCCTTTTACGATCTTGAGGCCCCTTTGAAAGCACTCCATTTCTCTCCTGGACCAGTCCCAGGTCGTAGGGGCCGGTAGTGGACAGCGTGGTGGTCATCTCCGGATGGTAGAACCTACAATCAACCTAGACCTATACGTACACTATACTTGAAATACCCATAATACCCGCTTCTACGACGCTTTCACGCTACGCCTTATCAGCTCGACATATTTTTTAAATTCTTAACGTTTCTTAAGTGGAGAAACATTCCAAGCAGGGTCCAGGACCAAGGAACTGGAACAGCCTGTCCTTGGCCATCAGCAGGACGTCCTTAGTGGCCGCTTGCTCCTGGAGAAGAAAGGCATTTCTTGCGGTCACTAAAGACATCATTGCCTGTTGCAGTTGTATTCGAAGGCTAAGCTGCAAGGACTTGAGGCTGCGTTTGGACCTGAACGGCTATGATCAAATTGCTGATACCTATAATGCTTATGGCTTGTGCTGCTCTCGCTCTAAGCACCAAAGATTCTATTCTCATCATTGGGGCTCAAGTTCACATGGGACTGGAGGAAGTTTGAAACTCCTGGATGGTCTTCTGAAACTCCTCATGCTCCTTCTTGCGCATGTCCGTGGATTCGGCTACCGACTTGTCCAGCGAGGCCACGCCTTCCTGCAGGGCCTTAATCTCCTCCTCAACTGTCTTCGCGGCATCCTCCTGGGTGGTGATTGCCTGCTCGAGGGTCTGGATCTTATGACGAAGCGCCTTCGTTTTGCGGGTGTTCTCAAAGGCCTGCTTGTTGCAGTAGTTCTTCTTGTCATCATCGTCCGACTGCTCTTGCTCCATGAGGGCTGTCATGTTGTCAATCATCTTCATCACTGTTGAGAAGTCAACTCCCTTGTGAGACAAGGCCAGCATGACCAAATCCACGCTTGTTCGATTGGCCACAGCCTCAGAACCCATGCTCTTGCTGTAGGTCTTCAGTGCGTTCAGCGCCTTGCCCCGCAACTCGGAGCCTTCCAACTGCAGAAGGCTCGGGCTTGGCAGCGCCTTCTTGAAGAGACCCAAGTTCTCATCGCTGTTCAAGATCTTCACTGTCTCCTGAATGGCAAGCAACTCCTCATTGCGAGTCTTCTCACGCACGTCCCATTCCTTGGTCTTGGTGTCGCAGGTCTCGGAGAGCTTCTTCAGGACGTCGAAGTCCTTGGAGAGGGCATTCTGCGCGTCTTTGAGCTCGCCCTTAAGCTCAACTAGCGAGACTTTGAGAACTCCGCGTCGGTCGATCTTGTCAGCGATGGTCTCTTCGATTGTCTCCTTCTCTGTGGTCTTGGCGTTCATCAGCTCATCGAAGATATTCACCTCCTTAACCTCCTCCTTGTCATCCACAACGACTTCCTTGGCCATGTCTTCACGCTGCACTTCCAACATGCCTTTGACCTCACCGATGCCTTGTGTCTGAGCCTTGCCCTCGAGGAAGGAAGTGAGCACCTGCCGGTCGCTTTCAGTGGCACTCCTCTGTGAAACCACACGACGAAGCCCGTCGACCTGCTTCTGCGAGAGGCCCATCAAGTGACTTGTCTGGACGAACGCACCCGAAGTGGCCTCAGCCAGGGCTGGCATGGCCTGGTCGATTGCCCCGATGTCGCCCTTCAACTCGGTGACCTCATCAACGTAGACGGTATGCTCCTTCTCACGTTCCGCCCCAGCACGCTTCATGCTGTCTATCGTGGCAGCTTCTTCCTCACGCTGCGTGTCAATCTCCTGGGTCAGCTGCGAGATCTGTGCTTCAGCTGTGCTGATGTCCGACTCCAGCTTTGGGACAGCGGCCTCAAACTCAGCTTTGCCTTTGTTGAAGTCCTCTAGCTCAGACTTGCAGTGGCACATGAACTTGTCGTAAAGATCTTTCTCAGACTCCCCCTCTTGCTCAATCTTCTCTGACATCTTCTGCATCATGTTCACAACTTTTCTGATGGGGTTGGCGGCCAGTGCGACGTTTGTCTTCGTTGCGGCGCCCAGGCCGAAAAGCAACGGGGCGCAAAACATCCACATGCGCACAATGAGCGCACCCGTGTTTGCAGCTGCCATGCTGCTCTGACTTCGTTGAAGCAAAGAGAGGCCCGGCTCCCCACCGCGCTGATGGGAATAGCTTGAGCCGCAGCCTTCTGCAAGCGGAAAGGCCTCAAACCTGCAAGACTCCCCGACCCATGTAGAGACCACCCATGCAAGCACACAAAGGGCATGAATCAGCCTACATCACACCTGGGGAGCCCAACACGGGGTCCACGAAGCAGCGCAAAGCTGCGAGCGATGCCAAGAGCCTAGGCCGGATCTGGAGCAAAGATTTGAAAAGCTTGTCAAGTGCAGTGAACAGGGGCCGTGGGCCTCATGAGATCACCCTGAAGCTCCACTGCGCTAGAGCCTGGACGCTTGGAGTGGCATTTACACATATTACCGTAGACTGGTAGACTAGGCCATAGAGGTTCCTCTCTTAGGCATGGGCACTCTGCAACACATGCAAGGGCAGCAATAACACCTTGTGTGTATAACAAAATTTAAAGGTAGCAGGATAATGCGAATAGATTCAGAGATAGATGCCAAAAACTGGATCAGTGCTGTGGCGGAGCAGTGCCAGGCCGGGCAGGCCCCGCGCTCGAGACAAGGCCATGGTGATGGCGGCAGCTGAGATGAGTAAACAGGCCTTGTGTCTACTGGCACATGGTAGCAGCTTTGCCCATGCGCTCTTCCGAAGTCAGCTTTTGGCTAGGTAGGCTCGAGGTGTCGTACGATGCAGGTTTGCAAGCATGTCGCGATTTCCGGTCGCAGTTGCAAACGGCATTGTTGACTGTCACAGTGACGCCTCCTCGCTTTTCATGGATTTGCCACGTCTGAGCCAAAGATGCATACCAGGCACACGTGGGGTTGCTACTCATCATGCGGACTTTCATCGGCAAAATGCTTGACTGCGGCGGCCATTATGGGGCACAAGTAAGAGCGCATCCGGCACTTGGGCTGAACTGTCACAGTACTGGCTACCGTATCACGTGCCTGATGCATGTTGACCCATTCTTGAACCCTGAATCCTCCACCCCCTATGCCTGGCATGCGAGACCGCTGTCGGTCTAGGCGGTGCTGTACACCTCCCAGAAAGCAAATATGAGCCGGTGGCGTACGAAGACTATGCGTTCAACCCTTGGGTCTTCGATGTTGAGCCGCCTTGGGGTTTCATGGGGCTTGGCATTGCACTGCAGGCCCCAGGCCGTACAGGCAAAGTTTTGCGAAATTCTCTGGCGCAGAAGGGTTCGTAAAATGCGTCTAGCAGGACATGTCATCGGTTGCATCCTGTCGTACAAGTGCTTGGGCCAGCACTCGGGTTTGAGAGATTGTGCGCCATACTTGGACAAGGCTGGCAGGAGAGGAGTGGACACACTACGCAGCGTGCAGCGATTAGATGGAGGAAGCGGATGCCCTCCACAAGTTCCAGAAACCAAGTGTCAAGTTGCTGGCAGAAATAATCACACCTTGCACGCGCAAGGCTAATCGCAAGCGAACGAACATCAGGCATTCTGCGTTGCATATTCTCCAGTTTAAGGGTACCACTAGCAGTTTTGATGGATTCAATGCCTACGTTGCTGCAATTTGGCTACAAGTTGTTGAAAATTAGGCTTTGCAGGGATTCCCTGCTCAAGGATCAGCAGATGTGAGGATGTAGCGGCGCTGCTGTCCGGGTGCCAGGCATCAGTTTTTGAGTTTTGCGGGTGCCCTTCATAAAGCAAACTATACTTAGCACAGCTTCTGGACATGGGAGTAATGCCTGCAAAAAATTCTGCTATCAAGCCAGTCCTACATTCTCCGAAAGGGAACTGCTACTCACTGTTTAGACGCCCGAAGCAGCTTTAGCCTTGCAGTTCCAGACGCCAGCGATGCTTGGAGCGAAACTGCCGACGCAGAACCGATTCCTGCGAAGCTTCCGGGCTTAGGACACTTATTAAAGAAACCTGATTTCGAGGAAATTGTTCGGAGCCTTCAGAGACTAATTTCCCCTACTTGTAGCAGTGGGGCATTAGTCATGCATTTTGAAAGCAGGGAGCTTTGATCTTCAGTTCTAGTAGCAAGGGGAGACCAAATCCTGCGTGCGCTAGCCGAGAGCATCTGGCATCTATCTAGCCGATAGTATAGGCTCTAGTGCTCATTGAGCTACCAGGAAACCGTCGGCAATGCTTGCAAGGCTCCACCCAGCGACGATATGGAGCATTCGCCCAGCCGATGAAGCTCATGGCGAGGGATCCTGAAGTCTGCGTGGGTAAGGTGCTCACCAAGTCAAAGCTGTTGCGAACTAGGCGCCCAGAGTGCCCTGCCGGGTTGATCTTGTGAGGACTTCAACCTTAGCCCACAGGCCACGGAACAACGTGCCCGGATTGGCTACGAACTTCCGGCGCACACAATGCAATTCAAGTATGTTAAGCTACCTTGCCGGTCCTTGCCCCTCTGCTATGATCGAGGCGGATACGCTAGGCGCAACAAAACATGAATCTCGCAGCAGGCTCGAGACAGTAGGCCAGAACACTTATGAGCAAGCTCGGAGAAAAGGCAGGGAGGGCCACTTCTCAATGCAAATCAGAAAGCTTGCCCTGGTGCAGGACCAATGCTGTTATGACGCATGGCTCAGGGTCCATCACCTCCCCCTCGTACGCTGAACCCCCAGCTTCCTAATAGGACCCACCAAGGCCAGTAACTGGCATCGTTACCACCTCATCGCGGGGGCATTCCACGTGGGGACAGGTCCTCAACAAGCGCAGCCGCTTGTCTCGGCCCCTTGGCAGAGCCGCAGGTATGGTGGTGCACGGTGATGGTGCACCAACCACTCGGAGTGATGAAAATCTTCAAAACATCATCAGGGGCAACTGTTACGTGCTGTGCTATCAACGGTGGAAGCGTGCTATGGTCCGTGTGGCCGATTTAGGCAGACCAGCATCCCGTGAAGTGTGAGCCACCTTATAGTAGACCGAGCCTTGAAAGCTTGTCTCACTTAGATCGCGCAAGCGATCATCGTCCTGCGAACTGAACGTCAAACAGTCTTTTGCTTTGCTTTGAAGGGATGGAGGGTGCCCTCCGGCAAAGGTAAACCCCTGAAGAGGTTCTGTCCTCGGTGTGGAACAACCGGTTGTGCTGCAGTTGTGAAGACAGCTCTACTTTGAAGGGCCTACTTGTAAATGGAAATTAGACACAAACCAACTAGACGCCGCGAAAGATGCAGAGGCAAACAGTCCCTTCTTCTTCTTCTCAAGGTGCTAGGAGGCCCTACGGCCCCCCGGGGGCCCAGCCCCCCACCTGCGCGCGTCTCAGTGCTGGTCGGGACTCTCGAGGAACGCGGCTTTCTTTCATTTGGGCTCTGGGGACACCTTTTCTTTCTTTCTTTCATGCGGGCTGTGGGGCGATCCTGGAGGATCATCCCAGGCTCCTGCCCAGCCCCTGTTGGGCCTCGTGGTTTGAACTTTCACCCCTCTAGACCACATTATGGCTGAGTTTGGGGATGTCGAGGAACTTGCAAAAGCCTGGTTACGTCTTAAGTCATGATTAGGAGCTGATAGCGTTGCCATAACGTGGACATGCTGAGTATGACACTTGCTGGTGAGACTAGGCGGCCATGTGCTTTGTGTTCAAGATGTATTGGTGGCTGAGATGGGGGCCCTGTGGGAAATACGGTTTAACTGACTGTAAGGTGACTGGCCCTGGTTGAGGTGGTGAGACTGGCCTCGACGCCGCCTTGGGGTAACTACTAGCTAAACAACAGCAGACCTCTCTCTCTCTCTCTCCTCTTTTAGCCTTCCCTCTCTCTCTGTTTACATATATATATACACATACATATGCATCATTCCACAAGCTCCTTACTTTGCGCTACAGCCCAGAACAAAGGACGCAATATGATGCAATGAGGGCCCCGGCCCAGCCAGCTTCGGGATCTCCCAAGCCCGGAGACTTCACCGCCAAGGTGGGGTGGATCTCCATGAGGTAGGCCTTGCTACGGGGAGAAAAGCGATTGTAAACTCAATGACTGCACGCGAAGCTTATCTCCATGGCAACCAATTGTAGGCGTAGTTAAAGTAGCCACTGGCACGAAGAAGACCTCTGCGGGTCAAGGTTTTGGAAGGTCTCTGGCGAGAACTCTCAAATAAGGTACGACACCACCCTTGGAAAGATTGAACACCACTGTAGGAGCCCAAAGCTAATGTACTCCGAAACTATATTTCTTGGAATTGCTTGTCTACAGAGCCCCGCAGGCCACAATTCTCTTGACAATCTGAACAATCTGAGCCCAACGGCTCGGGATCGCTCCACTTCACCAAAATGCAAGGCAAATCGGCAAATCTGCCCTCCATCCTTTCTGCAAGATTAAAGCCTAGAGGCTTCTTGAACGGTGAAAAAACCATAAAATTTGATAGCCCCTTCATTAGAATACCCCCGGTGCATGCGAAAAGATCATTACCTATGCACCCCTCCGACCCTCACCCTAACTTTTAAACGCTCCATACATACCTTGTGCCGGGATTTTTCATTTGTGCTTGAATTCGGCCAACTCACTCGGCCCCGCCGGTCGACAACCAGATCTGCGAAAAAGTGAAAACCTGCAGGAGCTTAGATTCCCATGGGCACTTATGATCTAAATATACTTGTAAGTATAGGCAATGGGCCCTCTGCATTGCATGTCGTGAACTTCCTTCTACCATGGCCTGCTAAGCACGCAAGTCACTGCTGAAATCGTTCTGTTAAAATGATTCCCAGAATTTTGAGACACGCCCGTGCTATTTGAGGCCATGCCTACAGAGCCGCAGGCATGGTGGATGGCCTAGGCGGGCGGGACCCGTTTGTTCAGATCACGTTCTTGGCAAAAATGCAGTTACTGCGCAATCTGCCCTCCAATTGTCTGGTACGCGGCAGGTGGTGGATCTCTAGTTAACTTTGAGCAGCCTACTGTTGGCAAGCCTTGCAGCAGCTGGCTTTAAAAGAAGCCGAACAGCAATTAGGCTTCGAGGCCCCGTTCATACTGAATCGGGGCCAAATAGCTGGAGCCAAGTTGCGTTAGAGGCGCAATCCAGTTTGTTTCTCGTGCCCAGCCTCTGTTCGGTCCAGAAGCTGAAAAGCACAACATGGCACGAACCACTTGGCGCAAAGAGTTGCGAAGGATGGTAGCTTCTGCATCATGCCAATCAACCACCATGCCACCACCGAGCCGAGCAAACTGAAGGATTACCAGGAATCATATTAGAAGGTTCACCTGCAATGAACTGGAAAGCCTCCACCCTGCAACCGTAGCATGGGCGCTGCAACCCACAAGTCTCGATGGAAACAAGACAAGAGGCAAGAATATGGAGAGAGCAAGCTTGATGTTTTTCCAGACCACCTGCAGGAAGCACGTGATTGCAAACCTCACGCATGTCCTACTGGCCTGACACACCTTGGTTCGGATTGAACAGGGAGCAACACATCAAGTCGATCAAACAGATCAAAATCCGCTGATGAGTAGCTCGCCTTTGGGTCCAGTCCATTCTGCTCCTCCGCAATTCTGAACCACTTGTGCAGGGAGCCTGGATCACAGCAAACCGCAGGCATTTCCAAAAGGATTGCCTTCCAAATTCCAACCCTTACCTTACCTCCTGAGCCAGCGTCGTGCTCTGCACCGCTGGGATGGCCCCAGCTGGGTGCCGTAGGGCACTGGTAGGTGCCTGCCTTGCCAAGCTCGTGGGGCATTGCAGACGATGATGATGGTGGGGTGGTTCACGGGATCTTGAAGATTTGAAGTTCATTCTGAATGCATTGGAGGTTCCAAGCCCTACACCCGGACACCTACCCGGAAGTACCCTCCGTCCTGCCTCGATCTTGGGAATGTGATGGGTCACGTGCATTAACGCGTCCTGCCATGAATGCACTGGAAGTTGAGGCTTGTGCAGAGCTTGGCTGTTCAAATGCTATGGCTTCCTTCGTCCTACACTGGCACTGGTGCCAAGTAGCTTAAGCACAGGTAGGAGTCCCTACAAGGGAATGAAGCAACTTCAGCGTGCTGGTGGATGCTGATGGCATGCTGGACACATGAGACACATGCAGGCTGCAGCTTCTGAGGGTGTTCCTCTTGTGCTTGCTGAGCACTTCACCCAGGCAAATGTTCATACATGGCCACTCATCTTGTGACCCGGGCAATGCTCTTCAACATGCCTTCTTCAATGAAACACATGATGCATCTCACAAGTCACGTTCGGCAAGCGTTGCCTCAAAATCCTCATTGTTCGAAGCCGAATAATTCTTTTCCAGAAATCCTGATCGAAAGTATCCTTGGCAGCATGCTGCGGCAAATCAAGGTAACTGAGCAGTTCCTCATGCAGCTGACCAGCTTCTCCCAAATCATGTCCCTATGGTGGATGCGCAGGTCAGCGAACACCTAAAAGTACTTGGTACACGGGGACCTACTCCTGCCGAGGCCTTCCGTGTTCTCGGCTTCACCTGCGGCACCGTTCTATTATCATGCGCAGGTCCACCTCTGCAGCCGCAGCTACCCATTGTTCAAGGCAAGTCTCCATACTCGCTGATGTAAAAACCTGGGAAGGAAGCGCTTCTTCTGTCTTGGGCAGGGGTCGGCTCCTTGATCTGCAAGGTGCTGCTGGCAAACTGTCACGGCCAAAGCACGAAACGGGTCCATGGAAACGACTGTGCCGTAGATGCGGATGTCTGTCTTCACCGTAATCGGTGGCCAAACGCCTTCCAGCCTTGGTATCGGTGAACCTCCCTTACCAGACATTAGCGGCTAGCTGGAAGCAGGACATGCACTTCTGCCGGATACGGGGATGGAGTGCAAGGGTGTGCAGCCAGGCAGCTGGTAAAGTACAGGATCCAAAATGTACTGCTGCACTACTGCTCTCCTCAGCTGGACATAATGCTTGAAGCGACTGCTGCCCTGCTTCTAAGACATGTTTGCGTTGCATGCATAATCGGATCCCACCACATGCTTCTTGTATCCCGGCGTCTGCTTTGCAGAAGGGCTGGGTGCAGCCTCGGAAGAACCACGCGGCCGCCTGCCGCCCCTCCAGCCACCCAGGTACGTAGGGTTAGAGTCCGTGCAGAAGCGCGGGATCCCGACCTTTCGGCATGCTCAATTCTGCTTGACTCCTGAGGGTCACAAGCTGTGCGTGGAGTTCGAGGAGGCGGGCCAAGTCAGTAGGCCGGACCGAGGGCATGCGACTTCATGATGCTGTAGGGAATGGCGACGCAATTACTTCGAAGAAAAAGGGATCGTGGAGAAATGGCCCTGTCCGCATCACACACAGTCATGTATGGGCACATTTGAACATGAAATCAACATGCTTGAGAAACAGTGGCAGTGCGCAGTTGCATCTACAGAAGAAGAGCTCACATGACTTCCGAAATGATAAGGTCTGACAAAGTCATGGATGGAGGAGCTCCATTGCATCGGGTTTAACGTGCTGACACACGCTACCTGACCTCGCCAAGCCACCCAGCAACCCTCGTAGTCGCGCCAGTTCCAGGCTTCACAGGCACTGCCCAAAGCACAGCAGGCCTCCCCTAGACGTGGGGGCGAAAGGTCATGCTTTTGATGGTTGCCTTTGCAGACAAGCTGATGGTCCAACATGAAATTGCTGCTTCAAGACTTTCCGTTTATCAAGAGTACTGGTTGTAGTCTGCGTCCCATGCCCACAACCCTTCCACCATGACAACACCATGAATGCCCATGCTTCAGATTCGCTACGTCCCACCTGCACCAGGTCCCTGACTCTTCGACCGCTATAGCTCTGAGCTCTGAATCGTGCGTTGCGCAGTTTACGAGATTTCACACTGGAAACTTTGAAGCGTGCTCAGAATGTACTTCATGATCAGGGAAACTACCAAATCCATCCCCTGCGTACAACAGGCCGGGATGCTACAGGAAGAGGAGGACTCTGAGGATTCCTGGCCATGGGAGACACGATATTCCCATCTTCAAGGGGGCCTTGCTCAATCCCCCCATACAATATAAAATGGGGGCTCCCATAGTTGCACTTATAAATTCAAAATTGGTTTACAAATGGGGGGGGGGGGCGCGTCGTCCATTCATAAGGTCTTCACTTTAATAAAATGAAGGGATACTATTCTGAAAAAATGAGGGGGGGATGTCACTATGTAAGAGCAACGTGCTTTCTTCTTTGAGTGCAATGTGTGTATATATATATAAAGACTTCACATACACAATTGGCTCCGGGCCGCTGCGTTTCACACTATTTCCAATCCGCACTTACTTCAAAAACATGTGCCAGATAGCCACCGACCCCGCCCCGTGGATCCACCGTTTTCGGGGCCCCCAGCCCAACATTTTTGTGTGTCACTGCCGCTTTTTCGTGTTTTTAAAAAATGCACCTCACTCACACCAGTGCTTGGTACCAGGTCCCCCATGGCATCCCGTGGCTGCATCCTGCAGGGATTATGTGAGGAATATCTGACTTGGTATCACGTCTGCGTGGTTGCGTCTGGGGAGGATCGGGACTATGTGAGGAGCATGTATGGATTCTATACGGATTATGCGAGGGGTATACAAGGATCAAATAAGGCCTAAATGGGGATCATTTAGGGATTATATATATATATATTTAGAGATTATGTAGGGATCATGTGAGGGCTAGATACATAGATATATAAGACGTCCATACACAAGAGAATTACATAAGGCTTAAATGGGGATCATTGGGAGATTATATATAAAGATTCTGTAGGGATTATGTGAGGGCTATATACATGGGACATATAAGACGTCCATACATAAGAAACAGTGGCTTTTGTGTTTGTCATGCTCTTTATCATGACTTTACAGAAAGAAGTATAAAGATAAATCTAAGATATGAAGGTTGAAACCAGAATCAAAGGAGCATGCCCGTGAACAGCACAAATACGATGTGTATGTGCATAGATATGCGTGCTACCATGCCTTATTGCTTATGCTTTTTTACTCTAAACCTCCCTCGCACCGGTGCTTGGTACCACGTCCCCGTGGCTGGGTCCTGGGAGGATAATGTGAGGATTGTACAGGGACTAATAAGGGATCATAACGGGATTCTGTGGGGAATTGTGAAGCATATATGGGAATCATATGTGGGGATTGTGTGAGGAGTATATAGGGATTATATAGGGGTTATGTGGGATCATATGGGAATAATTTAGGGAGTCTGTGAGAAGCATATAGGGATAACATTATATTTGTACTTCTTTCGGCACAGAGCATGAAAAGAGATATCTAAGCCATTGTTGCTTTTAAGATTTTGACGTACCTGTAACTCTCACGTAAGCCCTATGTAATTCTCACATAACCGTATAAAATCCCGATGTAATCCTCACACAATCCCTATATAATCCTCATGCAGCCGCGCGGACGTGGTACAAAGCACCGGTGCTTAATCCTCACGTTATCCCCAAATTATCCCTGTATATGCCTATACAATCCTCAAATACTCCTGACAGGGATGGGCACGTGGTACCAAACACTGGTGCTAAATCCCCACATAATCCTCTCAGGACACAGCCGCGGGGACGTGGTACCAAGCACTGGTGCGAGGGAGGTGTAGACATGACGTATGCTAGACAATGCTACTCATATATACATATACATATATATATATACACGCTGTATTTCTTCTGCTCATGGACATGCTTTCCTGTTTATGTTTCTGTGCAACCCTTCATATCTTTGGTTTTACCTGTTTATTCCCTTGTGTCGAGAGCTCTTATTCTTAGGGAAATACAGGGTACCACCTCCCTTCTCTCTATTGGTGGGGGTACCCCACCTTAACTGTCACGGTGGAGGTACTCCCCCCAGTTTACAAGGACAACTTTCTCGAATTTGTCTTATAAAATGGGGGAGGGGGATGGGTACCATTACACATTTTTGGTTATAAAATGGAGGGGAACGTCCATTTACGGCATGGACTTCCGCTTTATAAGGCGGGGTAGCCCCAGCCATTCCATGACAGGGAATCTGAAGGGGATCCTTGCTTGCTCTTGCGGAATTCAATGACCCCACAAACGCCCTGGCCTCCGGGCCCGCGTCGAGACCCAGGCACTGAGCATCCTGCAATCTGGCGTGGGGGGCGCGGGACCCTCCATTCAAAGTTCAAGAACCGGTGTCTGACAGTTATAACATCAGTAAAAGGAGCAGCGCGCGAAGCTCGCTGATAGGGAGGCAATCTGGACAATGAAGTTGCACAGCGGGCCTCTTGTCCCTGTGGCGTGGCTTAGAATGGCACTAAGACTCATGTATGCATGTTACCGCATACTTAATTAGGCGTGGCAAACATCTGTTTGCAGTAGCAGCCAGCCGAGACGGCGCATGCATCTGCAACGTCTGGTTGTTGCTCGTTGGCGTTCGCCATCCAGGCTACATTTGGTCGAAATATGCTTTCATGAATTTGCAGAGCTTGGTAAGTTCAACACCTTCGTCAACAAATCTGTGCATGGCTGCCTTTGCAGCCTTCAGTCTTTCTTCAGGAACGTCTGCAAGCTTTGCTTTGGCAGCCTCGAATGTGTACACATTCTGCAAGAGGCCGTAAGTCAGCGTGCTTAAGTAAGTTTCAGCAAAGACGTTGTCGGGTTGGATTCCATACAGGTCCATTTGGTGCAACAAGCTCTCGAGCTTTGATAGCTTAGCGCGTTGGTGAGCACCAACAAGGTTGGTGAAGGTCACGACGCTTGGCTGCAAGCCCCTCTCTAATAGAGCATTTAGAAGGAACATGGCTGCTGAATGACTTGGCGGGCGTGTATTTTTGCACGCATTTATCGCGGAGTTGAAGACAAAGACATCAATGTCAATCTCATTTTTTGCCATGAAGTCTATCACCCCGGCTGCCCCTGCTATGTCACCCAGATCTGCGGCCGCGTCCACACGACCGCCTGCCATTATCTTGTTGACCAAGTTCTCATTAACCGCCTCCGACCAGATTTCGTCAACGCGAACTCGATTTCTAGCCCCATGTGCAACGTTACCGGCGATACCGGCGGTGGTACCATTTGTGCATGCAAATTCCTTAGTCGATCGTAGATTTTCTCGGCCTCAAGATGCCGACCGCAGCGATTGGCTGCTTGCATGGCCGCATTGAAGACCGGAATAGCGCATCCAGAATACTTATTCCAAAGCCTAGCAGCTGATGTCCAGTGTCCTCGCCGTCCTGCTTCAGCAAGATGGCTGACGAGTTTCTTCTCATCTTTCGTCATGTTTTCACCATGCACCAGCCGCATCTCTGCCGGTACTGATGTGCTGATGCTAAGGCCAGTCTTTTCTCTTATCACGCTGAGGGGCTTCTGGCCAGCAGTGCTGAGCAGCATTGGTTGATAGCATGCCAGGCAAACAAATGCTGCCGCCAATAATATTCTACGAGGACCATGACCACCTAACATCATGCCGAGGCATTCGCGTTGCATAGCCTTGGCAGTTTGCGACACCTTCACCACGTTGGATTTTCGAGTGCGTGGTGCCAATACCAAGGCTAGGTGCGTTACTGGGCACATAGCAGTAAACACATTTGACGTCACTTTGTGCGGCAAGTTCTGATATGCAGTGTCTGTCGCATGTGACGGATGGTTATGGCAGGACGTCTTTGTACGAAGCGATACCTAGCAGCTGGTATAAATCTGGACGATACCCTAGACCTAGACAAGGCCTTCCGAATGCCAACTTGCACTGCAGTGAATATTGCACGGATCCTGGGTACCGGTACAGCCACAGAGGGAACATGCTGGAATCGCTCGTAGCAAAAAGTGCTCCAAACCCACTTCAGCACACAGGAGCACAAACGGCCCTTCACTAACTTCATGAGTGTTCTCGGCACGTGGTGCCAGTTGGGCATGGCTCACCTCACGCGATGCCGTTATCAAGACCCTTTTTGCCCACCCTGCAAGGTTACCAAGGGTTGACTGAGGAAATGCGGAGTTGAGAAGCACGTCAAGCTTTACCAATGCTTCCTTCGTGTGCAAGCGGGGCAGACACCCAGCGGGGGCATGCAGTCCAGAGTTCAGCAGCCAGGTGGGCCTAGATGACTGCTTAATGCACACACCATCTAAGTGACCTGCAGTGATGCATCCTTGGCTCATCGTAAGCACTGCAAATATTATTCCTGAGCACTGCAAAATATTGCAAATGACACTCCCGAAAAGGACGATCCAAATCATTTTGCCTGATGTGGCCCTGCACTGAGTCCTCCAGCGGAATGAAGTCGCACGCACCTCCAGCCTGTTCAAGTCTAAAGCTGCAACAGCCTAGGAGGCCATGGCATCTCCACAACCCGTACACAGGGCACACGCGCATCTGATCCCGTGGTGGAGGCGCCTCGAAACCTTTTGGTAAAAACACCTCCCAAGGTTCTTGCAAATGGGTACTTCCATGTGCGCTCTTTGTCGGAGCTACGAGTAGCCTGCTCCCTTTACCAGCCGCAGTAAAACCATCCCTCGGGCGGATAGCTAGCGCAGGCCAATCATTCCGTTTGAAACCTACTATTTAGGTTGATATTGCATTACACTGAAGTTTGTATTTGAGCGGCAGTGAGTGGAGCATCGGCATCTCCAAGAAGGTGGTGTACTCCGAAGCGGATCTCGATACCCCGGCCGCCCCATGCACCTGGAATGCAATTGTGTGCTTCCAGCGTTTCTTCTTCAGAAGGTACTGCCCAGAGCTACTGGCACATAATGCCACGCAGCTACGATATGTTGGTAAGTTTGTCTGCGCAAGGAACCAGCATAATCGCGAGGCCGTTTGCATTTGTGCTTGATCCCAAAAGTGCAAAATGTGCAATCCGCTGGATTCAAAGGCTCTTGTTTCATAACTACCTGCTCTGAGGCTCTGAGCAGGCAACACTTGGGCAATAGCGAGACTCTCAGTAATTTGTCAGTGATGTTGCGGACTTGGGGTCCCAAACGGCCGGGCACTGCATGGATGGAGGCCCAGATTTACAAGCAGGGCTGGGAGCATGCCCTTGGCACCTTCAGGCTTGCGCACGAAAGCCATCAATCCGTCCTGTCTGCTACATGAAGGCACTCTAGCATCTTGATCTAGACGCTGAAGGTCACATCATCTACACGACGAGCTGTGTTCGACTCTGGACTGCAACTGGTGCAGCAACCCCGTGACAACATGCAAACGTGGCTTGGTTCATCAGGGACTTATGTGATGGTTGCCGACCCTGGTGTCGGTCTTGTGCAAAACGTACCGGGAAAACCGCGTAGGCTATATGCTGCCGAAACATTCTCCCCGCGCACGGCTGAGGATCCCGGGTCCTGCCGCGGTGTCTCCGAGGCAAAAGCGCGCAGCTCTTCTGCAGCGCCGGGCATGTCGAAGCACTTTGGCATGCCGCCCACCTCTTGGGATAAACATCTCGTTTAATAAGGCCCTGTGTTGACTGCAGACCATGGCGCACTTTTCATTGCCCCTCCCGAATTGATTAAGGAGTGTCTCAGCAGAAGACGTCAGCATTGCATGTGCTCTGTTTCTGTTGGAGTTTGATCGCTCCCCGCCTCATTGGCCAGGCTCTTGCTCACTTGCCATGTGTCGAGCCTCACTGAAGGCAGGACCGTGAAAATTGGATTTGTCAGGTTCAACATTCCCTCACGCTGGTTGAAAGGGTGCTGCTCTGCCCGCTTGGATTTCTCAAGCAAGCCCGTGATTGCATCCAAGCAGCGCGTCGTAGTACCTTAGCTGCAACATCCTAATTTTGCGTAAATAATCGTAAATCGACGACAATGGACTGCAGCTCCGCGGACCTCCTGTCTTTCAAACCTAGCGTGCAAACAAGACATGTTGGTACAACAACTGTTCTTGCACCTCATCATATTTCATGACCCCCGTCCTAGAGAGAGAGTGAGAGAGAGAGAGAGAGAGAGAGAGAGAGAGTGCAGTAGCTGTTTCTTACAACATCTCTCACCTGCTCTTGGCCGCCAAGGCTCGCGCGGCATTGCTGATCCTGTCGGGGAGCATGCATTTGCATGGGCCGAGTGACATCTTGGGCCGCTTCGTGCAGTATCCTGTGGAGTAGTTTCAGCATGATTCTTGGGGCATGGGCTTGTTGTTGCCATGGCTGCCCCGGCATGCGAGGCTGGGTTCTGCCTCAGCATGCTTGTGTGCCGGACTCTTCTAGCCAAAAGGGGCCCGAACCAGTTGACACTCCTTTGAGGCCAGCCCGTATGATCACAGCGTAGTTGGCGTGGCGTTTCTGCACAAACTTCTAGCTCCCATGGCCGCAAGCCCTGCCGAGCTATCTTTCGGCGTCCTTCTCCCCGATGACCTCTTGAAGGTCCGGGACGAAGACGAGCTTCTGCCTGGTAGCCCGGAGGCGCCATAGGTCCTGTCGTCAGCAGAGCCCTGAGAAAAGACATGGGCTCCTCCATAAGGTAATTTTTGGGCTTTTCCACCTACGCTGCTTTGAAGCTGTGAAGCCATTGGCTTTCATGGCAATGGCGAGTTGCTCAACTAAGGGATAGTCCTTGGATGGAACCAGGTCGCCATAATCATTCCTTGCCAGTTGACAGAAACATGCCGTACAAGCTGCTGGCACCAGCCTAGATGACCAACTCCAACCAAAGCCGCAAATTTGGTTCTAGCGAAGACAGGCTGATGTTGGAGTTTGCAATCCCGAAGTGCCACCAAAGCACGATTCATATCCTACTGCTCCCCAAAACTGGTGGAGCCCAGCGTCGAAGTGTATGCAAGGCCCACATTCCACCTGACAGCCGTTGTGCACACCCAAAGTAGTTGACGCCAAGTTTTGTCAGGATGCTGTTGCTTTCGTGCAACAATCTGGGTAATTGGCGTGTAGTGTGTATAGATGATATGTCCCATGTTGCCGAACTTCCGCTGGGTGGCAATCATCACATCCCAGGACTTTTGGCCATATAGGCGTCAACTACAACGTGTGTTAGGAACAACTGTGCGGACGTGTTCGCTGTTCAGTTCTTATGGCTGTGATACTTCGACAACTGCCGTCTGCGCAAGCCTGTTCTTTCTTGCTTGACTTGCCCGTGCCTCTCACCCGGGCGCGCCGCGCGCATGCCGAAGAACGCCGGCAGCGTGCGAAGCATGTCTGTACCGACCTGGTCTCTGGGACACGGGGCATTCAATGGTTGTCTTATTGCATATGAGCTGATGTGGATGAACATGTTAACTCTTGCATGCGAATCCTCCCCATGATATGAAAGGCCCCCCCATAACGCATGTACTCCAACCTGTGCTTCATAATTATTGGGGTGGGTATTTATCGTACGACCCAAACATTAAGGTGGGTTCTATGGAAGTCTAATTCAAATCAAGTAAAACTAAACACCGATCAAACCGTAATATAATCGATCAGTTAGAACCGAATCAAAGGACATTGACATCTAATGCAAGCCTGGACAAAAATCACCTTTGAATCGTAACACATCAGTTTAACATCTAACTCAAACCGAATTGAAACCTAACATCTGATTAACTCAATTGAAATCGATCTAGTACAAATCTAATTAGAACCGAGTTCTAAACGATTTAAAACCATAAGAAATCCAGCTAGCCTCGCACTCAAAGTCTCGGAAATCAACGAGATCCTTAATCCTTACAGTAAAAGTCATGCCAAAGACTCTCCCAATTCATCAATTCAGCGTATCCGACGAGCCCTGATTAATTTACTGTAGTCTTGGCCCTTTTACAAGTAATCTGCGGGGCACATTTGAGAATTCTGGGGAATCCGTATTCTAAATTAAGCGATGGTTCTATATTAGGGGGAAGGTCCACACACTCGGAACGCTTTGCAGCTGTCACGTCGCTCCCATTGCCAGACATATGCCTCTTGATGCTAGCTGCTAGCAGCCATTAGCAGCCAGTTGCAGGGCGCTTTGCTCCATCCAAGGCTGAGCTAAGGCGACACACTGCACCGCCACAGCGATTGCCACTTGCAGGTTGACGCAGTCTCTCTTCTTCAGTATCGTTGCAAAGGCGTTACTAACCATGTGGTGCAGAGAGCATTCTGTCTTTCAGCTAGCCTTGGGAAGTGTGGCTTTGCAGGGATATTCCGGATATATGCGGATATTGCTACTCCTGACGACCCGGGGAGGGGAAAATGTCCTGTTAAAATCAGCGAAGAGTACAGCCAGGGCAAAACGGGGCCAGAGAAAATCGAAAGAAGGCCCCCATCTCCCACAGACCAGCGATCATGAAGACAGCTTCTCAAAGGCAATCCCTTTCCTGCCGGGTTGCTATGTCAGCCGCGACATCAATGTACAAAGCGTCGGGCCTGTCAAATGCTTCCAGTCGGAGCCCGAACATCTAAGGAAGACAATGAACACTAGCAAAGCCTATCATGACGATCATGCATACCATGGATCACCATGTCGATGTCAATTAATTCCAAAAGCTCCGTGTACCATCCAGACTGCTAGCCGCTATCCCATCGCCACTTCCCAGCCAAAAGGAGCCTCACGAAGCCTTTGTTGAATGCAAATTTCATTGGCCCACCTGGACGCACTTCAACTTCCACTCGAGGCACATGTTTCAAGCCCGACATGCAGAAAGAGAGTTGTGAACTCCACTGCCCAAAGTCAAGGTCCATGTCGCAAAGGTACCGCTGACGGCAGTAAAGTACACAGCATGACATCGCCGTCTTCAAGGCCGAATCTGGGGACATTCGCTGGACCTTCCTCTGACTCAGGCCGGAGCCAGTGTCAGGATCCTCCGGGACAAGGTCGGCTTGCAACCAGAAGCCTGGCAGCACCGAGGCGAACACTGGAGGCTGGCGAGAGCAAGAGCAATCTGCCCCTCATCTTCTCCATTCACTTATGACTACCCGGTGACTACCCTATACATCCCTTAGAATACAGGAGGGTGGCTAGCAGCCAAGGGGCAACTCAACCCGCTTGGCCTGTGCTGGGGTAGCTTCGCGGTCCCTCTAAAAATCTTATTTTCATGGCGCTATGATGCACTATGTGGATTATACAATTGAAAATAAAACCAGGGCAGATGCAAGAGTTGTTCATGTTGCCATCGTGACAGTTCTAGTGCAAGATTCTTCGCACAAAATCGCACAGGGTGTTGCATACCCAAACTCCAACATCGATCAAAAGTCTGCCAGCTCTTTGATACATGAGCACCCAGTATGGAAGCGTTAGTGTTCACAGTTTTCAGCAGCCTTCAGCTGCAGCTGCTTCATCAGGGAGCAAATCGAACTGCATCCGATGCAGCATCCTGTCCAAGGGGGCAACCGACGCAGGAATCCAGCTGGCTCTGGCTCTGAGAAATAATTTGCGCCTGGGATTCTGAAAATTATCTGCAGACCCCCAGAGTCTGGCAGCTGGGGATTCACGCCTGCATGGGCCCCGTGCTACGTGCATGATGTTTAAGCGAATGAATTGATCCCTTGATACCCCTTGAATCCGGATGACAAAGGAGGGCTGTTACAACTCGTTGTGCCTCCGTGTTGTTCAGTTAATATGTTGCCACCGGCCGGGCTAGATGTCACCAGCGACGTCTACCTGACAGCTTTCCCCGAAACCTCGGGGCATGTCCTAAACGCACTGTGCCTGAAGGTAGGCCACTGCGTGCTCAGCCAGTCCAGGATGGTGTAGTTGGTGGACACCGCTCCTCACTGCGACCCGATCTCCGATCACACTGGAAGCATGGATGGGATCAGGGAGACCCCATGTTAATGTTCGGTTTGGGGGGCCAGGCTTCCTGCTCAATGGTCCATGAATTCAGGTATGTTGCAATGCAACAAGAACTTTGAATACAAGTTGCAGGCCAAGCCATGACTAAAGCCGAAACGCGGAACATGGCTTGATTGGAAGATTTCTATTCGCCCCGTGCCGTAGTTCCATCCGCAAACAAGACCGCTCCGAGATATTCAGAACACAAATACACTAATTGCCGGCAGGTCGCGAACCAAAGCTTCCTTGTTGGGCATGCAGGGTTTGCAGGTGCAGGTCAGCCAGGCTTACATCTGGACAGCTTCTCGCACCATTGAAACCAGCATGAAGCGAGCGCACCATCGTTTTTACAAGGGGGTGTCGGGAGCATCCTGAAAAAGACGCCCAGAGCTTGTGCGCAGAGCCGCTGCACAAAAAACGAGATTGAAACAAGTCTCGGCTCGTGCCAAACATGCATTTTCAGCTGCTTTGTCCTCGCGTCGTGCCGCTGCCTGCCAATTGCAGCTTTCTGGCATTGGCTATGTGCACAACTGCCACCGTACAAACCACAGGGAGGCTCCCACTTCCAGTACATCCTGGACTTAAGTTCTGCGGTGCCTGCGATCACTAAATGATACGAACCTCTGCAAGGGACAGCATGTCTGACCCTGAGGATCCTGACCAGCACGCTAGATCGTGCACCCTAATGGCCGAAAACCCTGACTCAACCCTGTAAGTCTCCGTTAAGAAAAAAACCTAAACCCTAAACCACATTTTTTAGTGGTTTCAATTTTCTTTTCCATTATCCTTACATTACCCCATATTATATACCTTTATATGCTATAGTAGTTTCCATTTTCTTGTCAATTATCCCTATCATATTCCCAAGGTTGTGTGATCCAGCCCAGAGGAAATCCCGGCAAGGCCTCGGCCATGGAGGCCCAGGCAGCTGCTGCGGCCATGCTGCAGCCTGTCGCAGCTCTTCTTTGGGCTCTGCAGGAAAACATAGCATACTATATTCTAGCTTAGCTGCTGGTTCTTAAACCTGGGCTTCTACACGTTTGCCTTAGAGTCCGTTAGAGCATGCATCAATTCCTGAAGGTCCCCATGGAGCTACAGGGTAACTTCTCTTTTTTTCGCCCCTTTGGCGCGCCATCTGTGAGGCTAAGGTATGGCGGAATGCCCCCTTCGGAGTCTCTAGTCGGAAGGAGTTAAGCAATACATGGGGCTTCAGCTACAGTGGCTCTCAGCATCGGCCTGCAAGCTTCCACGATCAGCACTGGCTACAGCTGGGACTACATGCGTGCAGCAGAGCCATTCTTTTTTGAAACCGCCGTCAGTGCCCGATTGCTTCTCAGGACTCGGCTGCCTCGAGAGCAAGCTTGAATTAAGTGGTGTTTGCATAGGCAGTGTCTCCGAAGTCGCAGATTCTGTGGACAGAAAAGCCACCCTCGCTGGCCTCAGCGCCTTCTGCCTTCGGCTCCTGTGCAAAGAGTTGTGGAGAAATACAAACGGAATGCGTGACACTTGCACAGGATGCGTCTGAAAAGCCCAGGATATGGAGCGGCGGCCTACAGTGGCCCGAAAACCATTAATAACTAGAATCCCTGAAGATTGAACAGGATGAAGGACCTGTCCAAATACTGTCAACACAGCCCTCACCACTTTAGCACTCCAAAAGGCAGCCATTCATGTAAATGCAGGATCCTCTGCTGCAGCTGCTGGCGGTGCAGTTGCCGGCTCCTCCACACGCAACTGTCCATGGGCAGTGCTACGGTGGCTCTGCTTCGCGTGTCCGGCCTCCTTGGCCTTGGTGTCTGCCTCCTTGGCAGTAGCATCAGCCTCATCCTGAAATGAATTCTCATGGTTGCGGCTGCAGATGCATTAAGCCAGGTCTGTTGAGGTTCAGATTAAGAGAACTATGCCGTTTTTGAAGATACCACTTCTGCTTTTAGGGCGAGGTGTCTCCTGCTTCGCTGCAAACCCTCAACATGACAGCAGTTTCATGAAGCCGCTGGTTACTGGCTTGTAGCACCTGCCTGGCCTTCGGCGCGCCCGGCTTCTCTGCATCTGATCCCTGATCAGCTGCGGGATTAGGCACAGGACTTAGAGGTCATGTAGTAAATTCCTAGGCATTCTACCTTTAACCTTCAGTTTTCTCCGCGCCTTGGAGCTGGCTGCATCGCCGGCTTTTCCGTCTGCCTCGAGGCTGCACCAGTACTGGGCATCAGACAAAGCGGATTTTAGACCGAATTTTTTGCCCCCTGCGACAGGGCTTGGATCCGCATGTGGCAAAAAACCAGCTTTAGCTGAACGTAGTTAGCATGGTGGCCCGCAAGGTGCGGGTGATGTGGAATTTGCTATAACGGGTCTGCTTCGGCTGCACTGCACCACCGGACGAGCCAATATGTTCAAGTGACGTCGCAGCCACCACTTTTGAACCCAGGCTGGAGTGCAACTAAGCTTCAGCCCGCAAAACGCTCAAGCCACCGACCAGGCTCTGCACAAGTCAGCCCCGAGCGACTTAGGATCATTCCATGAGACTGCCACAGGCAAAGCTTCCAATCCTATAGACAGGAACTGAATGCAGACAACAACGCTACTCTTGAAGTATTAATGCAGGGGTGGGAAAGGGGTGGGATCTGAGAACTGCCTTCTCCATGGCTCGCGGAAGAATGTACCTCGGAGGAGCTTGAATGCTTGCAAAGCCCAGGGCATTTACAGATTGCATACTTTCATGAGTTGTCAGTGTGTTCAAGCTGGGCGATCATGAACGGATGTTTAGCGTATCGGTGCACCGTCTGAAATGCTTTGGTGCCTTGCTCACCGGTAGGTTGCATCGCAACTCTACACTGACAGCCAAGTAGAAAGGTTGATGCACGCGTGCCTATAGGCTTACCTATGCTATTTCAAGCCGTACATGTTTTTTTCTTTTTTTTCCAGCCGTGCATGCTTGCTTCTGCAGAGTTCGGCAGCATAAACCCCAAATGCGTGCCCTTACAAGCCCTGCAAGTTCAAGGCCACCAAAATCATGGGGCTTTCGGGGATGAACGAATGTTCAAAAACCATATTTGGTCTGACATGAGGCCCCAGGTTCAGTTTCCAATGTCCGTACTGATTGGTTCCGAGTGGCCAGTACCAGGCTGGAAGGATGGCCAACAAGATCAGCAAGATGCACACCTGAGTCGACTAGAAACAAGAGGCCTGCAACAGGAACCTACAGGAGGACTCAGAATCTACTTCTGAGAGAAAATCAGACTTCTATTCTAAACGCCCTACTTTCAGCATTCTCCGACTTCTACCAAAAAGTGGAACTTTGCGCAACGAACAACATATGATTGAGTGACTTGATCTCACAAACAGAAGAGAACCTAAACACCAACGACTCCTGCACTTTGACTTGGTGACTTGGTCGATTGCCCTCTTCATACGTAAGGGCTGAAAGCCCACAGACGCAGTCATGGGAGTGCAATGCGACAGACTGAGCTCAACTAATCACAAGTCCAAAGACTGCTTCATTAGGAGCATTCAGAAATCTTCATCACCATTCACTAGGTCAGCACTTTGGACGCCTCCCTCACTGGAGCACGCTAATTCCTTTGAGGCCTCTTTCCAAATCACAAACGCGGGCTAGGCTCGATAGCAGCCATACGCCTGCGACATCATTCTTGGAAGGCTTCATGTTTCATGCTGGGTGGCTGCGTTGTTCAAATGCAGCAGCTGCCATCATTTAAGCTGCAACAGCTCTGAACTGTGGGTGGAGCTGGAGGATGGTCTGAATGGGAGCTTCAAGTTATCGCTTGCTATGCATTCGTCCCTGCTTCTGCACTAAAACGCCTCGCCATGGTAGAGCTGTAGGTGGCTGAGTGGGCATCAATGAGGCCCCCATAAATTGCCTCAGCGCTCTGCAAGGGACAAGGGGCCCAGATTGCACATGCGCAGGAATTGGTCATCGCTCTGTCAATTGCTTGCTCCCGATTGCAAAAACCATTCCACAGAGGGCCCTGACATTCATTAACCGCCTGCTAGGTGAATTTTTAATATTGCAGAACCCGGCGCCCAGGAGCAGCAGAAATAGCTTCGACAAGCCCGTCAGCCCATGATTTTGGCTCCCTAATACGCAATGCGAGCCCGAAACAATCGCAGCCCTACTGATCGAAGCGCATGCACACGCTAGGCTAAGCATCTAGGGGCCCGAAAACAACAGCTAGCCTTTGGGCAGTCCAAGTTGGAGCCATGCGGCAACTTCCCAGCAAAAGCCTGTCTGCAGTACCCACGCGTTGGTGAGCTCCGGAAAATCCTGAGTCTGACTTCTGATATTGAGCCTGAGGGCTGGGGCCTATGCATGTTGATCAACTCTGCAGCTGAAAAACATCACCCTGAAAGACCCCACATGCTGCAATAGCAGTACACAAAGTAAATGCTTTTGACTGTTAAAGTGGGGATCCACGGCCAGTTAAGCCGTCCCCAAGGTCAGAGCCTTTTGCAGATTGCCCGCTTAAATTTTCAGATGTTGCCTTATGATTTCAGAGTTCTGACTCCAAATAAAGGCTGTTTGATGCTAGCTAGATTTCAGAGACAGGTTACGGTCTGCAGCCAGCTACGCTTCATTGTTGCTGGACGCCAGGCTTAGCTTGGCTGTGGTGGATTTCGTAGGTAAAAGGAGTTGAAGGCGTCTTGCAAGGTAGACTGCAAATTGCATAGCACAGTGCAAGCGCGGTTAATGCGATAGGCCGGAAGACACTTGAGGACACGATGCGACACTCTTTGAACTCTGCAGCAGTTGCAAATTAAGGAGCAACCTGTAACCCCAACACCTGGCCTCGGGAGCCTGACAAGTGGAAATCAGGGAGACTTCACAGCCCGCACCAATAGGGTTCCATGACTGACTATCTACTACTCCACACTTTCTATGTCGCCCGATCTGCCACACGTCCTATAGAAAGAGCATCCAAAAAAAACGTTCATCACTGATTGTGGTGCATTGCATCTTCTCTGAGGGCCCATCCGATGCATTCTTGCCCATTCGCTTTGCGACGAAGAAAAGCCCCACGATGCCACAGTACACCATGATCTAGCCAGGGAGCGGGGCGTTTTCTCTGGTATATTGTTGACGTGTCTAGCATAAAGGCTTGGACTACGTGTTGCTTACCCAAGGTTGACAGCAATCCGTTCCGATGAGTCCACAGCAATGTGAAACAAGGGCGGCAGGTTCGTGAGTGACTATCGATCTTCGCAGAAAATAGGCCCTGCTGCCAAGCGTCTGCTGATGTAACTGCCTGCGACCTGACGCGCGGCAAGTGAACAAGCAAAGGACAGTACAAAGGTTCGGCCTTAATATGATGCCATGGAAAGTGTGAGCCGTTGTTTGCTGGGACCCCGGCATGAGTGCTGAATGCCTCCCTGCATTGTGACTGCCGTCGGGACTTTGGAGAGAGTACCACCAAGCCCACTGCACCTGAATAGAGGTAAGCGGACAGCTGCGACATGCTTTGAAATGGCAACGGGCTGGTACCTTCTAACAAAAACTGCAATGACCTCATAGCCCCTCCAGCCACGAAGTGTGATAGTTTGCACAGAAGATGGAACCCTCTTGCATCCACCTCTTCATGCCCAACAAACATCCAGAGTGGTTGGCCTCAGGATTAGGTCTTAGGAGCCGTAATCACCTGCTGCATCAGCCAGGAGTACTGTCACACAGAGAAAGCATGCAGCCCCACAGCGTTGCGGTCTGAGGCGCCCAAAAGAACAGCAGCCAGCCTTAGCAAGTTTGGACCATGGCGCACGCATGTCCTGGAGCTGTTAATGAAAGAAGATGCAGAGAACGACGCTCGTAGACAAACGGACAGGCAGAGAATCCCGGCCTAAAATTATCGAATCGGATTGAAATGAAGATAACAAGGACAAGAAGTTGGCACTGACATTTATAAGAGCTCTAAGAAACCGCGCGATCGATTCTGGAGTCTTCAGCAACAGGCCATAAGCGCCGCGGGCTACGCTGTCAAGGAGTCTGCAGTGCATGATCCCCTTCATTGCTCCTGAACCCCTTCTAGCTTCAGAGGAGCAGAGATAGGAAAATCTTGCCAGTCAGAACGTCGTACGATGATGTAACATGGCAAATACAAAAGCCGGATCAGTGTTGATGAGTAACCTCTTGCGCAGTCCGTTCCCTGCCGAGAAGCCCATCGTCATGGCGCTGGCTTCGGTGATGAGGCGAAAGAGGCGCCTGGTTGCTGGCCTCCTCGCGCTGCATCTGAAAACTAGTGGCCCCCTTCTTAGAGTCTTTAGAGTCTAAGTCTTCTTGGGACGTACATGTACCTTGTCTTGCAATTGTTCCGGACGAAGCTTTGGGATACATGAGTCCCAGGCATTTTTCAAAACGGCCTTTCAGCAGGCTTGCCGAGAAGAAAACTCTCCTTTGCCCGGTGTTCCTAACTGACAACCGCTGCTTTTGCAGTCCATCTTGAAATAATACTTCACCTCCCATGAGCATGCAAAGCCCGAATCCACTACACCCCTGCCAGATCATCACCTACTTAAAAGAACAGTAACGAAGAACTGCAAACAAGCCTATAAAATCCGGCCCACAGCTCGAGCGTCAAGACCCTGCAGAAAAGCAGGAAACGCTCCATCAATCTCCATGCAGCTTCGGTCCTTTCCGTCTGTGCGGCCAGTGGCCGCACTTTGAACATGACCAGCGCGAAGGCACCCACTGAGACTATGAGAACAAGGCCGAGAGAGGTCCTTGGCAAGCCGCGTGACTGCCAAAGTGTTTCTTGCAACAGGCCTTCGACAACCTGAAAAGCAAACGCACCTACAGCGCCTGAGGCATGAAGATTGCTAAACGTGAACGAGGAGTCCAGCCTTGCCCAAAAATCCTGCAAGGCAAGCGTAGAGCCCGGCAGGGTGCGCATGCACTGCAGCTACTCTCCATAGACTCATTCAGACTCGGGATGTAGCATGTCTGATGCCTCCAGCTGGCAAGCACTCAAGGGGAAAAACCTTGTGAGCAGCAAAGCGTCAGATCATCCAGGACCAGCGCGCGAGCCCCTTTCTTACCTGAGTTGGTCCCGCCTACCACCTTGCAAATTCTGGCAATTCACGTGCTTGGCACGGCGTCTGAATGCAGCCAAGGGGCTGCCTGGGAGGAAGCCAGTGACGAGGAAGCGGATCCAGACCGACCTTTCAAGGTTTTGGACCTAAAGGGTCGTGAAGTCTTCAGGCTTCTGGGTTCAAGATGACGGTTGCTGCGGGAAGCTATAGTAAGTGGCAGTTGTCCGCTTGGCCTTTCACAGCAGATATTTGCATAGGTTTGTGTGTGCTTGTCTGCCGAAGTAGGTAGGCTGAGAGTGCGACCTCCTATTGTGAATAGGAGGCACAGCACCAAAACACTCAGGCTACCCGAAATAGCATGCAGGACATGACCAAGAGGAGCCAAAAGGCCCTGCTGACCTCGTGAAGCCAAGTGGCACCAGAAAACCGACCTGGAATCCGGCAGCCTCAATCTGCTCCGCCTGCTGAGCAAAAGAATATAGGCAGGAGTCCACCAGAAAACGCTGAGCAGGCATGCCTCTAGCTACAGGCACTGCAGAAATTCTGACCCTTGGAAGTGCTGGAACGAATTGCATGTCCACCTCTTTGTCTGGATCGTAACCCTCACTGGGCTGCATCCGGTCGGCCAACCTTGTCAGGTCTAAAAGGGTCAAAAATGCATCTCAATTTGAGGGTCTTGGCCCTTGCTCTGAAGCATCTGCTCTGACCTCAGGGATAGAAGGCGGCCTTTGGAGGGTGCCTTAGATTCCTGGTTCATAGAAGCACCCAAAAAGAAAAAGTAGAGGAGCTCGGAGGGCAGTACAAGCCTCAGTGCTCGTATTTGAGGTGAGTCAAGGGCAATTTGCAGCCAAGCACATTTTTTCAAGGGGGCTATGTTGGGAAGTTGGGCGGCAGCGGGCCATTAGTCGGCGGCACCATCGTGTTGCATCAAGGAGGCCTGAACGCCAGGGTCAGCAGGCCGGCCAGAACTACCATCATCAACAACAGGCCCGCGAAGTAGTATCCGGCCCCACCTGCTTGGTTGAATCAGTAGTGCAGGGTTCTGGAGCAGGCGAGTCTCATTTACTCTTCAGGCCCCTGGTTGTTCCCGTCTCTTTACACAGGGCAGGAGTGGAAGAATGGCATAGCGTCCTTTGGAATGCTAGCCGCATCTTCGACCTCTTGCCCGGCCGCAGGACGAGCAAGAGGAAAGTGCCCGGAGCTAAGATTCACCCAAAAGCGCTTGAAGCGAATCGATGAAGGCTCAGCTGAGCGGCTGCTAAATGGATCAAGGCTCAAGATGTAGGCAAAGCCTCGGTGAGTTTCCAAGCACTTTCAAATTCATAGGAGTCGGGCCTAGAAGCTCAAAACGCAAGAAAGGCAAAACGCTGTCGGAGCCAGAATAGCCAATCAGGTATGTGCCGCAAATCCTCTTTGAGAGCAACGCAGGAAACATGGATTTGACATCGCTGGCTCATGAATAGGGCAGCAACCACACAGGGCTGGAGGCATTTGCAGCAGGCGCAACTGGCTACAATTGAACTACAGATGCATTCAAAAATGCATTCCAAAGCTGACCGCCCCAAGGAGGTCTGCATTATAAAGGCACGCCAACAAACCCATGACAACAACATCGCAGGCCACGTCCTGGCAGCAGCTAGCCTGGTCTTGTCTTGGAGCTTGGACCTCCCGAGGCATTCCATATCTGATTAGAAAAGCTTGACTTGCCTCTCGCGCCACCCCAAGCAAGCCCTTCTTGCCACGCATAGCTTAGGGTTAAGCCATCACCACTTCAAGCACGAAGCGTCGCTGCTGGCACACATGGGATCCTGAGCAAGCCCTCAATTCTCCCGCCATCTTGGCTCCTGTTGAGACCCATGACTCCATCTCCTAGGTTTAGCACGACAGCGAACACTGGAGGCCCCCAATCACACTCTCCAAAGTGTCGACGTGTCTTGCCAGGGGCACCTCAACATAGGAAAGAAGAACCTCAGCTGGCATCTTCTCAACACCTTTGGCTTGGCTTGGCGTGGCTTGGCTTTGGCCTCACATACTTTGCGCGACCAGCCTTGCAAGGTTCAGCGTAAAAAGTCCGTGTTGCAGCTGCATCGTCGGAAGGAGTAGGCTACAGAAAGCAGTATTGCATCAAGGAGCATTAGCACGGCAAACTTTGCGAAAGACAGGACGTTGCCAACTGTAGCCATGTCGGACCTGGGTAGAAACTCCAGCAAGGTCAAGCTCAGGGGGACGTCTACAGTCTACAGCAGCAAATGCACTCTACTACAGTCAGAACTGCGGCGTCCAGCACTCAGGCGGCGACCCTGTTCCCATGATGCACTTCCAAAGCTTCTTCAGCGCCATGAACAAAATCACCTGTTTGTTTACATTTCGACGGGCAGCCCCAGTGCTTGAAAGGTGGGCCAGGAGGCCGTGATGCCAGATACTGGAACTCGGCCCTACTCTCGAAGCTCACGAGGCAGGCAAAAGGCAAAAGGGCATGATTATGACTAATAAAGCCGAGTCATCTTCTGCTGATAGTAGCACTCGATACTATGTCAGCAGCACGAGAAGAATATGCATATGAGCTCTAGTCTAAACTCCTAGTATGCCCCTCAACATCCCCTATACTAGTCCCCATAATCCCCCGTGTAACCCCGTTTAAGGATTTTAGACTATAGCTCATATGACACAATGTCACAACGGTACTGTATCATGCAAAACGACGCGGCATGATACGACTGTTACACTAGACTCACAAACTACGCCGAGCCGCAGTGCAAAAGAGCGCAACGTTTCCGCTAAGGAGTTGCCAGGTGCTGATCTGCAAATCCTGGTGCACGTGAGATCACGAAGGTGCAATGCGGCGGGTGGGTTAACTACATTCTCCACCAAGAGCAGTTGAAGATTGTCAGGTGATCGTTTGCGCCTTGGCTAGGTCTTCCCCAAATCAACCTTTAGATTGAAGAAGCGACCCTTAGACCTGTGGTGGGTAGCTTATTCTGTGTCCCAGTCTTTGCATTTTGGGGTATGTCAGGGCAACATGTCTTGAAGTCCTCTAGGAAAAGAGGCGCATGACACTGTTCCGCAGTCCTTGTGCGGCTGGTTGACCTCGCCAAAACGAATCAAGGCAAAGAGCAAACGTTGCAGCTCGAAGTGCAGCTGCTTTCAACTAAGAATTCAGAGTGCAAAACAAACGTAGATGTTCGCAAAAAGATAGCCTGTCCAAACTGCTATGGCGGTCAGGTGCAGGACACAGCATACACGGCTCCGCTACTTGTATGCTACACCCATGACAGCTAGTGCAAGATAGCGGCCAGGTAGAAAAGCATCATGGCACAGAGCAAGGTGCCAAACCTCGTGTTCCCAGTTCATAAACTTGGCAGGAGGTAATGGGGCCGAATGAAGGTGTGACATGCAATGTATTCCAATTTAATGTAATGTCAGGTAATGAACTTTGAGTAATGTAATCTAATGGGCACCACTCCTTTAGTGCGCAAGCACGCGATGCGGTGATGAACTACAAGAGGAAGTAACAACGAAGATCGAGCAGAACAAGAATGAACTACGAAGCCAATCCCAGACAAAGCTGGTAAAACAACACACCGGGGTTACGAGAACATGCCCTACATGAGAAAACAAATCACGCAAAAGTCAAAGAAGCTATTCCACTACGAACATGGCAGAATGAAGTACACCATTCTAAAGCCAGAAAACCATTGCCAACCAACTGGCGTCCGAACTGTCCAGCGCAATTACGGCCGTACAACCCGTACACCCAGTCGAGAGCATAGTCCGGAGTATACAGCATGAAGCTATGATGCACAAAAATCCCAAATAGGATTCGCAGCGGCCCCTCCCGCCCTGACCAAGTCATCAACCCCAAGCCCTGTACTCTGAACCTCTAGCCATCCATACCCCGGCTTCACCTACCTTAGCCCTTAGAGCCGTAGGAGCAAAGCCAGCCCGCTGCCAGTACTGGCCGTCGCCGCCTCGGCCTTCAGCTCTCGCAAGAAGGCCTCAGAGGCTGGTGCCATAGTCCCCCTTGGACATGGTTGTCACGGTTCACGGATTTTCCTTGCAGCCCTTTCTTTGAGTAAAGAGCTAGATCTCAGACTGGTACCTGTGTCTCCCTACAGCATGGACTGTAGTCTTCTGTGTGGGTGCTTGTGCAATTAAGGCACGCTCCCTGTTATGATTCGGTTTGGGTTGGTATGGTAGCAGACCCTATTTTTGAGAAGTTCCAACTTCGTTTCAGACCTAGAGAGACTCATGGCGCGGCTGTGGCAAATACACATGAACAACATCTTCTGAGGAGGCTCCTGTGGACGTTGGGCATGTCACGTGGCATAACCTTGTACTTCCCTCATGGTCAGGCATGAGATCAGGATGTTAGGGTTTGGAGGCTGCAGGCCCACAAGCGACTTTCTGCTCTGAATTTAGTTTTGTCTCTGACTTACTGGCTGGTCTTTCTTTATTTCTGGCATTCAAGATGCAGGCGGGGCCAGCGCCATCACCAACAAGCATTCCACACTGCCTGCAAGCAGGTAGCTTCAACATTCTCTGTCTCGTTTGTGGAGATCGTGACCTTAGCAGCGGACGTGGGCTTTTGCGGGCCTTCCAGCGAAGCGGAGGGGATCAATGTTCCGACAGTCGTAGATTCAACGTGCGACTGGCTTGGGCTCTAACTTGTAGGGGTAACATAAGCTTTGCACTGGGGTCGCTTGACCTTGCTCTTCAGTCTTGCTTCGATTTGGCGCGCAACTCTCATGTGTGACCATCTTGGCTTCCCGGAGGTTAGCAGGCTAAGGAATTTGCACCCAGTTTGGCTCACATGCCGCCCAAGCACGACATTGTCCACAGGCGGCTGATGAGCCTCCAATTCGGTTTGTTCAAAGCTTCCCTGCACTTAGAGCGTTGCCGGAAGATGCTAGCTCTGTCAGAAAGGTGGTAGCAGGCCTCCTCAAGGTAGACCCGGGCACCCTTGTGGTGTCTCATCAAATGTCTGGCGGCTTCCTTGGCAGTGCTTCAGGCTGCATGCCCCAGGACGCCCTTCCACGAGGGACAAACTTGAGCAGGGGCCCCCAGCTGCGAACAATTATGTAATGTGCAGCCAGGAAGCCACGGGATAATTCCATATCTCGCCGTCAGCAGACCTTAGTTGAATTTGCGGAGAGACTGTGAAACTTGCCCGAAGGCTTCTGTTTGAGATCTGATTTGTCCAGAGGTCTCGCTGGCAGTGGCTGTGCTTCAGGTAGTGCAAGGAAGACTGCCTACTCCCTTTGCGAGACTGGCTGTCCCGTTGCCGAAATCGAAGCACTACCTGCCGCCCAAGTCTTGGGAACATTGCACACTAAGGCTTCTTTGAGGCCGCACTGGGCTGTTCGATCTGCACAGAGCCAATTTCATGGATCCCCACTTGCTGAACAGCATGCAAGTAACTCTACAGGCTTACTGCTTGCTGAAATTCTAAAACTTGGAAAATCTTGAAAAACCAACCCCAACAGCCCGCTCAGGCCCGAGACATCCAAAGACAATGTGAATCCATTGCGCTGCATCGGAGTTCCTACTGTAATTGCAAGAGACCCAACGGGACCGCACTGCTGCTATTGCTATTGCTGCCACCGTGACTACTATCAAAACTGTTTGCTGGACCTCTAGCTTCCCTCAGTACTGGTGCTGACAATTCTTAAGTCTTCATAGCCAAAGATAATCGGATTGATGAGCGCATCCAAAATTCACACCCACAACGTTGAAACTTCTCGTTGTTTAGTCGCCTGCCAGCTTACTCTATAAGCCCCGTACACCATACAATGCTTACATTTTTTGCCCAATTCTCATCATTGGAATCTTTCGGAAGCCGTGGGACAGCTGCATCGCCTGCAGATCGGCTCTGGCCCCCAGGACCAGGAGGGACAGAGCCCAGGCCTTTCATGCTTCCATCGTAACAAAGAACAAAAATGTGTCAGTAAGCCCGCTAACAGCATTATAGTCGGAGCACCACTCCTCATCGTAACCATCAAGTTACTGGCCACAGAATGAGGAAGTTACAAGAGGATGAAGAGGTCACAAATTGAAATCTCCCACCAGCAGGCTACAAGACACTATGGGACCTGTGGGCAATGAGGATAAGAAACTCAAATCTCCGCTTTAAGGACAAGTTTTGGTTGATCGGTGGTAACTGTGCTGGAGGGGGGTTGTCATGCCAGATCAAAACTTGCGGGTTGAAGGCCTTGCCTCGATGAATGCACTTGCTGCCACTATATCAGTTGCATGCACAATCACAAGGCCGAGTCTACGCCTCGAAGTCCAAACCTTTTGGGCTGGCTCTTTAGTACCTGATTTGTAGCATCGGTGTTCTTTAAAGACCTACTCAAGGCCCAAGACCCAGCTCAAGATTATTGCCTTGGACATGATGAAGTGCTAAGGAGGCCGATTGCAGGCTTGCATTGTTGGTGCCAAACCACTTCAGTAGATGCAAAAAATGTTCGCGACGGTACCAGAATCGAAGGAAACCCCGTATTGGGTAATTAGCTACTCGATGCTACAAGTAAGGGCAGAAGGATGAAGAGCAGTCCAAGGAACCCATGTCATGGACGCTCTCGATCCTTGGTTGTGAATGCACGTTGATTGCACATGCGAATGGATGGGAGCAACCATGAACCGTCAAGACTGATGTTGTACCCGCCGGGTGAACTTCATGCTCGTTGTGCTGCTCCTCATGCTATGGATCGCAGCAGATGGCATTACCGGAAAAAGCTACAATTGCTAACAAGACCAGGCACAAATATGGAAAGACGTACTTGGCAAAGGCACGAAAGAAGCGGACTGGGATCACTTCATAGTCCCTTGAGCCCGAGCTGTGGGAAACTCTTTTAGTTTTCTCCTTCAAAGCAGTCGTAGCCGCCCGCTCCGATGTAAAGCGAGCTCACCGGTCTACTCTTGCGAAGCCTTGTGGATGTGGCTCTGCTTGCCTTTGCAGTCTGCAGCTACGCACGCTACCACTGATAGAGGCCTAGGATAAAGTTAAAGAAGCTCAGGCCAGAAACCCGTAATCTCTACCCCAATGTTCTGCTGCACTTTGAAGCCAAGGCCGCCTGACTCCTAAGTGTCAGGATCTAAGCGCTGCTGCCAAATCCGCATCTCTTTGTGTAGCATGGCGGTCCATCGCTTGTGCAGCTGCTACTTCTTCTAGACATTTACTGCTAGTGATTCTGCTATCTACACTCATCACGGCTGCTGCTGATGGTGCCATTAACCCCTAGACCCTTCAAAGGAGATCTGCACCCCAACATACTTAACTCCTGAACCCTAATCCCTAAACCCTAGACCCTAAAACCCAAAGCCCTCGTGTCCATTATAAGCACCAGCCTGGGGATTGCTGCGGGAATTGATCTCGGGGCTCGAGACGCTCCACCGAAGCCTTCAGAAGCACAGGAGGGGAGAAGCACCCTCTCAGACTGGAGAAGGGTGGTAGTTTCCATTTTCTCTTCCATTATCCCAATATAACCCCAATAAACTATAGTAGTTTCCATGTTCTTTTCCATTTTCTTTTCCATTATCCCAATATTACCCTAATATACTTTAGTAGTTTCCATTTTCGTTTCCATTATCGCTATACAACCCTTATAACACCCCAATATATACCTATAATATACTTAAGTTCTTCAAAGCTGCCAGGATCCGCCGGGCGAGGGCTTCAGTGGCCAGCTTCCGCTCCGACACGCGCCTGAAAGGTCTCGGGTGGCCCGGAAGGCTGACGGGCCACCGAACAGGCTGAGAAAGAAGCGATGCAAACATGGCTCTGTGTGTATCTATATCATTTTTTGTTCGCAATTTCGGCCTTGATGCGGTTGTGTTTCCGCTTGATTGCTTGCATGAAAGCAAGCAACGAAAGCAAGCAAGCAAGCAACCCACTTGTATGGCTCTCTCAATTGGGATGATGCACTGATGCACATGTTGCGTTGTGGCGGGGCTTGGCAGGTTTGGTTTGGTTTGGTTTCAGCAGCGCGAACGAGCTGGCAAAAGACAACGACGGTGATGAACATGGACATTATCCAACTCCAGCGGAAAATATGTACAGGGCAAACACACATTTGAGATTACACGAGTTCTCAGGGTGGGCTGTATACCAGTGCATGCTGTTAAACGTTGCGCCTTCGCGGAGGTCTGTGCACGCGCGGGCGCATTTGACAAAAACTGGCTTCTCATGCAATCGAAGTCGACAGCTAGCCCCATGGCCTTGAAACATATCAAGCCTCAACCCTGCTGTTTCGCTCAAAAGGGTTCCAAGGGACTGAGAGAGTTCCTCCCGAAGCCGCAGTAGAGGCCTCAGAATGGGAGCAGCTAACATACTCTGGCGTAGTGGCGCTTTAGGGCCCTGACGCGGAGGCCCCGGGCCCAGCACACTGCGCATCAACGGGACGAGCCTGGAGGCGCATCTGGGTTGATGGCTCATTGCCGTTGACGAATGGCTTGTTCCAAGAGGGCTTCTGAGAAATTTCGAGAAACAGGGTTTGCAAGGTCTGCAGCTCAAACGATGACAATTTTCTGAGCCAAAACTATGTTGGCATGTACGCAGCAATTCTACCTGCATATCGTGCATTAGCAGCACTAGGGGGCATCTGTGCTGCAGCTGTGTTGATTCTGGATCCTGGCCGTAAAGCTACGGTACGGTATGGGTTGCGCGGCATGACTTCCAGAGCACAATGTCCATGTGTCACGGCCCAACATCACGTCATTCGCGTCCCCTGACCCTGTAGAGTAACCTTCATGCCTTTTTTCCCGGGATCATCCAATCACACTTGACTCTGAAAGCCTGGCATGAGTCATATACTTAGAGCAGCGTGCTCCTCAGTGGGCAGGCATGCGGAATATTCTGACAAGATCAGAAAGTGATCCTCGCTGCCTGGCCGGAGTAGAGGACCACCTCCGAGAGCCGAGCCAGGAGCCCAAAGATGGGCCAGCCCTGAATGCGCAGCTCTCAAGTGTAAAAGGCTTTAAGGGCTCTCCGTTTGAAATACATGAGGTACGTGAGTTACCGTCTTGCCGGCGCAGAGAACAGCTTAGCTGGTTGATTCTAAGCCGTAATTTCATGATGGGAGGTGCGGAGCTTCAGTCTGGAAATGCAATTTTTTGATATCTGTCCGAAGGAGCACCCAAAAAACTGTTGCAGCAGGCACGCCGACTGCAGCAGGTCCGAAAAGCTCAAGCCCAGCTTGTTGAAGCGATCGCCAGCCACGAAGAGCATACCATGCCCTTAGCTGATGAGGCTCGCACAGACACTCGCCTTTGTCGAAATGAGCCTACGTGCTTTGGTGGTGCAAATTGGCACGTGCAGGAATTTGCCAGCAAGCAGCGAGCCCTGAGAAAACAACGCGGCTTCAAAAGAGCAGCTGAAAACAAGCGTAGATAAGCGTATCCAATTCTGACTTGCATCCCTGCGTCGCTCGCCAGGCGTAAGGAAACTCAGGGAGAAAAGGTCTGCAGCCACCTCCCAGGTGAACCACAGCCCCTGACAGATGCCTCCTCAGCATGAGAACCTTTGCAAAGGCCAGCCCGAAGTCCAGTTTCGCATTCAACGTGTTTCCCTTCCTCTTGGATTTTTGAAGGGGTTGTACTTCTAGCAGATATTGATATGCTCGCAAGGCATGCCATGTGCAGTGTGCAGCATGCACCTATCAGTCCCAGTAGGTGCTTCTTCGGACAACACGACCACTCCTAGCAGCGCCTGACCAATCTGACAAGGATTCTCCATGTGCGCCATCTGCAGGTTTCGCTCTTGCGAGTTGCGGATGAGGCCTGCACGCCAAGCAAGGAAAAAGAGGGCGCCGGGATCAATGAAAGCTGCAGTTGAAGCATCCCTAGTAGAAACTGTCCATCACTGACCTGTACTGGCCCTAGAAAGAAGCGGTGCCTGGCTGCATCTGCAGCATCCGCATCCTGAGGACTGGTGTACTCAGTGGCAGTCCTCCTAGCTCATGGCCTAGACGGAGAAAAGTGCGCAAGGACCGTTGCGCTGCGTGGCCCTGGTGTCTACCCCGACATGAAAACTCAGCTCCGCACGCAGCAATCCCGCCTGGGTCTCCGGCTCTTTGCTTGTGCATGTGGTCTTGAAGGCTCAGTAGACAATTTGAACTTGTTATTTGTTTTGGCAAGGGCCACGGCTTCAGCTACTCAGCGCTTGAAGTCTCACTAGAGTTCTCCAGCCGGGGTGCAGTAGGACCAAACGCCTTGGTCCAAACCGAAACAGCGCCGGCTGCGCATCACCGGCTCCGCCAGAGTGGAGTAGGTGATAAGGTCCTGCAGTTGCGCGAATCGCGTCCACGCCAAAAATTCACAAGAAGAAAGGACAGCTTGCATTGTTTATGAAGCACCCAAGTCCTCACGCACCGCTGTCCAGTTCAGCGCTTGGCTTTCGCGGCACTGGGCTGGCCTTCAGACTTTCATCATCGGTTGCACTGCGTGCTGCTTGCGGCTCGGAGTTAAACTGCATTGGTTGCTCTATCCATGGTCTGGACGGGATGCCTTTGGGCTGCCATTTTCCCTCCCGCACGTTGCTATATAGGCTCTGGTGCCGATACTGAGGTTTTCCCACCTGGCGCTTTGCTGCTTGCAGAGCTGAAAGGTGCGATTCTGCTGTCTGTGCTTCTGGCAAATCCATGCAAGCTCGCTGTTCCACAAGTCTCCACAATATTATCTTGCCAGGGCAGCCACTCAAAAAGGAATACTGCCAGGCCTAGCACAAAGCAATGATTCTGCTTGGCTATCTCGCAAGGCCCCTTGCATGACCCACTTGAAAGCTGGCCTGGCTGCCTGCCATGTCAGACTGAAGAGCAGCAGCCTGCACCCCAACCTGGCCCAAATTGCAAAAGAGACCGGAAGGCCCATGGTTGATTGAGAATCTGGCAGCTGACCTTTTCTGAGGGGTCCTAACTTTTGCTATTAATATCAGGCTGGAATTGCACGTGACACCCAGCTGGACTGCAGTCTTCGCGCGTTCAACAAGTTCTCTCTTGTAGTTTCTTCTGGCGGGATCTTTTTCTCTAGCGCTCGCGGTGGCCGGAAAGGCTTTAACAGTCAACTCCATACCTTGCATCAGGCTTGTTTCATTTGCAAGCCTCCACTCCCTCAATCACCCCTCATCATAAAATCATTCATCATCCCGCTCAGCTTCCTGGTCAAGACTGCACGGTACTTGCTGAGAAAATAGGGCCGATTCACCAAAATGCCCCTGCACTTGGCACGACTTTCTTTTGCTGAGCAGGGACGAAGTCCTGGACGTATCCATGGAACTAGATGGAACCAAGGGTTCACAGGCTGTGATGGCATTGCATGTGAACCCTACGAGGGGCAAGACTCAAGAAATGTTGCCAGTAGCATGGCAGCACAAGAGCTGTGTCTTGCAACCCTCTTCCTTTAAACTCAGCCGTAGCTTGGCCATTGTAGCGTACAATATGATACCTGACAGTCTTGATCCACTCACTCACTATCCTTGAGCACGATGTCGATGTAACGGGTGTTTGATCCAATGACACCTCGCAGCTTCAAGACTTATGCATACATCTGCTGTGGCCTTGAGGAGGCTTGAGGCCCATAGGCTCCAAGTCATACTCACGTGTGCTAGAGTAGGACCCATGGCGGGAAAGGGAAAGGGGAGGGAGCTTGAACTATGGCTGCTCAAGGCGCTTTTCTGCAACATTGCGACGGCGTTTGCGGCACCTTGGATGTGTGAAGTCGAAACTGTTCACAGAACGCCAATCCTTCCGAGGCTTGGTCAGCGTTAGGAGTCAGGCGTTCTTCGTTGTATGATGTTGACAGTAGGGGTTCTCATCTGAAGTTTTCTCAGGATTTTGGAATTCTCCACTCCGAGAATCCAAGAACTCCTAAAGAACCATCAGCCCTCCTTGGCAGGGCACAGGCTGCTTCCTTGTAGACGACAATTGCGGAGCCCTTGGACACCCAGTGGACCGTCTCAATCTCACCTTGCTGCAGGGTTCTGACCGCGTCTGAGACCAAATCCCGGGTGGGGCAATGGTGTCCTTTCAGCCCCCTGAGCATAGGACCCGCTGTGGACATGTGCGCAATCAGCTGCTCGTCGGTGGTTCCGAAGTCAAAGCCGCGCACGAACACTCGTCCGGAGCCTGCAAGCAGGCTAAAGTGATATCGACCTTGAACCTGTCCTATAGAAGCCTGAATAATCGCAAAGACTTTTCTACGAGAGAATTGCAACATGCCCGAAATTACTATCAATCTTGAAAGTTCTCTTGGCCCCCCCCCCCAGGACCCAGCCTGGAGGGTCCTCCTTCTTGTCGCTCTTGCCCTTCCCCTTGCCCTTGCCCCAGTACGCGCGAGCGAAGTTGGCATACCAGAACTCAGCATCACGCACAGGTGCCACTGCCACCAAACGCAAAGATGAAGACTGTGCATAGCTTGCCGCGGAGCATCCAAAAGAATTGATCCGCAATAGGTCTAGCTGTAAAATTGAAGCAAGTGCTAAAATCGGTGCTGCCAGCCATCTCTGCATTTATCAGATCGGCTTGAGCGTCCACACACTTCAAGCCTAGTCTGCCGCCATGTTGCCATTGGCATTCCCTTGGCTGAAATGTTTCTGGATACTGCACGGGATGAGAGGCAGGGCACTAGAGGGCCTACGCCGTCTCCCTCGCGCAGTGCAAGAGGGATAGTTCTAAGAACTTCGGACGATTCTGGACTGGACTGGGAACCGGATTCAAGAACGCTATGCCGCAAATAGATGCAAATAGCTTCCAGCACTTGCATGGGGGAACGACTGACAGAAACATGACCTTTTGCTTACTTGCTTCATAGTAAGCATCTGTCTCCCCGGCTCCGGTCAATGTTGGGAGTATGTGATGTGGGCGTTCCTGAACTTCTAGACTTTTGGGCTTCACACGGGGAGCCCTAGTTCTGTTGCATTGTCCTTTCACTGAAATTGAAAGAAGATCACGCCAACACTCCCCAAGTTGCAGCCTCAAAGACCCCGCGACCTCCACAGATCCCTACAAGTTCCGACCATTCCTTTAGGCTATCCAACTGATTGCACTGGGCAGGATAAAACGGTCCACGTGGCAGTTGTCCCACATGCGCAGCTGAAAGATACACATCTGAATTTCAAGCTTTCTCCCCAGACAGTGGTTCCAAGTTCCAAAATCATTCCAAGGCCAAGGTGCCATCATCATCCTGCGCGGGTCGAAGTTGTCGTCCTTTTGCATCACGTCCTCGCTGATGAGTTGCTATTCGATCTAATGTTGCACTCACTTTAGACTCTCTTGAATGTGCTCGGCAGCGGCTTAACTAAAGAGTTGCAGCCCGTTGCCTGGGGACTCTCTGTACTGCGTTTTGGTTTGGGGCCTGGTTTGGGGCCCCCAAGCGAATCCAGATCATCCCCTTTAATCTAGTCCCCTGTGCCCTCAGTACCATGAGAGTCTTATTGAGGACGCCCACACTCTATTGCCGGTCGTAATTTTTGTCTCTGTTGGTATTCTGTGGGCACTCCCTGACGAGGGACTGCGTACTGCAAGGTGTGCCTTTTACCAACATTCATTGTGCTTATGGCTGTTTACTGTTGACCCTACCTTCGCTGTTACAACTGTCGGTCGCGTAGCCGCTGCTATGACTTCAAGCACTGGCTGGCAGAGGCGGGCATGCAGCTATGCTGGAAAGTTCCAGAGGCCCCCAACCCGACGAATGTTCAGCTTTGTGGATCTTCTGCTTTCGACGACGGCAGCCACAGGTAACAAGCTTGTCAGCCACTTCTGCAGATGAGATTCAATGAAGCGCTTGTTGCCCTCGATGGTTGTCTTGTTGAGAATCTGGGCCGCGCTCTCCTGGGATTGTTGCATGTTGGTAATTTTAGGCGTCATGTGCCCTTCGTTGAGAATCACTTTGGGATAACAACTGCTACTAGAAGGCACAAAAAGCCAGAAAACCACGGAGCCAGAAACCGAAGAAGCCAGAAAGCCAAGAAGCCACAATGCCAAGCAGCCATCAGAAAAAGGCAGAAAGTCAAGTAAGCCAAGAGGCCAAGAAGCCAAAACAAAAAAAGAAAAGCTACAAAGCCAAACCATCAAGAAGCCAAAAAGCCAGGCAGCCGAAAAAAACGAAGGCAGAAAGTTAAGTCAGCAAAGAAGCCGAAAAGCCAAAAAGCCAACAACCCAACATATAGAGGACAAAACGAAAAAGGCAAAAGCCAAGAAACCCAAAAGCCAAGCAGTAAAATGCCTTGTGAGCTGAGAACGTTCCGCACGAGAGGAGCGCTCGATTTGAAGAAAAAATGTCAGGACGCTCCACGCGAGAGCTGCATTTCGAGACCAAAATTCAAAACCGCTCCACTCGAGAGCTCGATTTGGAGACAAAAGGTGAGCACTCCACGCAAGAGCTCGATTTCGATAGAGAATATGAGGGCGCTTCACGCGAAAGCTCCTTTTCGAAGCCTTTTTTTGCATCTGGGCTCGTGCGTGTATGCCAAGAAGTGAACCCACCCCACAAACCACGAGCTCTGCTGACTTAAGGCCCATACTTGACCCAAAAACGATAACATTCTTTTCGAAGTATTTGCGACAAAGATCACAAAGATGCAAGAGATGAGAATGCAGCGTAGCTTGGGGCACAACAAGTTGCAAGCAGGCAGAATCGCTTCAGCATACACAAATGACTCACAAAACAAGCCATAACTTCAACGTTTAGCACTGGGCCAATTGGATACTGCATGAACACCTCCTCCAAATCGATCAAGGCCTTGTAATCTCCCGAACTGTCATGTATGCAGAAACAAGCCAAGGGAAAAGGCTAATGATTTCTGGCCGGATAGCTGACAGATCACATTTTCTCCAGTGCCGAGGCCACATGATCGAAACCAAACATCTGTGGCCGTGCCCAATAATATTCGTCAATGCCAACTCAAGGGTATGCTAACACTTTCCAAGTGGCTAGGCGTACTGCAGAACTAGAAGACAGGATCTCCAACTCAGCATCCCACCGTCTTTGCCGTACGAATCATAACCTTTTGCAGACCCTCATTTTGGGCAACTGTGCCCCTCTCAGCCCAGCGGCGGCCTCTTGTGGTGAGCTGTAGGTTACAAGGGCGGATCCCTTGGAGACCCACTGCAAGTTCGCCTGGCTCAGCTGTGGCAGAAAGGGGTTGCGGGCAGTCTCTTTCAATCAATTTCTGGTTCTTCAGATGTCTTCTATATTCATCTCAGCACTGCTGCTTAACAAAAAAGGTTCGAGTTCTTATGCTGACATCGACGGTCTGCGCAAACTACACGGAATGGCTGTTTTCCCTGCGGAAGCAGCCTGTGCAGACTACGCGAGGACACTCTTGCTATCCAGTCACCTACGCGGACTACGCATCATCACCCCTGGCCCATACAAAGTTGTACGGAGAAAGCGTAATGTGTATCTTACAAAGCCTACAAGCTATGCGGGCGAGGCTACGCCCTGCAGGCCGAAGGCTACGTGAGCACTCTTGCAGTTTCACTTCCACATACTTCCACCATTGCCACAGCACTTACATACCTTCAAAAAATGCTGGCCATCACTACAGCGAACTCGTGGCCCGTCGCATGATGCTCCCCGCATTCCGCAATCAATACCCAGAAAGATACGGCAAAGGAAGCCGAGTTGCAATTTGACCGGCTTTGGAGCAATGCTCTTTCAGCCTGAGTACAAGTCACAGTGAGTCTGCATTGTTGGGAGTTGCAGAAAAGCAATATGGGTTCCAATGTCCAGGGTTCATAGAGCACGCTCCAGAGGTTTACGTAGCTTTCAGCTTTCATATGCTTTGCTATGAAGTTCTACGAATGCTGGAGGGCACAACGAGAGTTTCCGAGAATCTGTAGGTCCCTTTCTTGGGGCATCCTCATGTTTCATTTCTGGGCACTCCCATCTCATGCCCTAACTTTCCAGACTTGGGCTATTCTTCCCTCATGCCTGCGAGCCTTCTTGAGCGCTGGTCTAGCAATCTTGATGCTTGTCAAAGCAACTCTCGCCCGACCCACAACCACATCCAAACAGTCTGGCTTTGATATGTCCAACACAAAGCCTCAGAATCTGCATCCATGCAACTGCTCGTCGGTAGTTCCAAAGTCGAAGCCGCGCACGAGCACTTTTGATCCTGGCTTTCCGGCCGTCCTCAGCACTTAGAGCAAAGCATCAGGAGCAAGCATACTGCTTGGCACAGGGAACGTGACAGGCTGGCCCCCGCATAGGACCACCATGCAGAACGTGACGCGAACGGGGGCGTGCATCCGAATCATCGCAAAGCTGCTCGACAAAAACAAGGACGCCCACAAATTCACGAGTTGGAGCTACAGCTGTGAGGCAAGCGGCGGGTCATCATCCAGCTTGACTTCCTGGGCATGCTAGAGCTGGCCCACGGCCCTCACGAATTGCTGAAGCACTAAACAGGCACAGCTCAGACAGGGGCTCTATGATTGATTCGATTGCCAAGACCGGAGTCCCGAAATCTGGGGCCCGCTCATCTTCAACAATACTTTAAAAAGGCTTCACAGTGCGCTTCTCACAAGACAGCTGTACAAACTACTAGTTGCTAGATGTTGCTGGTCGTCATGCTGAATCAGAAGACGACATGGTCAGAGTGAAAGCAATCATGCTCGTAGGTACCACAAATCCATTTTTGCCCCCAGGTGCTGATAGCTCACCATGTGAGTGCTTCCTATAATAAGTATCGACATAAACATCTGGAGGTGACTTAGCAAACGTCAAGAAATTTATGAAATATTGTGAGCGAGCAAAGGACTTGCTGCCACGTACATCCCAGGAGAGACAGGCTTCAAGGACAATAGGACACTCAGAAGGAGCCCGTCTGAAACTCCAGCCAGGTGGATCCGGATTTAAGTTACCCCCCTGATTAGCTGCTTGTATTTTTTGCTTGCCAGCTGCGACAAAGCGCTTGTTCCCCGGCACCGTGCTCCGGTGAAGCGTCAGGGAAGCCTAGATGCGGACTTGGAACTGACTGGATTTAAGCTTTCTAGGAGGGGTGTTCAAATGCAGGCAGTGTTTGGAGGCACCTTTTTTGAGAGGTTTGTAAGAGGACTCTTACTTTCAAAAAAAATGGGCTTGCCTCAAATTCAGAGGTCTCTGGCAAAACCGAGTTGGCGGATACCCTACTAGGCTTTTGAAAGTTTCCCCTACACCTCTCGCTTCTGGACCTCCTTTAACTTGGATCATGTTTGTCTGTCCCATGCAGCACCACGCATTGCATGCAGAAATCGGTCTGATACACTCGAAGCGGCTTGCTGATTTGGGGAAGCTCTTCGTCATTGCTGGCTCATTGTCACACATTATTCTGGACACGGGAACCCATTAATTTTCCTGAGCGCTCCTCATCCACATCCCAACATTCCCAGGACAATACTCCTGCAAGTGTTGTACCAACTGCTTTTCGTAATGTCCGTCTTGCTGTTATGACAGGCGCCTGTCACCAGGCTTTATCACCCTCTTCTTAGCACCGCTATTGCTATCAGGAGTTCACAAATACCAAATAATGAGCATCTCTTTTTGCTCATGCGTTTGTAATGCGGTGGTGACTGCTGCCGTCCCTCTACTTTCCATGGCCTGGGCAGCCTCGGCAGTGGCATAGGTCACGGCGGCGGCACCTGCTCTCGCACCGAGACATTGGGAATGTGTATGTGTGTGTGTGTGTGCGTGTTCAGTGCGGCAGAATGTTGGGAGAGTATATAAAAGAAGAAGAACTTTGCGACGTGCACCGCCACGCTGTTGACAGCGCCAAAAGAGCATGCTACACGCATCTGGAGGACTTGAGGTTTCAGGGTTCACCGTGCCTTACATCCAAATTTTGAAGAATCCCCATGCAGAAATGGATGGCCTCACACCAATGCAAGAAGCATCTGAAAGGTCATGTACGTTTTCATTTTCAGGGTGCATCCGGATGTCTGGGCAAGATGGGTTGCGTATACCAAAACGTAAGCCAGGCGAAACGACAAAAAACAATCCGCCAAGTAAGGGACCTCAGTTAACGGGCCAGAGGAGAAGGCTATGTACCCTTAACATGCGACACGCACCTCGGCCCCACAACTCCACGGAGGTCACTGGACCAACCTTGCCGATTCTGCACTGTCAATGTGTGGCCATGACGACCCCCGCGTGCCCAAAAAAATGCCATCAAAAAGTCGAAAGTCCAGGGCTCCAGGGCCGACGTTCAAGCATCAGCATTAATTAGCTGCCGTAGGTGGTCTGTTAATGTGCGAACGGAATACCCTGAAACAGCGCTGGAGCCACGTATCATGCAAGTCCTTGATTTGGGGAACCAGAGGGCCATGTATACATATGTATACCACTTGTCAACCCTGATGGCGGTGTGCCCATCTCTTCACCAAATAGGCCGCTGGTCTAGAGTCATAGTTTGGCAAAACCTTCAGCAAGCCCGGTCGACCTGGGAGAAGTGCTCACGAAGCGCGTCCTCCAAAGATCACGAACCAAATCAAACAGAAATTGCACGAGTACTTTAACACCCGGATGGGATGCTGATATCTCCTTGCAAGTGTTGGGTCTCAGAAAGACCCCATCATGTTGAGAGGCCACCCAAGAACAATTACGAGGCAGCACGAAGACGCCAGGCCCGAAAATTCTTCTGTCTAGTTTGGCTCTCTGAGCGTGTTGTCTCTGATTGATTCAAGCCGCGGCGCCAGCTGTGAAAGCAAGGCCCTACGCCTTCAAGTTGAATCCTCCCTTTACAATCAAGAATCCGACAGCCAACGACTTCTTTTCCCCTCTATAACCCCACAAAGACACCCCTTACCAAGGGTCAACTTAGCCCAAACCCTGCGTGGGGGTTTGGGCTGCAGCCCTGCGCGAGTCCTCCCCGGTGCCGAAGTCGAAGCCACGGACGTAGACGCGATGGCAAGGCTCCTTGGACTTGACTCTCGGTGGTGAGTGCTGCACTTATAGCCGCTTTCTTGTGGACTTCTTCAGGCGCCAGATCATAGGCTAAGACAATTCTCTGGATATGCTGAAGGCAGTTTTGACGAATCTTGAACGTCCAACCATGACTACGAGGCAGAGGGACGGCCTCACTGAGAAGGTGTCTAACAAGTTTATCAAGGTAAACATCATCGGTACTATCCCAAAGGACATTGCATAAAGCCATGCTCAGGATGGACCCAGAATGCGTGATGCTGTCCAACACGATCTGAAGAGCGCCGCCTGCTAATACACACATGGGCATGCTGAACCCAGGCCACCTGCAACTGAAACGGCTTTCTGCATGTAGAAGACGCATACTTTGCAGGAAGCAACTGGAAACGCATGCCAGATGCAACACTTCTTGCCCTTCCTGCCTACGTAATTGTGCTTCCCACCACGTTGGTGAGTTGCCGTAACACTCGAGCCCCCCAGCAATTGCCACAGCCACTCAGGCCGCAATCATAATGTTTGACCCGGATTAGCGTGGGGAGCCTTCATTGTGAGAAGCTGTGCCGAAATTATTCAGCACCCCCTGATTCGTTTGGGGGGCCTTAATTGTGCGAAGTTGCGCGGCCTAATGTTTGTAAAGCAACTTAGTAACTCTTAGTAGAATGATCGATCAGAATGTTTGCCTGAAGGATCGCATGCTTCAGGATTTCAGGCGTCAGACCAGGTCCAAAAACTGTCCATTTCTAATCGACCGCTTGTTCGAGGAGGCCAGGCAATCATTTTTGCAAGGGGGTAGTCCAGCAGCTGTTGGGGTCATCAATGATACGAATGCTTTGGGGAGGGCTGGATTATCCGAAGTTTTCGGGGCCGCAACGCTCCTCCTATTGAAAGCTCCGGAAACATCCGGAAACCCTCCTCCTTCTGAATTAATCGTTTATTTCGAAACAGACTCTGAGCTCCGGAAACCTTCCTCCTTTTTGAATGTAATCTACAGCACATTCTGAGCTCGGAAACCTTTCTCCTGTTGAATTCAACCTTCCTCCTGTTGAATTCAATTTAACACTACGACCCGGATTTGTTTGGCGTCGGTCCCCCACCCTCCACCACTGGAGGACCCATTTTTGGTTGCCGGGGGTGCCGGGGGGGGCGACATCAAATACACTAGTCACTAGTCAGGACCTAACATGAAATCTGGTGATGACCCTTGGAACTCCAAAACTCCATCATTCGCTGCCATGGTACCTCAGCCATCTTTGAAGTTCAAATGGAGCGCGGAGGTTGATCTCTGTTGGCGAGGAGTTGAGCCCGAAAGTGCTGCGTGAGGAGCTCAACAAATATGTATGCTCAGTTCTTCAGACCCTTATTTTTTTCGAGAGATGCACGGCATAAACCTTCAGTAGGAGCAGTCTCGGAATGGCTCGCAGCTGGGTTGTATGCACTCTCTGGCAGCACAAGCGCAGGGGCCTCAACATGATGTCAGCCCTGGAGATAGTGCATCGTCACAGCGCTACGTGGCCATACGCGACGCTGACGGCGCCCATCGGCGCAGCGCCTCCTAAGAACAAACATGAACCAACTCCTGCAAACGCACTCTCCCTATGGCAGTGTTCGAGCTCCGTTCATGCTGTCAAAAATCGCTCGAGCCCAGAATAGATGAGGTTCTGCTAGCTGCTGGATGGGTGAGACTGCGCGACGAGATCAAGCAAGTGCCCTGGAGGGGAAGCAGGGTGTACTTCTTTACTCGCGGCTGCGTGCCTAAACACCGGATCAAGGCATGTTATGCTAGCCTGAATTCCTAACCTTCTAACTCGAGCTACTGTCGAAGCGGCACAACTCTTTCACGTTAGCCGTGCCAGATCTGTTTCCGTCAGCAAGACCAAGAATCTCTTTACCAAACATATTCAATATCGAGATGGACAGGAGCGAAACACGACAGATCTGACGCGTATTCTTGGCACGCAAACTTGTGTGCATGCAGTTGTTTGTCGCTCTCATGGGGGACATTTCCGCTTTTGCGATGGCCCTTGCTTCTGAGAGGAAGGCATAAAAAGAAGAGCTGCGCGCACTCTCTGCCCTTAGGGCACGTTGCGCTTGCTGTTGCTTATCTAGACCTAGTGACCTAGTGAGCCTAACATCCTGAGCACCTGCAGATCCACTCCTCGCATCTTTTATAAAGAACGCGCAATTGGCAGCTGAAAGTAGGAGTGGTTCGGCATTCACATCACCCATCTTGCAGACGTCTACTCCTGCGACCATAGGCCGCGACCATACTCGTGAACAGGCATTGCAACGAAGCGGATACTAGGTAACACTGAAGCTTGAACTTGCCAAAACATCCAAGTGTTCTCCTCTCATTTTTTGGTCATGGACTCCGAGGCATCCCAGTCGGGCGGTGGCGGCTCGCGAATAAACTTGTCCTTGTTCGGGGTGCATCTGCCAGGCTAAAACATAACGTGTCATCTTCCCCTGAAGGTTGAACCGCAAACCCAACATGCAACATGCATTTGCTGGGATCTGATTCTCCCAAGACTCGCAGAGGTGCAAGAGATGTTGCGATGGCACATCCACGCTGCCCTGCCGGCCTCGCAGGCTGCGGCACACCTTGCAGTATAAAATTGCGGGAAGTCAAGGACGTTTCCTTTCAATCGCTTGGCTTCCAAGGAATCACTTCTCGAGCACACAACCTAGATCTGAATGGGCAGTAACTACTGACAAGTTTCTGGTGGTTATGCTGCAACAACATGATTCCACGAACAATGTGCCGCTCTTCCCTACGCTCAAAGCACTCACAACCAGAATGCAAGTTTGGCGAGCACTTAGTGTCTGACAAGTCTTTCAGACATCTACACAGGCCAAACGGCCATAGGCTGGAACACAAACAACGGGACATGTCGGACCGCTTCTCCCAATGTTTTAGCCTGTGCAAGGCCAGGTTGGAGCATAATCATCTTCCAACTTTCTGGTCGTTGTACAGTGACCCTTCCAATAAGACCAGACGGGCCCATGTCCATGCTTTCGAAGTTTTACTTCTGCTCAGAAGGGCCTCTGACAGCAGCGGCCGCGCTTCGCCGAAGCGCCGGGCCACGAAGAGCTCGAAGGCCTTCCTTTCAGGATTTTGATTTTGGGGTGTCGAAAGTGGCTCAGGGTACCGTTTCGGGGTTTCAAAAGTTTCACAGGCACTGATCTTGAAATTCGCAGAGGCTCCTTACCTCTTTGTTCTTGGGATTTCCGAAGGAATTCTGGGCTTCATATGCGGGGATGTTTGTGGGGTACGAGGGAGCATATGGGTTTGAAGGGATGATATTCATTGCGGGCAAGATTTGGGAGTGAAGGAGAGGGTGCCCAAACTACGGGCCCATTGTAAGCTGAGGATGCTCGAAAGGACTCCATGCTGTTTCTGCACAACTGCAGGCAAAACGCTGTCAAAAAAAAACTGTGCTACGCTCTACGGCTTTCGTTTGAAAAGCCACCTCGAATAGCATGGTATCTGATTTTTGGGTCGCGGATGTCTGTGAAAGGGTTGCAGGTGGCTGGGCCATTTTGTTGCCAAGAAGTTCTACCCCAACATGTAAGGCTCCAGAAGTGTTGGTCCTATCGCAAATTTTGGCTATTTTTAGGGACCACAAGGTGGGGTTCAGTGAATTCGTGAGATTTTTGCCCAGCGTCCTGTGTATGTCGTAGGTCTTGGCCAGAGCAGCCTTGTCGCCTGTGCGCCGCGCCCGAACCTCCCAGACCTGGGGAACCACAAGCACAAGTTGTGTTCAGTCCTGGGGTGGCATGGATGCGGCGCACAGAACCTCGGATCCCTTTGGCCTGATTCAGGCTCTTACATCTTTACTCTTGTAGCCCCACCCTGCAATCAATCCCATTGAACCCGCAGCTCCACTTGCTGGCCTTGGTGGCCGACTTCCGGCCCTTGAGGATGAGGTTGCCTACCGGCCGCGCCACGAAGGTCTTATGCAGGTCATCGGCCTCTTGACGCAATCTTTCTTGAATGGGGTCCTGCTGACCAGCATCCGCTTTGCTGCTGATCGTGTTGGCAGCTGTTTATCGGTTCATCGGGAGAGCTCTCAACGGAAATGATGTGCTGTATGACAAGCCCCTTTGGGTAAAGGCTACGAGCAACTGGGTTCACGGATGCTGCAAGCCTGCGAACTCTTGTGAAATGTGAAGGTCAACACGCGAAGGGCTTGATGGAGGAAAGCAGGATTCCAATCTCGTCAGGCTTCCGACCTTGTCCCTCAGCTGAACATGTCTCCGCAGTGTTCCAACCCCGGGCCTCCTCCAGGCACTCATTGGACACCAAACAGGAAGTGCCAAAGTGAGAGTTGATGCTCCTGGAAACACTTCACTGCTTCAACATGCACTGGGTGTTGCCAAACCCACTCCACAAGCTGCGCCATGGCCTCGTAACCCAAGCCGTGATAGGCTGTCTGTCTACAAGCACAGCGAGCACTACAAAAAACTCATGTTTGGGATCCAAGGATCTTCAAACGTGCAGCCACGTTGACACTGTCACCCAGCACGCCATACCTCACGTTAAGTTGTCAAATCATGTCATGCTGTAAGGTCAAACATCTTGACATATCTTGACCAATGCAATGCCGTACTGCAGCCTTACAGCCACCACTGACAATCTGACGAGCGGATGCAAACATCCTTTGCGGGTTATCTGGTTCTATTGGAAGACTTCCAGAGCAGGTGCAGATTGCGTGCAGTTCCCACTCCAGTGAAAAGCAGCCCCCGCAGCATGGAGGAGGCATGGCTCATGGGGTCAGAGGGCGGGAGATAGAGCCCAGGTGCTTGATGCGAGTCTGAGAGCCGATGTTGCCCACTAACACCTGCACTTCAACGTCTCACTTGCAAAGTTCTGGAAGCTGCTAGTCTGCAGGCCCTCATGTTATGCAGTTATGCAGTCGCGTGCAAGTGTCCCAGCCCACAACCACGTGTATTCTTGGTCTGGTCCGCGAGTCTGGGACCAGTAGGAATGCTGGCGCCATCATGACTTTGTGTCTTCGCTCTTGTCTTTTGTCTGTGTTCGTCTCAGGCCTTCCCGGAGTGGACTCCGCAGCGCATGCGGACGCCCAAGCGCTCGACACGCTCGAGCACGTCCTGAGCAGCCAGGGACAACAACTTTAAGAAGGTGGCGGCTCATCTCTACATCTTGAAATATTTTGAGGCACCACGCTTGGTCAGGGGGTCATGTGTTTGGCCACATATGTTCAACCACGTTGAGATCATGAGCTAGCATGAAGTGAAGGGGAGGGGGAGGCCGCGGCTTCACATCGTTGCTTTGCCAAGAGATGACCCAAGCTGCCCATCTGAGCCAACGGTTGGACAGAAGCAGATCTCAAAAGGCCCTGCACACAAGTCCCAACATCCTCCATGAACTGTGCCATCTGCGTTGGCGAGCTCGGTACGGCGGGTTGCTGTTTGCAGACCACCACGGCAGCATGGGTTCCATGGAGCAGGGTGGGACTGTAACCGCATTGGGCCCAAGCCAGGACAAACTCTGAAAGCCAGACTTTAGAAAGGAGAACCCCGCCGGCAACGACACCAGCATACTCTGACGTTAAGTCGCCGTCGCGGCTTCTGTGGCGTGCTCCTCATGGTCGACTACCTGCCAAGATGGTGTCAATGTGCACCAGCCATGTTAAATTCGTGTGGACCATACCACGTTCATTGCTGAAACGCATAGGGGGCTTGGGTGTAAGGTTTTGAACACGCAGAGATCTATACGAGGCTACTTGTTTTTTCTCATGAGGGCGTCCCCTATCGATTTCCACGTTTTGGGGATCTTCTCTTAACCCTGCTTAAATGAAGTAAGCCTATAATTTTAGGACGTCCCCCATCGATCTTGGGGATTTTTTGGGATTTTTGCGCAACAACTACCGCCTAGACTAAATCAAGTAAACGGTACTTTTTACCGCGACTCAATATACCGTTTTACAGTGCAATGTGTTGGATATGAGGGCGAAACCACTGAGAACTTTGAGGGAAATTCTGGGCCCGACGGCTGTTGCAACTGGCCTCGTTCGGGGCGTTGAAGACCGCAAGGACCTGGAGTAAATCTATAGCTTGAGCACAGTCAGGATGGCAGCTGCCTGGAACCTTATGACTTGTTTCTTGTCATCTAAACCTCCTGAGCCGCCGAGGCGGGAGGCCTGCGGCGTTTAGATCCGGAGGCGGAGACAAGGAGTTACCCTCTTCCTACGCCCTCCCAGCCACCAGGGGTCGAATCCCTTTTTTTTTGTTTTGCATTTTTGGGGGTCGGCCGGGTCTTGCGCCGGTGCGAATCCTGGCCATGGGCCTAATAGAATAGAATAGAACGATCCTTCTCTTGGTTTCTTTGGCAAGGCCCACCTCATCCGCAATGAACTCCAAAAGCGTTCCGCCAAGGCCCTCGATGGCACTGGACACCTGTTGCAGAGGGTTCAAGGTTTCCTTGTATACGGGCCCCCAAAATGTACCCCGATATACCGCAATCCTTGTTTTAGGAAGATCCTCGGCACTCGTTGAACATAGTCAAGTGACTTGACCCCAAAATCTATAAAACGTCCAGCCAACGTTTTACCCCCAGCGTTTCCGCTTTACGCTAAGTCTAACTAACAGTTTGATAACGCAAGGCCTGTAAACTGGGGTCTACACTTCAGCAGAAACTCACTGAGGAAGCTTGAGGTCCGAAGTTTTGTCTGTCCTCCCCTGCTTCCGCATCCGACGTGATCCGGTCCTCCGCCCCTAAGACCCAATGATGCTGGGTGTGGCACAGGCCTCGCCATGAACGGAGCTCAGCAGGTCCAGCACTGCCTATTGCATTACGAGTGGCATTGAGTTCCGGCCTACGTGACCAAGAACATATATAGCTCGTCCACTCGTTCTACAGCACTCTCAATTCCACGATTCATTCGCAGTCCCGCGAGGAAAGAATCGTCCCTCGCTATGCATCAAAGCAAGTTCAAGCCCTGCAGGACCTCTGTTGCGCTCACTAGGAGGCCTTCTGGCTACGCAAATCCCGACTCAGCTTTGCCTTTGGGTGGAGGCCGCGGCACATATCCCGGAAGCCGTCAATGTCGCCTTGCTGAAGTGCTACCGGATGTCTGGCTTCGGTATACAGAAACAAGTTCATGCTTGCGTAGCATCTTGCCTGCTGCCTATGGAACTGCGGATTTTGTTGCAAGGTCACAAGCACATTCTCCATGCATGTGTTCTGACTCTGTGGACGTCATCTATGCAGCGATGCCTGCTCAGCTCCATTCGTCAGCAACTAGTACAGGGGGCAGCTTTTACGTTGCGAGTGAGAAATTGAATCCTAACACCTGTGCGCTTCATACTTGCGGGCAGGCTGCAGAAGAAAATGCTGACTTCATTCTCGTGAAAGCCGACGGTGGCCTGTCACGTCCAAAGCAATGTCAACCAGATTGAGCAAGTAGACCACGGAAGTAAAATGGAGCGAGTGTTGGTACGCCTGCTTTGAAACAAGCACGCCCGCTCTGAGTGTTTGTTTCCTCTTCCGCGGAAGCCAGCCCTCTCAATTTTGACGCGCCTCCACTCCGGATCTATACCTGATGGAAATACATAGCAAGTTGTGCTGCAAGCTTGATGACTAAACTCACATTGACAAGCTCATGATACAAGAAAACAGCCATCCAAACCATGCAAACCGCGTAATGAGCACAATGGAACGTGGGGACAATGATGTTTGTCTTCCTCTTCCCACCTTTGTGTTTGCGACCACCACTCCGCGGCCACGGCCACCACCGCCACTACAACCACATGACGGGCGCATGCGATCTGTCATCCACATCAGCATGATCCTCATCCTGGTTTTGGCCTTTGCATGACGGGGCTTTTGCAGGTCTTGCCTTTTTCAGTCCTGAGCATTTTGCAGTGCGCAGCTGACAGAATGCCAAAATCCTTGCCCATCCACGATGATGTTGTGACTGTGGGGCCAGAAGGGGCCATAAGCTTGACAACAAGTGCTTGCGCAGTGATCAAGGGTCTCGAAGTGCAGTCGTAATGTGGGAGTATGTGGGACATAAGGCCCAAACACTGTTCGAAAGAACCTGATCTGGGTCCTCTAATGCGAAATGTTGGCAGCAGGAAGACAAACTGGGTAATAGAAAACAGGAGAGAACTGAACGCATGCCCTGAGAGTACGTGTCCAACAAGCACCGAGGAGCAAGGACTTCAGCAAATACGGCGGCACGTACTTGGCCCAGGAGCGCAGTGCAGCACGCATTGTTGTGAGGGAGCACCGTAGATCCTGAGCCCACAAGACTCGCAGACAGAATGGTGAACTGGTGATAGGCACGCAGGCAGAATTGTGCCCGGATTTCCTGGATTCTTGGGTCATCGAATGGTGAGAGGAGAAAACAGGTTACAGGAACGATTTCCATTGAAGCTCCTAGCTGGTCCTCGGTGTAGAAAGAAGGCACGCGGGCACAATTCGTTCTTGAAATGCCCATGACAATGTACTCCTGACTCTGAACGGCCAAAAGACCGCGAGCTCCTTTACATCGTCGTTGTTCCTTGGGAGCAAGGGTTTCAACTCATGAGGTTCCTTGGAATCGAATTTGTCCAGGATGTTTCCTGATGACTCCATTGTCGCGAAGCCCTCCAAAAGTGATCCCCTTTTAGGGTGGCCCCCACAAGTGGCCCCTTTTAAGCGACCTCGGGGACACACTGGCTTAGCATTCGTGTCCCGCTGCTGGCAATTCTGCTGCTCAATCCCTTCTCATATGAGACTCATGGTCGGGTGCGCGGAGCTCATGGACTTATGCTTTGTACATTGCCGGGTCGTGACTTCTCTTGCTTGGGGTTTGGGCTGTCCCTTTGCAGCCAAGGCTGCTCGGACTGCTCTCGGCAGAATGGCAAGCGCATGGTGTAGCGGATGATCCCTCAGGAGCACAATATATAGAGTTGCTAGGCACCGGTAGGCAAAGCTTCCTTTCTTGATGGGCCCATCCCATGTGCTGCCGAGGAGCTCTTTATCCAGCCTTGTCGCTTGCCGCTCCTCTGCAGATCCTGGCGCCGTGATAGGCATACGATCCCGACCCGCGTTAGTTAGCCATCTGCGACGCAACAACAAACCACGGACTCGTTGCGTGCCCTGTCTGCCACCCAACTGATATCCATGCGTCTGGGTAGGCACACATTCAGGTCCCATGCCTCAGTGAAAGGAAGCCAGCAGAGTCCCCTCATGGCGGAGTTCCTTGAGGCCCCCAAAACCTCTGACAATCTTGTGAAAATAACATGTATTTTTTTCTGCGATATTCTTCCCAGACCTTGAGCATGTCGCTGGCAGGCTGGAAGTTGGTCATCCGCACCGCTTCAAGCGAACGCAGCGAAGCCTGGCAGCTCGGTCAGAGAGAGATGATTTGTCAGACCTGCCCCAGGACGGCAACATGGAATGTCTTGAGCTGTCACACCGACAGCGCCGAGCCTGAACTGTTTAAAACTAGGCTTCGGGAGTAGCCTGCAATTCAGCAATTCCTGCTTCTGCCACAAAAACCTTCAACTAAAAAGGTCTGCAATCCTGGGGAAGGTCCTTAGCCTTTCAAACCTGAATCTGGCAAAGGACAAAACCCTTGTTATATGCTGTCACTTGCAGGCTGCTTATGATGTCTCAAGATTGATTAATCTCCCAAAAAACCAAAACCTTCATAAACCCGAGGGCCCTACGGTGACCTAAGCCTCGCCCGCAGATAAAGAGCCGAGCAGGGTACAGGGCGTATGCCGTAAAGATAAATAAACTATCGGATGTTGGCGGCCTATGAACTGAATCAGCAGCAAGGCTCGAGATAGGGGGGAAGGAAGGAGGATAAGGCCTAGGCCGCATAAAGACCAGTAGAGCTTTTCAGCATTCCTGTGCTCATCAGCTCCAGAAAATCCAGTCAGCATCACGCTAGGCAATGACTTGGGCTGAAGAATAAGAAGTTTCCTCAAAGACGACCAAGGCGAGCAAATGGTTTCACACGAGTACCGGCCTACCAGGGCCCAGTCCAAACTCTCCTGGTATCAAGTGCTGTCGTATTTGGAGCCAACTGTGACGAGGTATTCGCGCTTGCCAACCCTGAACTCTATGGACTGTCATAGCATCGCAGTCATGGAGTGTGGAGTTTTGTGCATCAGTACTTTCTGTGAACAAGTAAACCCTCATTGCTTCTCAAGGCGATCTGGCCAGGAGCCTTTAATTTTGTGGATACATGTGCAATCATATGCGAGCTATGAAGCACGTTTCAGTACGCTGTTCCTCAAGGTTGGCATGTGAAGACTGTCAGGAATGTTCAGAAACTCTGGTTCTGGGGAGTTCCCAGTTACCTGTCCCACCCCACAGGAGTGTGCCTGCTCGTTACAATTTGGAATTCCGCAGAAACGTAAACCCACACCCGTAAGTGTAGGCGTGCGGCCATGTCATCCAGAATGCTCCATAGCGGATGCAGCATGCGCGTGTTCACCTTGCAACAGGGCTCATAGTATGGCAGAGCTGCAACAGTAACACATCAGAGCATCTCCCTTCTGCAGGCTCCGTGTTCAGTGTTGACAAGCAACAAGACAGGCACCTGTCCTATTTGAGGCTTCAGGTTTGGCCACTGTGGATGATACGTTCAATGTTGAGGCCGCCACCTTGTTCAGCGCATGCATGAACGCCAGCGCGAAAACCACCATCAGAACAACCACGATAAACGTGTATACCTTCCCATCTGCGAAGTCTGCAGCAATATGCTGGCATGAAAATGCGCATGAAACCGTAGGTGTTCTGTGGTAGGCACTGCTGCATCACACGTGCAAGTGTACTTCAAGAATGGAAGCTGAGGTCCTGAGGTCCTTGCGATGTCGGCCTCGGCCTCACCTCGAACCGAGACGTGGGTGTCCAGCAACGCAACGCTGGAGGGCAAGCCTCCAAGATGCGTGGAATAGAATTCTGGTTAAGGATATTAGGTCCTGGGATCAGCATACCCCTTGTGCGTGCATAATCTGGGACAGGACACACAACCTTTATTGGCGCAGAAGCCAAGCAAAACAAACGCAATGCAAGCAAGAGTTCGAGGGATCTTTCGGCGGCTGGCAAAGCGCCTGTGCCTATCAATCTGTCTTCTAATGTGTGCACCTTGGCAGTGGGAACCTGAAGTGACGCATGCGCGAATCGGCAACGAGATGCGGAGCCGCCTAACAAGTGAAAGGGATAGGTTCTGGAGCTCATAGCTTCATGGCGCTGTCTCTATTACGGTTGATCGTTGAGGCCTTCACAAGACGGCGTCCTGCGCTTAAAAAAAAGGAAACGGGCCCGGAGCAGAAAGTCCAGGGCAGGGGAACAATTGGAACTTGAAATCAATAAATAACGGAAGGACGGCCCTATGAACATCACTACATGTTGCCCTGCTACCCTTTCTATGAAACCTTCAAATACAACAATATTGACGACTTGGGTTAGGGCCGTCCAACATCGCAACTGCTGCTTCGGGCACAGCCTTAAACTAAGCAACTGTCGCAGACAGCAACCTCTGTTCACAAGCTGCCTTGCAAGACAAAGATCACATGGAAACAATTCGCGCAGGCTTCGGTCCACCGGGGACATAGGTCGACCTCATGTACTCCATCTCTTGTTGTCGGACTTTCTGCGCAATTTCAGATCTGCTTGGAGCTGCGTCCAGCTTCACTTTGGTCATCTGCTTCTCCTCGAGCACAGCACGCGGCACTGGAGGATTAGTCACGAAGTCCACCTGGTCCGATTTGGAAACAGAAGAGCTCCAGGAGGCAATGGACGGCTTTGCATAGCCTGCCTGCGCCCCGAGGAGGACTGCAGCAGCCACAGCTAATGCAGGCGCCCAGGAGAACTCTGAGGAAGAGGCCTCCCTTCCGGGGTGCCTGGATGCAGCCCGCTGGATGATAGCATGTCGAGGCGCGTCACGGAACAGCGGTGCTGGGACAAAAGCCAGCGTGGAGTAAGCTGCCACAGCCATTAAAGCCACGTTCATTGCACGGGCCATGGTTCAAACCAGCAAGGCGAACCCTTTGCAGCTGAAGCCAAGGAGCCAAAAATGCTGCCGCATGATGCTCTAACAAAGGGATCAGCTCCAAGCACACCTGCGAGAGTTAAACGGTGGCATCCGAGCCTGAGCAGTCTTCGTTGGGGTAACATACCTCGGCTGGTGAAGCGAGGGGAGCCGTGAGTCTGCACAGCTGATAGACAATAGAAATGTCAGCTTCAAGCTTGACGATGACCAAATAGCAAAAGGGTGGCGTCAGACGACCACACTGCGTCTTCATGGAAACTTCATTCTGATTGCCCGTACCGTGAGGAAATTGAAACGACATGAACGACATGACTTTCAGTAGCAGTGACAATGTAACCATGATAGAAAGTAATCCTCCCAAATGCTACAGTGTCTAACTTGACGGACGCTTCCAGGTGGCATGTGCCGTGTGGCCTACAATGTTCGATGACACTGCTGTCATTTTCAGGGACGTTGCCAGGTAAGTGCGGGCACAACATGCAAAATTTCATTTCCCTTGGACCGACACCAAAGCAAGTTGACCACAGGCCAAGGAGAAGGCGTTTCTTTGTAGTTGACCTGCAACTCCAACATGAACAAGCCGAGACGGTCCCCGCCCGCTTGCAATGCCCCTGTCTACTGGGGGCAGCCGCTGGAACGCGTTTGACGTCTTCAGCTTGGTCGCCACCGTTGCCGCGGCGCTCACAAAACCAACATCAAAGGCTAAATTCCTGCCAAAAGCAGCAAAGATATACCAAACTCCAACAAACATGTGTTCCTTCGAATAGCGTGTTGAAACCATAAAGTTGCCTGCGACAATTTTGATTCCAGTGCTCACCCAACGCCTGAAACCTGTTCCCGATAACAGAAGCCGTGATCATCAGCGAGTCCACCCCAGCCAAGATCCTACAGCACATCTGTATGCAGTTGATGTGAATATAGATACATATATAAGGAGGTGTGTACATGCGCATGTATGTGTGTGCATGTAGGTATGCAGCTGCGCAAGTGCGCAGTCATACAACCATAGAGGCACACTGATACGCAGTATGTATCTGTGTGCATGTACGTAGGTATGGATGCATCCGTGCATCCCGTCGCTTGAAGCCATATACATATAAATGTGCATACGAATCTATTTTGCATGATTCCTCTTTGGGTGGTTGCAAAAGTTTGGGACCCCCTCCCTTCTGGGGACGTGCCCATGATGTATTGATTGTAGAGCTTTGGTGTCCAGATTTGAAGTTTCGCCTTTTTTGAACCCAGACTTGTGATGTTAGCTGGCACAACAGGACTCCACTACACAAGCCCTGCAAACTGACGTCCGTACACAACAGGGCTCCACTATACAAGCCCTGCAAATTGACGTCCGTCCTCCACCTCCACTAACCTGCACACCGACATAAGGACACCATACTCCTCCCACAGCATTTGTGGAACCAAATAAAACCCTCAGCGATCCTCAATGTATCGGGTTGCCAGGCGCAGCTCGTGGGCTTGGAAGGGCGCCTGAACCATGGCCCGGCGCGCAGCCTGGGCTTCGGGGTCTGCGGATTCAGCCGTTTACTGGGGAAGGTGCCAAGGTTTAGGAAGATTTATTGTTGGCGTGCTTACATTATTTTTCAGATACCGCAGAGGACTATGCAGGGATTAGGGGGACTCAAGGACAAGTCTACCCCTGAAACCTTCATTACGTTCAAGGCTTAGCAAGAACCTACATGTCCTCCTTTTCGTGCATGTTTTGCAGTCAGGATGGGGAGACCACAGGTCCAAGGAACTTGAAAACCACAGCATCAGGAAACCGGAAGACTAAGGGACCAGGCGACTGGGCAGACCAGGGTGAGCAGATCAAAATGCATTGTTCCATGTTGCCCATGAACACGAGCACTTGACTCATCTCAAAATCAGGGCCAGGGGTTGAGGGAGCACAGGACACCAAGATGAAGGACTTGAGGCCCACAAAACCAGGGGACCACAGGACCATGGAGGGGACTGGGCAGCTCTAGCACCCCAGACCTGTAGAACAACAGCCCAACACCACCCAACACCACTAGACTCAACAAACACCAAGCCTACATTTCAAACTGTTACTGGTTCTTAGCAGGGAAAATGGGAGCATGTTCCCACTATAACCCCTATAAAAGATATTCCCATATTTGCAAGCAGGAAGCCTGGAGCCAACTCCCGTCGAAGTCTACTGTGTTATTCGCTGCACAGCAATCGCAGGAATGTTGGGTCCAGAGCCTCGGCTCAAAGATCAAAGCTTTGAGGGCATCAACTTCATAACCTTTCCGAGACGAATTACTTGTGACACATATATGTAGCTGTAGGCACTTCGGGGACTCAAGTTCTGACATTCCAGGCTTGCAGCTAAGGTTTGGGGAGCGCGAGTGAGTGCAGCTATGTCATCAGGACTGTAAAGCAGAACTGGCAGCAAGTACCACGATGAGGTGCAAAGGTCCAATCCCCGCCATGAGCAACCGGTGAGGATAAGCCTGGCTGCGGCAATTGGGCTTCAATCTTGCGGAGGAGATGCTTCGTGACTTGGAGTGTTGAGGGTTGAGGTATGTGACCGTGCGTAACTTCAATAGTTTCAGAGAGCGCAGAAAGATGCCATGGATTATACGCTGACATGCGTCATGGCAGTTTGAGATACTACCAGCGTGTCCCAAGCAGCGTGCCAAATCCGCCATACTTTCCCGCCCAGATGTGCTGAACTCAAGCCCTAAACAGGAGCGTGTTTGAACCTTCCAGGAAGATAGGAAAGACGTCAGGGCCACAGGGGTAGGGGTGGATACTTCCTAGGTGAAGGCGGAGGGTGAGGTGGGGTAAGTTTTCCCACCAAGACAGGATGTCTGCTGAACCTTGTGCTGAAACTTTACCAGAAGGAAAGCACGTCAAGGGGTTTAGCCGTGGACAAGAGATGGATACGACGGAGGCCAGGCCTGCGACATGCGCATGGCCAGCCCACGAAGAACATGCGTGCGAAAGCCCGTGCTTGAGAGCAGATCTTCCCGGGCCTGGTCAGCGAAGCCAGCAGCCGCAGCGCAAAGATCGGCGGCTCGCCTGACTACGACCACAAAACACTCGGTTGGTGTTGAGTTGGTCACTTGGCAACTGTGCTGGACCATAACCAAATTACTCTTATGGACCTGCATGTTGCTTGTGCTTTAGACACGACAATTGCTGCATTTCGTTTTTGGCGGATCTGCGCAAGAGCGCGCAAGGAAGCCACTGATGTCGCAGACCGACACTAGGTTCCATGCCCGTCTGGGGGCATTTGGGCTTCCGCAAGTCTGCATGGCTTCGGCTTCTTACACCCTCCTCACAACAGCTCCAGTTTGGATGCGCAAGCGCACTACTTGAATGCAATCATAATTACATGTTGCCGCTTCTGGAATGTACATCAACAAAAGATGCTGAGCGATGCCCAAAAACAGGTACCGCGTGAAAGCCGCTTCTCTAAGTCACGAACATGCTGAACATGCGCAGAGAAGCCAAGAGCTGATGCAAAGGCTCATCCCCAAACCTATGAGAACGCTATGCCTGGATATCCCCAATATAACATAGCAGTTTCCATTTTCTTTTCCATTATCCCTATAGAAGCCCCAATGAACCATAGTAAGTAGTTTCCATGTCCTTTTCCATTATCCCTATATAAACCCAATGGACAAGAAGACCACGACCCCTCAAGCTCTTGCAGGCCAGGGAGCCCCCGGCCGGCAAGGGAGGCCACCAAGCGGTCTAGGTGCGCCAGATGCTGGTAGTTACCATGGTCCTCTTCCCAGAAGCAAAGCATAGAGCGCTCTTCTGGAGGGCTTGCGTAGGTTGTGAGATGAGCGGTTCCCACTATAGTCATAGATTAATGTTGGACCCGGTTTTGTAGAGGCGGTCGGAATAATAATATTTTCCGGGAAAATTATTCGGTATCTGGTGTTGTTGAGGGGTCGGCATAATTAAGTTTTTTGGGGCCAGCTTTTTAACAGCACAAACGTTCTTACCAAAGGAAGGTTTGAAAGGAAACCTTGAAGCATGTTAATTACACAGAGCTCTAGCACCAGAGCCTTTACCTACAAGATCCGAAAATCCATAGACCTCAGAGACCCTAGCTCCATATAACTGAATTTTCGGAATTACACGAAAACATACACAACGTCAATTTTCTTGGGTGGTAGTCCAACGGAGGCCTGGATCCTCTTTAAGAATTATGTGGGGGGGGTAGGAATAAGAATACACTTTTCCAGCCCCCTAAATTTTCACTGGGATAGCTTCTATTGATTGAAAACGGATTATAATCAGTTAGTTTGATGTGCTTTACATTTCACTTGATTCCAATCGGATTTGAATCTATGTTGAATAGAATGCATTTTTCAAAGTGGCTTTCATAACAAAAAAACATTGGTTTCAACACATTTAGAATTGATTTCAATTCGTTTCAATTGAGTCTTAGTTGATGCTGCAGTAAGTTTCCGATTCAACTGATTTTGAGTAGAGTGTGGTTAGATTTGAAAGTGCCCTTCATTAAATTTTCCATAGGTTCGAATTGGAAAAAAAGATTGTATTGCACCAAAATAAAGTTAGTTCTATCAGGTTTGAATAGGTTTGCAGTTGGTTTCATAGGGTTTTGGATAGATTTTGATGCTAATGGTAGTGCCAGTACTAACACTAATACGAAAAAGATTACCAGCTTCAAGGCTACTACCGAGTCCCGAGATTTATGTTTTTCTCTATTTTTAAATTGCCCGACAAATTTGGGAGCTGGCCGGGTATTAAAGGAGTTGTTGAGGGGGGGGCTGTACAAAAGAGGGTCCAACATCGGATAGATGTCCTTGTGTCAGTGGCAAAAGGGCCTCTGGTACGACAGTTCGAAGACACAGGGTTCGTATGGGTCCGTGGTGGCTGTCCTCCACTGAATCGTCTAGGACGACCACTATGCCCATCACTCCCAGCACGATCAGACACACCTTGACCACGACCGGGCCGCTCACCTTCGGAAGCAAACCCTTTGTGCCCAGACTGGATGCAAAACAGCCAGACTTCAAATGCTGGATTCTAGCTGTTCGAAAAATATCATAGCAACTCGTGTCCTGAATGTCTTACCGAAGAGTCTTACCACGATTTAATGGCTGCCCGTCGTTTTCTGGAAGGCCTTCTGCACCAGCGAGAAAGATGCCTTCACCCGTTGCACATCCTCGTGGTTCGCACACAAGTTTCTCAGTCTGATTGCCAAGAAATCCAAGAAGGATCCTTGTTTCGCCCACATGCTTTTCACCTAGCCGCGGGCTTGCGACGTTTCAGCCAAATCTCTACAAATGCACTCTCTACAAATGCACACATGACAATGAGGACGTGCTTGCTACCTGTGCTTCAATTCAACAGCAGGCTTGCAACTCCCTTTCTCCAGTGTAGATAAGTAGGTATGTAGGTAGGTAGGTAGGTAGATAGGTAGGTAGGTAGGTAGGTAGGCAGGCAGGTATGCGGATAGGCAGGCAGGTATGCATGCATGTAGGTAAGCTTCGCGTCTTGATTGTTGCGCAGCTCATATCACTAATAGCTCGGCTGTCTGCCATCGGCTTGCATCATCTGGCAGTGTCTGGCCTATCTGTGTGTCGCTAACCTACCTCAGGGGCGAAGCGTGTCCTCAGTGCACTTCTGGAGGGCTCGCTTGCCTTCTCCCCTTGCAGGAGTGAAGCTGCACAGATTCACAGCAGCTGGGGCTGGGCAACATATTAGGCTAGCCGAACTTGGGCCACATGCTGACTTTAGCTGGGAGATGACCAAAGCCCGAACGACAAAGAAGTAATTAGGCTATGTTGTCCTCTCATATCCACTATCCGACCCTGCCTGACTCGGAACTCGCCAATGATGCCTGCAAATGTGCCGTCACAGTCCTGCATGCTTGTGTTTGCTGCGCACTAAGCGCAAGCACGCTTTGTCCTATGCTGGTCGACCGCATCTATTCCTCGAGCAGTGATACAAACTGCCGGCAGTCTGAACTCGCCACTAAAGTGTGCCAATTAGCCAACCCCATGTGTTGACATCATCTGAATGTTTTTTTGTATTTCTTTTGAATAGCTGCGATGAGGAGACCCTTCCACAAGACGCTTCCGTGGGATTCCGCACGTGGGGGTTTACGGTTGCTTCTTCCGCAGCAATGGCCGTTACAACATTCTTCCACGAGCGCTTCCGCGACGTCTTTTAGGAGCAAATGCAGAAACAACGCTTCCGCGAATGGCAGGGGAGCGCGTTAAAAGTATGTCCACAAATCCAAGCATACAGAAAGAATCTCATTCACGTCATGACGTCTGAAGCAGAATTTCTGCGGATCTTGACGGAAGAAGCCCTTATGCGGAAGCTTCTGCAAGCTTCTGCAAACACAACCCAGGCTTATTTTTGTAGTTATATGCATACCAAGACATACACTAGCTTAAAAATCAAAGCTCATCCCCAAAGTGGGGTGTCACTTGCAATCAATGCGAGAGTTCTTGCAATTGCCATCTTGTTTGAGTAATGCTCAAGATGCCGGATGAATGCAACATAGCACGACACCTCACATGACCTGTTTATTCCTAGCCCCCACCATCTCCGTACCTTGCAGCCTCGTGCTGGACAAGCACTGGCATGAGAGAGCTTCAGGGAGAGCTACTCTAGAACACTAACGTGCTTTTACATGGCGCACAACGTCACCGTGTTACTCATAACGCTAAGGAGCACCTGTCATTTTGCTGTAAGCAGAAACACCTAAAAGCAAAGTCCAGATGCGAGTAAGTTTAGTGATATGCTGGTGCTGACACAAATATGAAAATGTCGGGTCCGTCTTCCGATCAAAGTCCCAAAGGGCAGCTGATGAAGCCAAATGGGTCCTTGAAGCACACTGACTGTGGCCACTGTTATAGCTATTTTGCTTACGTATACGGCCTGTTTGCTGTGGCTGCAGCTTTGGCCAACTTCACTTCATGCGGCTCTTCAGAACTCTGCGACACATGCACGGCAACAGCCATGGGCGAAAAAGTTGTGTCAATTTACCAGAAGTCATCGAACATTTCAGGTCCTAGACATGCACTGCCTTGTTGCAGAAAATTGTATTGCGTGACAAGACTGTTTCTAGGGCACAGGCCATAGCAACAAATGCCTGTGCGCGCCCTCTTGCAGAGTCAGGGCACGGCCGGAAATTATTTTCCACACTTGCACTTAATCTGGTTGGAGGATTGTCTAGAAGAGAAATTCGGTTCCCAGAAGTTGTCATTGTTTCAACTCTGGGCTAGTTTCGTATTTCTCCTCCCATTGTCCCCGCTCAGAGTTATGCTTTCTCAGGGACAGTATGAGCGGGTGGGGTCTCTTCAGTCTATTCTACCAGTGACCTGGTTCCCTTGCGATGTTGCTTGAATTCCTGCTTGCAAGTGGTAAGCCCAAACATGAGGACCTCATGCTTGGCAAGTTTATGGGAACTTCTCTCGCCCATACCCACATTCCAAGACATTCCTAAAAGTAATATGCCTCTAGCTCGTTTGGCATCCGCAATTACTGGCAAGCTCCGATTCAGGCCAGGAGGCAGTCGCGTGAAGGTACCAGCAGCTGGCTTGAGGCTTGCCATAGTCCCGTACCTTCACGTTTTAAGGCTTAGGGGCTTCAGGTGAAAAATCAAGTTCAGGGTTTTAGGTCTAGAGTGTAGGGTTGGAGTCTGAGGCTTAGGAGGCTTAGGGTGCCATACCTTGCAGGCGTTCTTGCTGCGTCTCTTGCTAAAGCTGTATACCCTGCCTACCCGAAAATGCTTACCCCAAGATCTTGGGATCTTCACATATTCACAGAAAGCTTTCAAAGGGGACTCAGCTGCAAGGAAGATCTCGGTATTCCAGAGTTCATGGCCCAAGCACAGGTGGTTTTTGAAACGGTTGTCTTGCGGGCACGTGCAATCAGCAAGCAAGCAGCGAAGCTGAGCACGCAAATCCGTGCAACAAAAATGCTCAATTAGGACAGGCTTGCACGCATCTGTGTTCGAATGTGCGCGTGTGCGCGCGCACGCGCGTCACCTAATCTGCTTGTGCGTTCTCAGGCTTGTGAGGGATTTGTGCATGCATGTATGCACGCATGTTTGCATGTGTGTTGGTTGCACGCATGCATGTACAACATGTGTGCGTATGCCTACATGCGTATATGCACACGTGTGTATAGATGCAGAGATGTATGCACGCATGCATGTACATGTGATGTAATGTCGTGTGATGTAAAATTGCGATGAACCTCATGGCCCCACGACCTGGAGCCCTCGAGCAAAGGGATCTTTCAGGAAGTGCACGAACACAAAAAAAGCTGAAATGCACAACTCGCCTGCCTCGACGGCTCCATGCACATCACATTCAGAATTCTTCTTAAGAAGCTTCTACACAAGTAGCACTCAGGTACGTTGTAGAAGCCAGAAAGCTAGAAGATCCAAAGGGCAGAATTACAGCACTGAACTTTCTGCAAGCCGAAAAACCGTCATGTCCATTGGCATGAACCAGCATCCCTCCCTCCCAAGGCAAAATGTTGATCACAGTGGTTTCCGGGACCGAAAGATTTTGGAGTCCAAGCCACTGTCTGCTCGCAAAAGCCATGGCCGGGGTCTTCGGCTGCGAGCCGAAGCACCGGGACTTGGAGCTCAGGGCCTCGCTCAGCGTCAGAGCAGCATGGGGAGTGTGAGGCGCTAATATAGATTATAGGCATCCATCTATAGACTGTAGGGATTTTATGTCAATCTCTATACATGCAGATAGGGAGCATGAGGAGGTTTCGGGGGTGCCTGCCAAGGATTCTAGTGAGTAATCTTGACTGTGGAGCTCAGACAACTCGGGCCTGCCCCCAACGGCAGCAAGAGCAGGAATGTCAGGACTTTACATTGCGCTACTTACTGTAGCCGTCCCAGCTCAAGCCCCGTAGACTTGCAGATAAGGTGCCCTGCGCTCGGGAAACTCCAGGCGCATGGCCTTGCACTGATCCGTCGTGGCTTTGAGGAATGCTGATCGGGTTTAGGGCTTGCCGGTTGCATCTGTAAGCTGCAAACTTACATCCTGAGGCTGGGACCGTAAAGAAGAAATCCATCTGCTCAGTTGTCAGCTTGCCCTTTTTTGCCTGCTGGACCGAGATCTGATCATTTCACAACTTCACGGGATTTGTATGCTGGCTTTCCGCATGTAGGAGGGTGACCTCGCCTTACATTCTGGGCACTACTTCTTCGCAGCGAAATCCACACAGATGTCATGGCCGGGCAAGCTTGTACCTTGACGTGAGCGCGACGAGCCTCATCCAAGTCCTGGAAAACCCGCCACAACCTGCAGTCAGCTGCTTTGCTCAGATGTGACCAGACCACGAGTGCTGCACAGGATACAACAGAAGTGCCTCTCAGCGATTTGAGGCCCTACCTCAACAGAGCTGGAATGATCCGATCCGGTGTTGCATGCTTCTGGCATTCTTTCACAGTAAAGTGCCTACAAAATGGTAGTAAGGCTCCACTTCTGCTGTGAGCCTGATCAAGTCACCAACGGCATGCAGGACAGTGCAATATATCAGTCCTCGACTCCTGGTTGCTTGCAGACTGCTCGGCTTTAAACGGCCTCAAGCCCAAACTCCCTAGCCCAGTGTCATACCTCGAGTCCAGCCTCTTGTGATAGAGCTGCTGTGCTAGGCCGTGGTGAGGCCGCAGGAAGTTGCGCCAGACGATGCCATGCAGCGTGCGAAGCAACCTTGGTGACTTGCTCGTCGCTCGCAAGGCCAGAATTGCGAAAATGCACTTAATTAATGCCTTCAAGCAAGTAAAATGGGATTTCCACGCTCCTGGCATAACTTGACACAATACAAAGAACCCCACCGTCCTTGGCTCAGATAGAGATAGATGTCGGTACTGCTTACTTTTTTCACTGTCCGCATGCAGCATCAACACATCACTCCGCGCCCGCTACCATCAATCCTTCAATTGTGGCTAAAACTGAGTCCAGCATATGGGTGCGTTTGCGGGACACACTTACTTCTGCTTGCAATGGCCAGGAGCTGAACTATTCTGAAAAGTCGGGCAAACTTCAAAATCTCCAGAATTTGAGACGAACTCGAGGTGAAATGGTCCGCCTGCACCACATTCCTTGGTGTATTTGGCAGAAACCCTAGAATGGGCTCTCTCGCGCACATTTGTCTGCTAGGGTACCAGTGGCAACCTTAACTCCATGCACCATACAGTCCTGCCCTTCTTGTCATCTGAGACTAGCCAGGATGCATGGCCATGGCAGACAAGTCCTCTGGAAACAGGTATGCCAGCAGCAGCGTATCTCCTGCACAGCTTTTTCTTCCTACGAGTGTGCATGCAGCGAAAGGTGTTCTGTTTCAGATTCAGGGCTGCGCTGTGTAGAAGGCAGAACAAACTCCGGCAAATGCAAACTTTAGGATATTCGAATCACAAACTCCGTGCCCACAGCAATGGGTCGGAAGATGCAAGAGAGGGTGGGACTATGAGCTGTGTCCTGTCAGCTGCAATCTGGAGGCGCCTCGCTGACACTTTTTTGTCCTATCGTGAAACATGTATAGCGCTTGTGAAAGTCAATAACCCACCTTGGATCGCAGGAAGCATTTAAATGACCAACAGGCACATCCACATCACTCCCTCCTGTGAGATTTCCTTTGGCATCAATGCTAGCTGCTAGCGCCAAGCTTGCGCTATGTTAGCGCCAAAACAACCATCTGCTGTCACCTGATAGCAAAGAGTAAAATTGACTCAGTATAAGATTCGTGACCCCTGTAACTGCAATTTTCTTACCAGCCTTTTGACCACTGGCCACACTGCTCCCGAAAAATCACAAAGAACTGTTCGCCCCAAATCACCTTTTCCCGAAGCTGTTATCAGAATCACGTTCCCAGTCTCAGGCACCCAACACCTATCCTGCCAAGCTGACCATGGCCATCACGTCCAAAAAGACTCGTCCAGAGCGCATGTAGCCATTGATGAAAATGCAGCTCAGTATGGCCTCATGCAAAACATCCTACCTCGTTCGCCCTGCGGCTTATCTTTGTACACTTGTTGTGCAGAATTTCAGGTGCGTTATTTATTATAGCAACTCCTGAAAATCTTCGCGCTACCTGAAAGCTTAGTGGTTGCCAGCCGGCCAGAAATACAGCAAAACGATCGAGGCTGACAAGTCCTGCAATCAAGACGGCAAAGGGGACCTCCCGAAACCCGGTACAGTACTACCTTGACATCCAAGGAACCTCGATGCAAAAGAAGCACAGGACGACCGTGTTCGCAATCGCTAACGACTGTGTGTGCTCGGTACTGAGCCCGAACACGAGCAGTATATCAGGAGCGAAGAGGGTGTAGATGGTGAGGACGGCGAAAGTGATGGCGAAAATATCAGAGTGCACCACTGCATTGGTGAGGTTTAGGCACACCCATCGGCCGTACTTACCTCCTTAGGGCGCAGCTCCAGCATCATGGTCAGAAAGGGTAAATGATTCAGCAGCAGGGATGCAGACCAATATGAACTTCATTCTACGTATCTTCGATCAAAGCAAAAAACTTTAGCACTCACCGAGCCCCTGAGTCTAGCATGTGGTGAGCCAAGTGGCGCTTGTGACTTGTCAAGCTGAGGCAGTCCTGGACAATAGTTGTCCATGGGCCCTTGCTTATGGGGTTAGCGAGGCGCTGTACTGACAAAGTTGGTAGATATCAGCTGCCTTCACAGTAGTCATGCAAATGGGATTTGCAGACCTACAGTGAGTTCGAGCACTCCGTGCTAATCATGATCGAAGAGAAACAAAGAAGAAAGGGGCTTGCACATACCTCAGATCGTCCTTGGTTTTGATTGTCTCATCAGTGTCGAAGGCTTGAAATAGGCAGCGCATTAGCTTGCGAAGGTCTCGCAGCCTCTGCCTCATAGGAAACTGATACAAGTAGGGGACTGCGAAAACAAGCCGCTGTGCAAGGAGACCTGGGATACAGGGAATCATGCGCTTTGGGAAGAAGCTCTGCACGCAGCTGGCTGCAGGAAACTTGTGCTGCCCATTGCTGCCCCCTCCCCCAGCTCTTCTCACGAAGCTGTCTCTGCCACGCGGCTGGTTGTTCTGGTCACACCAATCAAGAGTGTCTACCTGCGCTAGGCGACGTAAGCATGCTTTCCGAATGCAAAAACACATTGCCTCTCCTGAACGAGTTCGAAAAGCACTGCTCATCAGCTTGGAGCGTGCAAAGGAGCATACATGGGATGTTTGTGCTTTAAATTGATACGAAAGCAACGGCCTTCCGTGGCTCAGAGGCTACAAGTATATGACTGTGAGAACAATGTACTGTAGTTGCCTCGGTGTTCTCTCCGTCCCCGGGCTTCATCTCTGTGGGCGCCTCCGACACGACCTGGGCTGAGCGTACGGTGGAGGACCCGTCTACATGATTCTATTGTGCTTCTTTCTTGGCACAACTTGCAGCCTCAGCGTGGGGAATGAAGTAGTTACCAGCCATCCGTCCACCTGCTCTAGCTCCTGTTTGCCAAGCCCAGTGGCACGCACCCGGAGCCCACCAACATCCGCCAATGCGTTAGCACACTCATTGTTGATGAGGTCTCCGGCAACCTGCAGAAAGTCCATGCTTTCCAACGAGCCCTGCGTCAGTCTTCACATGAAAACGAAACGCACTAAGACAACTGCGTGTTCCCCCCAGAAAAAATTGGAAGGCGGATCTGAGAACCTAATTCCACCTTTTTGCCAATGCAGACTGGAATGAAGCTGAAGGATACGATCGTGTCCACAAATGGTGGATTTCCCCTCTGGGTGCCCGCGCCAGCTGGAAAGAAGCTATGCTCAAGGAGTCCGTCGACACGCAGTTCTGCAGCAAAGTCCTGCCATTGCGACTTCTGATCCGTTGCTGTGAGTGCCGTAGCCATCGCTGAAGAGCACATGACATGCATGCCTGGTGGCATGCAGGAGTCAGCCCAAATTTGATCCGGGTCACTTATAGACATAGTTTGAAGTGAGGCTTTCTTGGCTGCGCATTCCTTGGCGAAAAGCCTGACAAAGCCAAACCGAATCCTCAACCCGTGCCAGCCTTGTTGAACGTCTACTGTAGAGTCTAAACACTGTGTTAGCGTTGTGATGGCAAAAAGTTGCGAAAACACAACACGAGGCTGTGTGCACAGATTTGGGGAGTTGCCAAGCTGCATACTAATGCCCATGTCAATAGCATAGGCAGCGAGCATTCTCAGCCCGAGCCAAGACAACCAGAGTCTTTACCACGAGCAGTGAGTCCGCTGCAGGACACTTGCATGTATCACGGCAAGCCCGACAGTAGCATGCCCATCCCAACCTCAATCCTAATGAACCCGTCCCCTCGCAGCTCTAGTTCTCCCCTTCTTAGCTTCCCCTTCCAAAGCTGCTGTGGCTCCTGCGGTAGGCACGACCCTGGAGTAGCGGGTGGCACTCCATGGCGCGCCGGCAGTGGCGGACCCACCATGCCCGGGCCTGCAATTAATCGTGACTTGGGGGATTCGAAGTAGTGGCCGGTAATGGCTTGGACGGCGCATGGCGCTGCAGGCTGCTAGGCGCGTGTACCGAATGCAGCCAAGGCGAGGATTGTCAATTCGACTTACAGTTCTCTGTCAACAACAAGGTGTCAGCGAGCCTCGTTGCAGGTGAAGGGCATCGTCTGGATGTGGCTGCAAATCCTCATTGGGCAGCTTGGAACAAGGCCCTCAACTTGAGCGAAGGTCATGGAGGGGAAAGTGAGAAGCTTCAGAATGTAAAAAGCCATACTGCTGGGTGGGCCTCTTATGAGTCAAGGCAAGCTGCTTGTTGATCAGATTGCCCGACCCTTCTGCGTCAGCGACAACCAGCTCAGTCAATGAGCAGCCTTGTGTCACGTGATGCGAGCACAGGGGATCCTATCCCTAGGTTTTCCCTGGAAGCTATCTGCAACCTCCTCAAAGCATCCAAGCGGAGCTTCTGTTTCAACAGAACTTTGACATCATTTCCTAGCTCCAAGTGTGTAAATGTCTACTCCTCCCGTCAGCAGGCCCCCTCGTGCAAGAATCCACATTCTAGCCGGCACCTCAGCATTGGGCTACCGCAACCGCTGAATGGGACTGCAAGTTCATTTTAGGTCATTCTTCCCCATGCGCCAAATCTCAGAAGCATTCCCTCTCGACGTGTGTTCCCTTTCTGAGCCCTTGCTGCTAGGAAGCCTGGCTCCAGCTCCTCCCCCAGGGCCATGTCGAGCTCCTGACATGGAAGTGTCAGATTCCCAGATGTTGGACAAATGTTGATGATTTTATGAGGACATCTTGGAGAAGCGTGTCTGCAGAATAACTTGGACATCATGACCTTCCCAGCGAACGCGAACTTGCCGCTGCATACTTCAAGCCCAATGTGGTCAAAATTGTGCTCGTCTTTTCATCCCGAAAAAGGGTCCCACTACACAGAAAGTGAAACTGAAGAAAACAACATGCTCCGCACAATCAAAACCTATGCCCAGCAAAGCCTAGGCTCACTGCATAATCCTACCTGTTGTTCCCAGTGCATCTTCTGAACAACAGCAAATACCCATCTTGCCAGGGCTCCGCCAGCTGACCCCGGCGGCATGGAACCAAGCGTCCAGTCAGCACGGCCAAAAGCTGAGATGGTTGGCTCAACGGTTTGGGATTCTGGGTTTAGGGGCCTGTGGGTTTTCATCAATGCGAGTGTCAGGTACATTTCATGCATAGCGTGCCGCAATCTAGCTGCACAAGGACTTTAAAGGGACTCTGTTAAGCAGCTTCACAAGACAAGGACTCAAAGAAGGCTTGCAAGAAGTTCGCGGCCTAATTACGACTTCTGATGATCGACGAAATGGAGGTGCTAACAGAGCAAAAGGGCAGGTGTTGATAGGCCTGGAATGGGTGGTCCACGGTGGTGCTGTGTAGTGTCTGGTCACGGCTTGTGAGGCTTCGCACTTGTTTTTGGTACACGTGAAACGGGAAGTGAAGCCTCTTGTAATGCAGAATTGACATAGGAGACAGCTGACAGTGCGGCAAAGTAGGTGATCTTCTTCCAGCTCCACGCCAGAATTTGCAGGCAAGGTACCGCTTCTACAAAGGCTTGACCCTGCTCGAGATGCTCGAACCTCCCACGGTCTGAATGTTTAAGGCCAGTTCACAGTCGTTCATCTAAGGAATCATAGGGTAAAGCAATATGGGTGGATGTTTTGTCCCCAAATTCCCAAGCGTCGCTGGCAACTTGTGCATTGATGTGCTTTGCGCTAGGTTTTCTGACTATGCCCAGGAAAAGCCTGCAAGAATTTCATGTGCCAGCTTGGGCTTCCTAGCCAGACACTTTCGTTTACGACTGGCTCGCTGCTTCAGAGTGGGTGGTCCGAACCCTTGCAAGACTCACGAGCTCGAAAGTTGAGACTCCCTGCACCTTCCAGACTCGTCCATGCCGCCCTCGAGCACTGCAATGTAGGCAGAAAGCAGTACTTCTGGTAGGCCTGGACCTGTCTGCTGGGCTCTTTGATGTTTGGGCTAACCTTGAGGGCACAAGCCGCATCAAAAGAAATGAGCCATCGGCAAAACTCTAGAA